CTAAAATTTCTTCATTTTCCTTGTTTAGAATCAGAGGTGCTAGTTTCAAATACTTTTTAGTCTGAAATCTGTATGCTAGATATTGATTAAGGTGGTTTTATTGTTTTTTGTCACTTTGAATAATATTTCTGTTCATGTTAAAAACAAAATCAACTCTCTGTATAAATATATCAGGTGACCGTTAAGGCCCATGGGCCTCTTGTTAATTTGAATAACCTTGACCCACTTTCAAGGTCACATTTGGTCAAATATGTGTAAACATTTAAATGACCTTATCTTAATAAACAAAAGGATAGGGTGGTGATATTTTGTAAGTTTCATCCTGAGATGAAGGGCTATAAAATGTGTTCAACGTAATGACCTTATTGGACTTTTAAGGTCACGGGTGAAATGGTTTTTAAATCTCTTAACAGGTTCTTTTGAATGACTTATAGCCATAAATACTGATATTTTGCCTGTAGCTTTATTTTAGATTACTTTTAATGTTACAAGTGTGAGATTTAGACCAGGTGAGCAATGCAGACCCATTGGGCCTCTTGTACTTCTCTGAATTATAGCAAATATAATCTGAAGAGTACACACTTGAATGAGCAAACATGTTTTAAAACGTGTGTCAAGCAAATTTTGTTTTAAAGAGCAATATTACCACATATGATTTCTAATACAGATAACTGTAAGTGAATCCTACCTTACTGTATTCTGACATTTGTTTTCCATGAAATATACTTACTGAGGTTACATGCAACTATATTTTGCATTTAGCTTGAAATACTCTAGTAAACAATTATGCTAATTAATATATACATGTATATGTGTTTTATATAGAACATTTGCTAAACATGTAACATATTGTCTGTGTTTATCGTTTGATTACCAAATCGACGGAATAACCGGTTACCAAAATTTGACCGGTTTGAAAACCCAAATTTATATATATGGCTATTAAAGAAATCTGACATTTAATTACTTTGAGAAAAATATTTGTTTGAAAATTGAAGAAACGAAAATTCTGAAAAAAAACCTTTAAAATCTGTCTAAACAAAATCCAGTACAATACAGAAACCTGTATAAAGCAGAACCTGCACCCTGGTCCCACTGAATGCAAAAAGATATTGAACCTGTTTAATCTGAATTTTTCTTATACTATTGTACTTACTGCCACAATATGGACATACATTTTGATGTTTAGTTAAGCCACATGTCACTGTGTTTGTTATGTTTGATTGTAGGTGAATGGTACAGCGTGTGCGGTACCCAGAATGGTGATGGCCATTTTTGAGAACTTTCAAAACAAGGTACACTTGTATAAAAACAAATGAAAAAAAAACCCAAAAAACATTGCACTTGCAAAATGAAATTTGATTCAGACAGTAACTGTAGTTACAAAATGTACGCCAACACCAAGGGATATAATATGTTCTGTATATACCGGTCAACTTACATCCTGTCAAATATTCGTCCTTTGCCAGTAAAATCCATGTTCCCCCAGTGTTGATTTTGCCCTTCACATGTAACTTGCTGAAATGTGTTTCTTACAGGATGGAAGCATAAACATCCCAGAGGTTCTACAGCCGTTCATGGGTGGCAGGAAAGTGTTGACCAAGTCAGACGCCATGCCAACCATTCAGTGGATCAAACATGCCAAAGTGGATTGGGAGTCCTAGTGATTTTCTTGTGGAATGTGGAATACACTGCATCTGAAATCTGGACGGTGTGGAACAATTGTCTTGTAAGGAAGACAGGACAACATGGAATGATCGTTAAACAAAAAATATGTGAAGGAATGTCCATGATCAGGAAACAAAACAATATGTAATTTTCTGTGAAGAGAAAATAGGAATGTCCTTCCTTAAAAATATGAAGAAAAATGAGTTGTGATTGCTCAAGGAAAATGTATCCCGATAAATCTTCCACAAAGCATAAAACATTAAAGATTAAAGATGTGTCAATGATTGATGACAACAGTTGTTTAGATCAAGTCAATGTTGGCCTACATTGTCTCAGATCAAGTCAAGTCCTACATTGTCTTAGATCAGGTCAATGTGGACCTACATTGTCTTAGATCAGGTCAATGTGGGCCTACATTGTCTTAGATCAGGTCAGTGTGGACCTACATCGTCTTAGATCAGGTCAATGTGGGCCTACATTGTCTTAGATCAGGTCAATGTGGACCTACATTGTCTTAGATCAGGTTAATATGGACCTACATTGTCTAAGATCAGGTCAAAGTGAAACAGTTGTCTTAGATCAGGTCAATGTGGACCTACATTGTCTTAGATCAGGTTAATATGGACCTTCATTGTCTTAGATCAGGTCAAAGTGAAACAGTTGTCTTAGATCAGGTCAATGTGGACCTACATTGTCTTAGATCCGGTCAATGTGGGCCTACATGTCTTAGATCAGGTCAATGTGAACCTACATTGTCTTAGATCAAGTCAATTTGGACCTACATTGTCTTAGATCAGGTCAATATGGACCTACATTGTCTTAGATCAGGTCAATTTGGGCCTACATTGTCTTAGATCAAGTCAATGTGGACCTACATTGTCTTAGATCAGGTCAATATGGACCTACATTGTCTTAGATCAGGTCAATGTGGTCCTACATTGTCTTAGATCAGGTCAATGTGGACCTACATTATCTTAGATCCGGTCAATGTGGGCCTACATGTCTTAGATCAGGTCAATGTGGGCCTACATTGTCTAGATCAAGTCAATGTTGGCCTACATTGTCTTAGATCAAGTCAATGTGGACCTACATTGTCTTAGATCAGGTTAATATGGACCTTCATTGTCTTAGATCAGGTCAAAGTGAAACAGTTGTCTTAGATCAGGTCAATGTGGACCTACTTTGTCTTAGATCAGGTCAATGTGGGCCTACATTGTCTTAGATCAGGTAAATGTGAACCTACATTGTCTTAGATCAAGTCAATTTGGACCTACATTGTCTTCGATCAGGTCAATATGGACCTACATTGTCTTAGATCATGTCAATTTGGGCCTACATTGTCTTAGATCAGGTCAATATGGGCCTTCATTGTCTTAGATCAGGTCAATGTGGACCTACTTTGTCTTAGATCAGGTCAATATGGACCTACATTGTCTTATATCAGGTCAATATGGACCTACATTGTCTTAGATCAGGTCAATGTAGACTTGCATTGTCTTAAATCAGGTCAATATGTCGGTTTCGTTTGTATAGGTAAAAGAAACTGTGGAACTGGTATTCTTGAATGAAAATGTAAAATGGTTAATCATATCAAACGAGAGCTACTCACCAGACAACTCTTATCAGTAATGGCAGATGGTGAATGAAATATGTGAAATAATTTTGCTGGTTAAAATAAAACAAAAGCGTTATAGTTTTCATTATTAACATAATTTACTTCATCATCAAATACAGGTGTGAAGGCTACCAGTCAGTATACTAAAAAATCTTCATTCACAGTCCTGTTACCTATCTTCTAATGAAATAAATTAACAAAATGTCATACTACATCATTGAACATCCACGGATCAAGTAAACATATCCATTTACTGGACAGAAACATTTTATCTTCGTCTTGCAGAATGACAAGAAAAATTCCTTCAAGCTCTGCAACAGGTAAACATCTTATTTTGACCCTTGACCTCTTTCAGTGACACAGACCTGTTACATACAACCTGTTTATTATCCAAGAAACATAACTTGTATAATAATACACCAGAGATGCAGATAAATATTTGTTTATACTAAGTTTAAGATTTTAAGACATTTACCCTGGAATATAGATTTAAATGAGAATTCATAGCAGCCATTGTATAGATTAGTGTACATTTTAGTCACAATCTAAAAATCCTCTACTGGTTATCTTGAATGTGGTTGTCCCATATAGTAGACTTTTAAGGTACTGTTTGACCTTTACCAAAACAAAATTATCCTAAGAGATCAGTTGTCTCACAATCCTGCCTGGGTTGCTGTCAATGACACTGAAGATTATGAAGGCTAGCAACGTTCCAATGTATCCTGTAAGCCTGACAAACCTGATAAAATACTACAGGGTCCTTCTATACAGCTTTTCCAGGAACCTGAGGTTTACAGTATCATATGGTTTGTTTCAGCTGCAAAAAAAATCTACAAAATAAAGACACTTATACCACAGATGGAGAGCCAACTGTTTGCTAAAGTTTAGAGATAGTTCAGTCCTTAGCCATCAGATCTGACGACAATGCTGTCATCTCTTTGATTTGGATTTTATGTTGTATCTCTGTGTCTTTGTTTTTACTGATTTAATTAGCGATTCTAATGAAGCTTCCTGTCCACGATGTTCGTTCACACTTGAGTCCCGTTTCACTTTGGTCTGAGGTTCAGTAACGTCCCCGTCTCTGTCCCTCTTCCTGTTACTACCCCCGGGCTGATCACGCTTCTTTTTACTGCGTTGGAGTTTCTCTTCCACGATGGCCTCCATGCCCTTGGTACGTTTGTACTCGGGTGCGGTGGGATCGAGATTATACACGTGTGACGAGTACATGGCCGTGAAACGCTCGTCTCCAACATCGACCTGTAACAGATTACAATGGTCACTTTCTGTGAGGAGTCAGCAAACAAGTTGTCTTGTTTCAGTTTTTCAGTTTTTGTTATAAATATTTAATGCAAACCATTCAATTATATAAGAATTTCTCCATATCCATCCTTGTAACCTAGTTAACAGGACAGAAATTACAACAGGACTCTGACCTGGGACCTCTAAGCCAATGATTGACAACAGGTCCCAATGATTAACACATTCAAGATCAACTATTCATACAATGTTACATGCATTACAAAGTGTTTCTACCAAAACATTGTCACTGATAAAGTTAAACGTAAATAATTTATTAAAAAACTTGATATTTGCTAGTTCAGCTTTCCTTAATTTTGCTACACCAGTGATTACTCTTACAATCAAGTTTGGGCTTTGAACTTAGCAGTAACATCATTAAAAATAATCTTTTCAAAATTACCTTAAAATCATCTTCAGATTTGGTTTTACTTTTCAACAAATCCTTCTTTTTGAATTTCCTCTTTTTCTTCTTTGTCGTTGTGTTGTCCTTGACAAGGTCATTGAGGCTGAAGTGATGTCTGTCATCCTCCTTCTCATCCATCATCAACAGGGAAAGCTCCGCCTTCAAAATAAACAGGAAAATATAAACAACCAGCAGAAGCCAGACATACTTCGGGGTTACATGTACAAGGACAGCACCTGAACTCACTGACAAAACGCTTTGGACTTCAATAATGATATTTTTTGTACAGGCAAACTATTCGTTCCTTCTCCTCTCATAAGGAAATGGACGAGTTTCCATGAAGAATGGTCCTCCAACACGATCCTCATGTTGACGGTAAAGCTATTAAACATTGTACCTCCTTTGTTTCTTTCTCCTTCTTTTCCTCTTCAGTTAGCTTTTCTACTACCCTCTTTTTCTTTTTCTTCTTTCCTATATTAAGAAGAAATTTAAAAAATAAAGAATATTAACCAACTAGTGAGAAGCCAGTAGCAGCTGGTTAACTTTAGCTGTAGACATGTCAGCTAACAATATAATGTAAAGACCCTTTACTTGGTCATGTTAACTTTAGCTGTAGACATGTCAGCTAACAATATAATGCAAAGACCCTTTACTTGGTCATGTTAACTTTAGCTGTAGACATGGCAGCTAACAATATATAATGTAAAGACCCTTTACTTGGTCATGTTAACTTTAGCTGTAGACATGACAGCTAACAATATAATGTAAAGACCCTCTTTACTTGGTCATGTTAACTTTACACTATGTCAATATAAACTGCTTTTGACCTCAGATTAAAAGGTTTTTGATAACTTTTTTTTTTTTTTTTTTTTTATACATTTGAGTCTTTAATGGACTACTCTTTAAACAGAGATGTGTATATTATATGTATCTGCTTCAAATAAAGGACACATTACGATAAGATAGGGTCCACACAAGATCTATCATATTGTTTGATTGTATTCAAACCTTTCTGGACTTGTGAGTTGACATCCATAAACTCTGACATGTTAACGCCGCCCGGTAGATCATCATCGCTGAACGCGGCCTCGCCCTCCTCAGGAACATCTTCCCGGTCACTCTACAACACATTTGAATTGGATATTAAATTATATAGATATAGTATACTCTGTCAAAATGGATTCTCTTCAATACAGACTTAAAGAATTTGGTTTCAAACATACAAAATTAACAATTTATACCAAGTGCATGTACTTTCTGAAATACAGAAATATGCGAACTAACCAAATTATACAGTCCCAGATGTGTCCAGTACAGACAGATCTGCAAATCTTCCAGTATAGACAGAGGCCCCTGAAATTACATCATCATCGCTGGCTGCATTTACATCTAAATCTGGTTTTGAATCCATCCCTGATATTAACACTCCAAACTTTCTATTTTTTTCCCTTTTTCATCAACATTTGCACCCAATTTATAGATTGTCATAAAATGTCTTTCTTGGTAAGCAGTAAAGCTACACTCAAATATAACAATGATTAGTTTTGCAAATACACATACCCCGGGTACTATTCCGTCTTTGCATATTGCAGAGTTATCTTCTCTTGGGAGCAGGTATTGATTGTTACGTCACTTGTTTGTGAGAGTAACGTCATCAATTTTTGAGAAAACAACATAATTTTCTCACACAAATCAATGACGTAACAATCAATACCTGCTCCCAAGAGAAGTTACTCTGCAATACGCAAAGACGGAATACCAGTACACAGAAACTACCCTCCACAATTTACCTTATTTGTTTTCTCTTTCACTTTGTTTTCTTTCTTTTCTTCCTTAGCCTTCATCTGTCTTTCCTCTCTTTTCTTCTGTCTTTTCTCCTTTTTCTTTATCAGATACTTCTCCCATGTTGTACTGTCCTTCTCTTCTTCCTTCTTTTTTAGGAGTTTCTCTGTTGTCTGCTTTAAACCTGTGAATGAACAACATTTTTCAATGATTTTTATTTTCTGGTGAAATGTCATTTTATTTGAACATAACTGGTTTGTACAGAAAGGATGAGTTTACCCTAGTAGCAAGACACAGTATTGAGTGTAACCATATTCACTGCTGAAAATTGAACAAAGATAAGATAAGATAACTCGGTAGATAAGCTGGCACATCCACCATCGGAAGGGGTACTCAAATACAAAACTTCATAAAAATATCAAATTAAATAAATTGAAATGTGGAATTTACATAAACAGGTACAAGACCTAATTTCAATATGCAGCTCTCTGCCATCCAAAGAAGTACTCAAACAAAACTTTATTCAAATTAAATTTATACATGAAATGTGAAATTTTGAAGTTTTCGAGTCTTGCACTATATTAAATGACCTTCAGACGACCCACAATTGACCTCTGACCTGGTTCCCATGTGACCTCCATTCCTATGTCCTTATCCTTCTGTTCCTTCTCAGTCTCCTGAATGTTTTGTAAGAGGGCCCTGTATTTGTCTATTTGCTTTTCTTCACTTTCCGATTCCTCCGACTGATTTTCATCATCCGATTCTCCCAAAAAACTACCGTAAGGATCTGGAAGTAAGAATAGAATATGGTGACATTTGTTATAAACTAGAAAATGTCTCCCAGACATGAATGCGTCCTTGGCCTCGGGGTTGAAAGATGATGGCAATATATGTTGACAAAATAGCAAAGAGTTGATCTGTGAATAGCAACAGTAATTTTTGACCTTGGGACCCAAAATAAGAACTCATCTGATGAATTCTCATAAATTACATTTGAATAAACTCTGACAAAATCTGTTTAGAAATGAAGTTGGTCGAGTCATGACAATGAATTGAAACACGATCGGATGGGTCTGACAGGAGAAACACTGCCCCCTCTTGTTGAAGGCATGAAAAATATCTCACACTACTTCATTATAAGATTTACAATTTGCCTACTTACATGCACTGATGAAGCACAGTTAACTACGCTGCAAGCATTATACTTTGAATCCTCAAAAAAGGCAGATTTTTTATTACTCACTATCTTCCTCTCCGGAACTTGAAGCCAGATAGGCCTTGAAATCATCTTCTGTGGCAGTGTCCATCTTGGACGGTGCACGCATGGTCACCTTTAGTCGGTCATGGTCAGTTTCATCCCAGGTAAGGTCCACCTGTCCAAAGGAGTACAATAAACTAATGTCTTAAGTAAGCTGTCTGTAGTAAGTCATTAGCAGAGATTATTTTGCAGTTATCTAATTTCTTATTGTACATGTAGTCCCAGATTAAAAATAAACAATCCTCTATCAAGGATATAATCTAATTTTATTTGTGAACCGCTTTGAGACGACCTACAAACTAGGTTGTGATAATTATTATTATATGAATTAATTGATTGATCTCAAAAAGTAATTTTACTGTTTTATCATTGAAAATGTCATGGTCAAAAATTATCAGGACTTTTAACTCATTTACCCCTGAAATTTTATAATGAACTATTCCAACTTTTGAATTGGAAGGGTTCAAATGTGTCTTCAGGGGTGAATGAGTTAAAAAAACAAAATGGTTGTGAGAACAACAGACATTAAAACATCATCACAATTACGGGCAACTGGATCTTTCTTAAATCATGATAACCAAATAAATACCAGTGGCAGTTGGGTAAGCAAGCTGTACGCTTTACCTTGGATTGACAAAGGGCTGATGTGAAGAATATGGACGGTTTGTACACATTAGAAGTGGGCATGGTGGTGCAGACCGATTTCAGCTCTTGCTGATCATCAAACGTCATATCATCGGGGATAAACCTGTGTTCAGACAGAAACAATTTAACATTAGCTTTGCACACCAAGATAAAATTTAAATGTGTTATACTTTTATTACTGTATACCAGGAAATATTTGCTGTTGTGTAACTGTTGAACTCTTCCTTTCATTCACCCTTTGTAATGAGAGGAAATTTATCATGACAGCAAATATAGGTATGTAATGTCATCTGTTAAATACTAGCTGCTTCCTACCGACTCGGCTTGGGAGAATTCCTCCTCAGCTGAATTGGTGGAGCTTCTTTCTAATAAGATAGAGATCTGTTTTTATGTACAGCATCATCACTCTGTAATCTCATTAAAAGCCAATTTTCGTGAATTTTAAGACGATTATTTCAAGGAGAATGCACTGTTTATGATACTATATAACCTGTCAACAACCACCTGTTTGAGAACTAAGTAAGAATACAGGGTCCGGAGTAGATTTCTACCTTAAATCCAAACGTGTGGCACTACTTTCATACTCGGTGCCATCACACGCCCCGTAGATGGTGTTAGCGGTGTCCACAGAATCAAACTCAGCCACGGCGTAGTAATACTTCAATCTCGTCAGCTGGTACTGCCTTAGCTTCTCTCGATGATATATTGTTCCTGCGTTGAAAAAAAGCACAAAAATTGTCATATAGGAATTTATATCAACAAATTTTAACAAAGAACTATTGACTATTTTTGTTTGTTCTAAGGAAAACAGTTTGTTCAATCTAGTACTAGAGGCAAAGAACAGCATAAATTCCAACTCTGACACCCCACTGTTGTGTCCCTCAAGGGCACATTTGTATATCAATCAGAAACTCTCACCACCTACTGGTACTTTAAAGTGTTCAACTAATAAAGTTTCAGCAACAGTAACTAAATAATAAATTTATGATACACAGAGGTGAAACAACACACAAAGCCTTCCCAAACAAAACCCAACACACATGGAACCCATCAACCTCTCTACTCTCAAAAATTTCCTTTAAAATACACCAACATATACCAACTACCCCCACCCCACCCTGCATGCCTTCAACTTCTCCTGCCTGCGGACATAAACTCACCCTCACCCGATTCACATACACACACAAATTCCCTTTGTACATACCGAGATACCACACCAGCCTCTTTATGACAAAAGGCTATAATTACCCTCAGCATCCTCTGTTACTTCCTCCTCACTATCAAAACCCTCCACTTTAGTAGATTTGACCAGCTCTGTGGGGCCTTTTATTGCCTCCTCTGCCATTCTGGTTTTGCCGAACTCTGATGGGTATATCTGCATATAGATTAACACATAAATCATTGGGGTTGCCTCTTTTGGAAAATCTTTCCAAACTTTCTTGAGGAATCCATTGATCAAATATTACAATATAATGTATGGTATTTTCAGGATTTTTTATTCATATGAAATTAAAATCTGGGCTTTTAAGGGTTGTCAATCAGATAAAGGGACTTTTTAAGTTCTGAAAATCTGAGCGATAAAAGGACATTTTTTATTTGAACTGACAATCTACATACACTTGTATAGTTAGTAATATTTGTGTGGGATTTAATGTTTCTATATTTGCAGTCACCAAAGATATTACAAAACTTAATACCCAGAAAATATTAATACCATAAATAATCATCTCCATGAATAAATGTGAAGAGATAAAAGAAAACCCTGTTTATCCATTTACTACAAAATAATGAGGACAAACCTTGAAATATTAGCCCCACGAAATAACAACTATTCAGTAATTTAAGGACCTTTTACAGCCGAGTCAATTCTCAAGTGACATTTTAGTTTAAGGATATTACTGAGATGATAAAATTTAACTTAGGAACTTTTCAGGGCAGGCAATTTAATTGAAAGATTTTTCAGAATATGGCTGATTCCCACTCACATAAAAGTAAAGGCAGGGGAATCCCCTGGTTAACAGTAAGGGAAGGGAAACCCCCAGGCTAACAGTAAGGGAAGGGAAATCCCCAGGCTAACAGTAAGGGAAGGGAAATCCCTATGTTAACAGTTATGACAGGGAAACCCCCAGGTTAACAGTTATGGCAGGGAAACCCCCAGGTTAACAATAAGGGAAGAGAAATCCCCAGGTTAACAGTAAGGGAAGGGAAACCCCTAAGGTTAACAGTAAGGGAAGGGAAACCTCCAGGTTAACAGTTATGGCAGGGAAACCCCCATGTTAACAGTAAGGGAAGGGAAATCCACAGGTTAACAGTAAGGGAAGGGAAACCCCAGGTTTAGAATGTACCTTGGTATAGGTCAATCCTCTAGTCTACACAAATTCAAGCCCAACATGCTTGTGAGTTACAGCTACCTTTACAGAGCGTCAGACCCCTCCTGTGGGTTGGAAAGAATTGAGGAGGATAAACCTTTACAGAGCGTAGGACCCCTCCTGTGGGTAGGAAAGAACTGAGGAGGACAAACCTTTACAGAGCGTAGGGCCCCTCCTGTGGGTAGGAAAGAACTGAGGAGGACAAACCTTTACAGAGCGCAGGACCCCTCCTGTGGGTAGGANCCCCTCCTGTGGGTAAGAAAGAACTGGGGAGGACAAACCTTTACAGAGCGCAGGACCCCTCCTGTGGGTAGGAAAGAACTGAGGAGGACAAACCTTTACAGAGCGTAGGGCCCCTCCTGTTGGTAGGAAGGAACTGAGGAGGACAAAGATGTCTACAGCCTTGATCCTGTCCCAGTCAAGGTTACATACGGCCAGTCTTAGTCCCAGTTCACTGGCCTCTGGAGCCTCCCTGTCCAGCTCATTCCATTTATGATCTACTCCGCCATCTGGAGTAAAAATTCAAATCACATTTAATCAATTAATGAAATGCTGATAAATAACATTGGCTTTCCATTGATGTCTTATCTGTGAGATACAAAGAGATACATATTACCTACCGATGGTTTGCAAATAGTCTTCATCTGTGGTTTAAAATTCAGTCACATATCCAGCACCACAAATATAAATTACTTACTTCTTGCACTGGCTACAATAATTTATATACATACAGTATATAAATCATAAATAGGTTTTTTGGGAGGGGGGTTTCCGAAAAAAAAAAGAGTAAGTTACATATATACAATTGTATGAACTGAAAAATATCAGATGAAATCCAACAATCACTGCTTGACAATAACACATCACTAAGTTTTCCTCAGTACAGCTTGTACTGCAGGTCCAATTGTAACAACTGTACCAACAGGGCATGATCCTTTGATAAGACTTACTGCCATGTAGGGTTTCAATAAGATTTCCTGTAACTTGTATCCAACAAAGTAGGCAGTTAATTTCAGTACATTTTCATATAGTACCCCATTACTATTCTTCTCATTTTTCCATTAAAGTAGCCAGTGAAATGGCTGTGGTAGAAAGGTAATTTTACCGGCTACTGGCTACAAATGAAACCCTTGTGTAAGACCAATACGTTTACATGTACCTATGCGCTATGAAATGCATAGCTACAGTGATATATTCATAGAATTAATATTCCCAAACTTTGTAGACTATATATACATCTATATGTTGAATTTGAACAATAGTCTTTTAGTAAGCACACACAAAAACAAACGAATTACATGATAAGATTTCAGGATTGTGTCCCTTTAAACACAGATTCTGCAATGATGTGTAGGCAGAACTTGGTTTCATATACTAACCTACTAATTTTGTCAGCCCTTTTTCCTTCTCCTCCTCCTCCTCATCGTCATCATCACTGGAACTCTCCAGGTTTCCTTCTCCACGGGCCAAATCTCTCCCTTTTACATCTGCGTAATAATGGAACTAAAATGTTAGCTGATGTGTATGCCTAAAACTTAAAAGATCAATGGTCTTTTTTAATCAACCGAAAAAAAATCAGAATTTATTAAATCAAAATATGAATTAAGCATACCAGGAATTGTTTGGCATTACAGAGGGTGAGATACATGTATATACTGTCTGGTGAACATTTACTTGTATCAAATATTCACATCAAATATATATTCATCTTTTAATATGGGTCAGACTAAAAAGAAATGAGACAAAACAGTATATCTCAGTCATAAATACTGAATACACATTTTCAGGTTAAACCAGGTCAACAATGCACTACAACAGTCAATTTACATGCAATCACCAATATCATTAAATATAAGACACTATGGTAGCAGTGTACAGTAGTGTACGGTGGCCATGGGTGAAATTTTTGTACAATGAATAACCCTGTAATATTACATGTATCAAAATTTAAAAATAAAAAATCAGCACTAAAATTGGCATATACATGATGAAGTGGACTATGTGGGCTTCACATTTAAAAAAAATTGAATTTGGTTTGAGACTACATTTTGGCCATTTACAAATCTGTGTATGTAGTCTATTTTTGTACTCAGCACATGTGTAAATATTGTGAAAAATCTAGTTGAATAACCTTTGCTAAAACGTGAGTATTTATGTTACCAGGTAGGTGAAATATTTGGTTAAAAAATCATGTCTTTTTTGCATTTTTTGGTGTTTTTTGATGTGGTAACCATATGGTTTTCACAAGTCCCAAATCTGGGGAAATCACTTTTTGAAAAAAAAATCATTCTTCTAAAATAAAGTATTCAAAATGTAGTGTATATATATATATATATATATAGAATAAAAACAAATTTTTCAGATCGTCCGCTAGGCCTTTCTGCCTTCTAGGGCTTCTTCAGGTGGATTCCTATATATATATATATATATATATGTATGTAGGTTTGTTGTGCAGGATGAATCCGCTATCCATGTTTATCTGATCATGAGACATGCCCTTTATTTTAAGGATCAAGCCATTTCTACTGTACTCTGCTACCTATGTTGTAGGAACTCTATGTTACATTGTTTACTTTCTCAAATCTTACAATAAAGGTGCTTTGACTCAAGGTTCTGAAATTATACTGTATAGTTGGTAATATTTGCGGGGGATTTGCAGTCACAAAAGATTGCACTAAATTAAATACTCAGTGATTATTCATAATTATTGTAAACATATAACGATATAGCAGAAAAGTCCTATTTACCCTTTTACTGCCAAATAATGGAGGTAAACAACAATTTGATATCAATGTTATTTTGATAAAACATTTGTAAATTAAATCCCATCACACAAATCAACATGCATATTTTTTTCCTGGCCATGTTGTGTGAAATTTAACCCCTGGGAAATAGTTTTGATATGAACAATCGCAAAATATTAGCCCCACTTTATATGCTGTATGTGAGAATAATGTATAAATGGTATTACCTGTTTCACTGTCTTTCTCTTCATCATCACTTGATGAGGATTCAGCTTCCTCATCACTTAAAGAATCTTCATCTTCATCCTTCTCCTTACTTCTTTTATCTCTAGACTTCTTTCTATCAACAAGGACATCTTTATTTTCCTGGCCTATTTTAGGTTTCTTTTTCAATTTCTTTTTCTCTCTATCCTCATCGCTTTCATCACTATCTTCCTCTTCACTGTCCAACTCATAAAACTTATGGAGGTCTTCATTTGTTGACAAGTTCAAAGGACGTCCTCTTTTATCTATGGTGTATTTCATCTTAAATTTCTTGTCAGAAAACATACCCTTGAATCTTTTGTCAATTTTCACCTTACGGTCCTGTCGCGGTATTCTACGGAACCGATGGTCCATAGCAATGTGTGAGAACCTCTTGTCCTTCATAACGTCCTCCATCTTTGTCAGAGGATGTGTTTGACCTAAAGAAGACAAATTAAGCCATGTACACGACGATGAACCTAGCCCAGTTGGGCTTAGATAAAGCCATCAAACAGAAAAAAAGAGATATGCATACTGTGAATACTGACTTTACTTTTTTGACTATTAATTCTGGGCAAGATTAGGTGAAAACACTACAGATTTCTACTTCTACCAATACGCGGCCACCATCAATAAACTGATTATTCTGCCACTTTTGAAGATAGCAATGTAGTTTAATTCACTATAGTTAGTTTGTCTTAGTTTACAACATAAAAACTACTACAATACTAACAATAGGTACTTGAAAAATTGAAAAATGTTTGTTTTAAATAAATGACTTCAACTCCTGTTTGAATTGATGCATGTAACTTTTATTGTTACAAATTATATTAATCAATCAAACAAAAGGCCAAATGGGACTGTATCAATCATGTTATATATGATCAATGCTGAGACACACATCTCCCATCTTCAAAAGAGATCAAGTGCAATATAACTAAAATAAATTTGACAACCCTTAATTTTAGTAGTCCTTTATCAACCTTTAACACAGTACACATGTACTTGCACAAGCTAATTTAAATGACAAGGATAGCAGCAGAAATGTTTGGGACTTGTCACAAATATTACATTTCCAAACAAACAAATATGATACATACAACAAACAGATCTTCTCTCTGTCCTCAGAAAAAAGGATTGTCCTTTGAAAATTCCAAATACCGAATAAACATACAACTTCTTGTTTCGAGTTGACAGCTTCTGGATATCACACGTGTTTTTACCGGAAGTAAAATTGTTTACGTTTCGTTGTAGCAGCAAATAAAACAAAAATGTCAGTAAAGTTGTTCCAGCTTTATGATTATTTTTTTCTTATAACTGACATAATTGTTTATCGTAAAAGCATTTCTTTATTTTGAAATCGGAAAGAGATATTGTTTACGGTAATATTATATTAACATCGAGTCTGTTACTGTTGCCAGCTTGCACTTCCGGGATGGACCGGATCGGGTGATCGGATCGGATGATCATTTATATAACTGACAAATGGCAGTAAACATAACCGTGACATACTGAAAATGGCTTTCTGATATACGTCTCGTCAAAGGTAAACCCCTGCTTGTATGAATGTTAAAATAATAATGCTAGTTTTAGACGGAATAGGCAAGCAGTATTGTCGTAATCTCCACGAGAAGTCAAGACACATTTGACAACGAGCTCAGTCAGCTTTAATTTAGGCCTAGGCATAACTGGACAAACAAACACCCTTTTCTTTATATGTGATTTTGTACTGGAAGATTACGTTGCTCTGAATGTCAGCAGTATTTTAAAGACAGGTAGTCACATCTTTGCATTGTTCTTCATAATTTGATAAAAGTTATAATAGTTTACTTCGGATTTTGGTATGCAGTGCCAGTGTCACCTCAATCTTTGAGTTATTATTAACATATTATAATCAAAAAAAAAAAAGGTTAATCACTGTGAAAGCTCAGACAAGTTTATTAACCACCATTTTCCAGCTACAAATGTGTATGTTTTGGAGTTATAATTATAGCCCTATATAAATTAGGTCAGCAATGCCCACTCAATATCTTCAGTAACTTCAAACTGTAAAAGCTCCAGACAACTTTGATAACCAGTATTATCTGTGTGTTATTTTTAGAGTTATGGCCCTTTTATGTTGCATTGACTACTGTCAAAGACAAAAGGCTTGGAAAATTGACTATAAGAATGAGTGGGAGACAATACCTTGAATTTTAGTTTGGACAAAAAGAACATAATATAAATCTAGGGAATGCCAGACTTTCCTAGCATAGAGTTAGAGGAAAGTTTACAACACCAAGACTATCCAGTCATGTATAACTATTTGTTTATACTATGTATATTGTAATGGATATTTTTCTTTTACAGCTGATCCAGACATGGCCATGGAGCGAGCGACAAGAGTGGACTTAACCAAAACTATAGAAAGCCAAAAGGAACAACTACAGCGATATGAAAAGAGACTTAGAGGTTAAGATCATATTTGATATATAACTGACATCTCACTCTCTGCTAGTGTTGGGAATCACTTATAAATTCATACTCGATCATCACTTTCAATCAAGTGACTGCTGATCGACTAATGATCGATCAAATTGAACTTAAATTCAGTAATTTAAGGTTATATTCGCTTTCTGAAATCTACTTTCAATTTTGTTAACAGGGGAACGCAGACGTTAGAGAATTTCGCTAATGTACACACAACATTCATACAAAAAACAATAAGTTTGTTGACAGAACCTTATAATTATTGAAAAATATGTATTTGGAAATGAAATTGATGATGTTTGCAATGTCAGTTAGGCTGTGACAGCTGCATCTCGTATTCAGAAATGCCGCTATGGATTGGTATTCACCTGATGACACCCCGTCAAACTTAGCATTTTATTTGTAAGATAGCCCACACTTTCAACAAAGCGTTTTATTGATATCCAGCTAAGGACAAACAATACCTTCCAAACGTTTAAATCAGTAGCCCCCAGATAATCATAGAGTTTAATCTACGGAATTTCCTGGTTTGCCATATTGTCATGCACTGACTGAGCCATGCAGCATTTCTATTGAAACGCAAGTTCTGATTGGTTGTCGGGTGGACCGGCTAGCCAAACGGGCGTCGTGGTTATGCGAGACATTCGGTCAAGTTGTTTTGCCCAAGAACGAACAACTCGCTGTCGGCGGTAATAACAGTATCCGAGTTAATTTTTTGTTAATACTTAAATTAGTCAAACTATGATCGTTCATTAAAAACAAGGATTGATTAATCGATTTTCATAAACAAACAACCAGACGTCGACTAAATCGATTAATCAGAACAACACTACTCTCTGGAGACCATATATATGATACAGCATGATTTCAAGTTTTGTAATGTAGTGGATTCTGCTTTATGTCATCTTGCTTGATATAATAGTATAGTAAATGTTACGCTTAAATATCTATACATAATATTGGAACTTATATACCGGATCTGGGTTGTTTCACCCAAAATCCTGTTTGCAACTCAGGTCGTTTTTGCTCTAAATAAAATATTTTTAAGTAATGAATATCTGTTAACTCACTATTTTCATGTTTCACCACAGAATTGGATCTAAGTCTGTGGTTTCAGGAACAATTGAGATGTCAGAAGTCTTTCATGCAGGTGTAGCTACATTGTATATATGTGCAGTCTGGTCAACCACGTACAAATCTAATGCGTCTAATGACAAAAAAAAAAGGCTAATGGAGACCTAGAAAAAAACTCAAATAAGACTGTATTGGCCATACAGAACTAAACCAGACAAAAAACGTTTCGCCATAAAAATAATTTTATTAGAGTGTATATGTAACATCTTAGTGCGAAACGACCTGCAGGGGCAAACAGGATTTAGGGCGAATATATGTGACTTTTCTTATAATAGCTCTTAATGTTCGGTGTTCTCACTACATTTTGAAACAAACGGTCATCTTGAAAGAATGTCTGGTTGAATGTTCACATGCATGATGCTATGGTGTTAACGAATATTGGATATTGTCAATGTTTCAGATATGGTCCAGGCTTACAAAGGTCTGCTCAAAGAGAAGGAGGCCTTAGATGCTAGTGTCAAGGTCTTATCAAAGTCTAGTAAGGAGGAGAGGTCGCCAAGGCAACCAAGCCGAACACCAACCACTGACGATGGTGGGGATTCCTCAGCGGCAGAAAGCGACACAGAAGGGAGGCAGTTTGATGACCCATTGCAAGTGAGTTAATACTAATACACTCTGCCTCTGATACATTGATAATAGGATATGCCGTGTGGAAATCTGTTAATATTTTAAAAAACAATCGTCATAAAGCAACTCAACAAGACACGTGCAATTTAAGAAGAGAACATCTCCTACAATTTCACCTAACCCATTAGCTTTCACTATAGAAAATATTAATGGCCTATTGGAATGGTACAGGGAAAACAATTGTTTTGTTCAACTGTCTGCCTGATGATTTTAAGTTCAAATCTAGTTCTACCCGGATAAATTCACATCTAGCTCTACCCGGATAAATTCACATTATTACAATGAAGGCGATATTGGACACATGATTCAAGTTTCCGATGCAACTTTATATTACTTATGCCTGTGTCGCGACATCCTCATAAATAAAAAATAAATGCTTCCAGCCTTTAAACCACTTGTGGTATAAAGCAGATATGTCTATCACTGGCACTGCTGTTATTTACTTGGGCAGGGAGTGGTAAAATATGTATAGGTTATGGCAGAAATATTGTTCAAACAATTATTATTGTATTTCAGACTAATTCTGCAGATGCGGAGGATACAGAGGAGAGAGACGACCAGCTCCAGACCCTCACTGCTTCCCTATTGACCCTCACACAAGAGAAGTCGAAGCTGGAGGCCAGTTACGTCAGCGATAAGAAACGCCTCATAGTCAGTTTTACTCTTTGTAAATCCAACCTCTCTAAGTACACAGAACTATTTTATATAGATATAGAATATAAAGTTTTTACATTGACAAGCCTTTTTGGCAAGCTCATATATAAAAATTTGGAATTACATGACATTGTAGTTTCAACCATGTATAGATTAAAAACAAATTCAAGATCCTTTAAATCATCAAATTTACCAAAATGGTGTGCAATAATCTGTTTTCCAAGTTATCAGTAAGAAATGGGTTCTGTTTTTTTTTACAGCAAGAGAATGAAGAGTTGTCAAAAAAACTGGAGGAGCAACAAAATAAACATGAGGCTGAACTGAAGACCTTGGAACAGACATCAAACGAGGTGAGCCGTAAAGGAATCGCCTAAAATATTATAAATTACATGTTGTGTAAGTCTACAGTATGTTTTCTGTTTAACTTAATTTTTGTAAAATACATTGTACGTGATAAACCTGTACTGTTCCTTCTCCCATGTCCCACCATCGGTCTCCCAGGACACAAGGCAGTTCCACAATCACCACTCTCAATCACAGGGTGTAAAAACCAATGTTTTGTCTTAATAGTTGAAAAACCGGATCCGATCTCAGCAGGCTGAGAGGGAGAAGGAGCAGAATGCCCATGCCTCAATGCTGAGAGAACTTCAACGTCTGCTCGCCGAAGAACGCAACTCTAAAGAACAGCTGGAAAACCAGGTAATACCTATTAGTTTGGTAGTTTAGCGAGGAAGGAAATCTTTTAAATATATATTTTTTTATACCTGTACAAAGTTCTTTTTATTTAACATGAATCTGTATTATTGCCAGAAAAATTGCAATTGCAGTTAAGTCTACAAAGTGAGGTGTATAGATAAGGGGTTCTGTATACATATCACAACAATTCTTTGAAACTATGCCTTTGTATGAAAAACATGGTGAAATCACATTACCAGAAAGGATACGTTGTAATCATGATAAAAACAGAAGATATCAACCAGGATTTGATCTGTACTTACCTGGTAGTCATGACGTTGTGTTTGCCCAGTTGTGACTTTATGTGTACCTTGTCATGACTTTATGTGTACTGAGTCATGATTCAGGTGCACTGTTTCATGATTTGATGTGTACCTGGTCATGACTTGATGTGTTCTTACCTGTTTGTAATTTGTTTCACCAGCTGGAGGACACAACAGCTGCCCTGAGAGAGAAGGAGAAACTCTTACCCAATATGTCTGAGCACTTTGAGACAAGGACACAGGAAATGACTCGCGAAATCAAGAGTCTGCGCTCCAAACTCCAAGCTATGGAAGACAAGGCCAAGGAACCGTCGCCCCTGGTCCTCAATCTGCAGACAGAAGTTGCTGAGCTGAAGGTCAGAGTCATGGTTCTTTATGAAATAGACATGGCCATTCTGGACTTTAGAATAAAAGTATGCCGCAAATGGCAAAATCGGTGGTCATTAACAACTGTTGATACAGTTCCAACTCAAAGCTGTAGCTCATTAGTAGAGAGTCTGACCATACAATCTCAGAGTTATTTAATATTGATAGCAGCTATATACAAATGTTTGTCTTCAAATAAAATTAAGATGTTGAAAATATTTTTTGTTAATCTTGCCCAGAAAAATATTGTCCTTTGAGAAACACTCCTGAGAAATGTTAATAAATTGACTCTGAATTTCAAACGAACTTGACATGTGAAGAAATTGACTATCGTTAAGCTAGAACTGCAGCTATGATATATGTAGATATATATAGCGATAAATAGTTTTAAATGTCCATGTGACGGTAAAAATATAAATAAAGCAAAACATGGAGACTAGTATAATCGGCTAGCGCTTTCGCCCATCTTGGGGCTCTTCAAAGAAAGAGCCCCAAGATGGGCGAAAGCGCTAGCCGATTAAACTAGTCTTCAGGTTTTGCTTTATTTATACATATATATATAGTAGATAATAAATAAATAAGTCCTTGCGAAGGAAAATATAGAATAAAAACAAATTTTTCAGATCGTCCGCTATATATATATATATATGTTTTTAAATTAATAGGCCCAGTATAGAGTACAGGTACAACAAGAACAACACAGAGTTTTGGAGGCGGAGAATAAGCTCAAACAACTATCAGAGCAAAGTGAGAAGAGAGTGTCCACACTGGAGGCAAAGATCTCAGAACTTTCCGAAGTTGTCGGTGACTATGAGCGCCTTCGATTCCAGGATCAGCAGACGACACAGAAACTGAAGGACAGACTGATACAGCTAGACATGGAGAACACGGTTCTAGCCAGGGCAGCACACTCCCCAGGGAAGGCCGAACTAGGCGATGAAGACCAGGACCCCGCTAACCAAGATCCTCATGTGTTGGCAGATAAATTGGTGACTTTGAAAGGGTTACTGAAATTGGCCAATCAGAAGGCAGCTAATCCTGTTGATATTGATGGTAGGTAAAACTGGCCAATCAGAAGGCAGCTAATCCTGTTGATATTGATGGTAGGTGAAACTGGCCAATCAGAAGGCAGCTATTCCTATTGATATTGATGGTAGGAAAAAGTGTGTTTTACTAAGCTGGTGTTTGAGTAAAGCTGCAACATAACTATGTTTTGTAGGTTTTTCTGTGTGTGATGTCATCTAAAGGAAACAAGATTTTGTTCAAGATACAAAAAACTAAATATCACAATCTATGGCTTGTATAATTTTATAATAAAATTTATTGTAAATAGATTTGAAGAACCTGAACAGTAAAACTGATAAAATATTTTCTTTGCAACAAATATAACTTTAATAATAGTACTGTCAACACATCTTTATCATTATACCCATATAAACAAAGTTAAGGGAAACCAAAGGGGGAGTCACCCATTTCAGTGAAATCGCTAAATGTTATTTTTTTATGACCTAATTAAATTTGTAGCTTGAATATTATTTTGTGAAGCATTGTTCAACACGTTTCAGTTGTATAACCAAGAGTACTGACAAGGTTTTTGTTGACAGATCTGCTACAAGACGACACGTCTTTGGAGTCTAACAAATACAAGGAGGAGCTGGAGAAAGTCAAGGAAGAGTTTGAGCGCTACAAACTACGGGCTCAGTCAGTTCTCAAAAACAAAAGTACAAAGGTATGTAGACCAAAACTACTGGTCCTGCTGCCCTATCTTTGGTTATATATATATATAATTACTTGCTAATGTATGAACTCTTGGATAATGTTGTCTAGTATACTGACAAGGTTTTGGGTACTCCCTTTCCTGTTGTCTAGTATACTGACAAGGTTTTGGGTACTCCCTTCTCTGTTGTCTAGTATACTTACAAGGTTTTGGGTACTCCCTTCTCTGTTGTCTAGTATACTGATAAGGTTTTGGGTACTCCCTTCCCTGTTGTCTAGTAAACTGACAAGGGTTTGGGTACTCCCTTCTCTGTTGTCTAGTATACTGACAAGGTTTTGGGTTCTCCCTTCTCTGTTGTCTAGTATACTGACAAGGTTTTGGGTACTCCCTTCCCTGTTGTCTAGTATACAGGACAAGGTTTTGGGTACTCCCTTCCCTGTTGTCTAGTATACTGACAAGGTTTTGGGTACTCCCTTCTCTGTTGTCTAATATTCTGGACAAAGCTTGATACTGCTTTCCTTCTTGTGTGTTATACTGGACTATATATTTTTTAACTCGTGCAAAACATTGAATTCCCAGACACGTATACGTTGGAAGGCTGCCAAGGTTGGGGCCTTGGGGTCATGATCAGCCTTCAGACTCTATTTTGGGTGCTCTGCTTATGGTTGTCTTGAAAATTGGACAGAATATTTGGTAACTTATTGGTCATTCTGGGTCAAGATATTTATCATATTCTTGTGAATCTTGCTACATACTCATAAATAACCAATTATCAGGCCAGAAAACAGGGTTCCATTACTTTTATATTCACCTGAAAAAGTTCAAAGTTTTATTTGGGGGGGGGGGTGCATTTTTTCGTTTGGTTTAAAGTTTTGGAAGTACAATGTAATAAGTAATTTGAGCATTAACCTGGGGGAAATCATGTGTTAAGTTTTACAGGAATTTAAGACCAACTACAAGTATGAAAATACTGCGTATCACCATGTATTGTCATGGACTATGCCTGTACATGTAGTGTTCATTCACAAAGTTAAAGTTAAAGATAGTTTTCAATACAGGTGCTGTTAGAGCTCCAAAATTCAATAATTGCATGATAAAAAATTAAGGTTTATTGTTTTTTACACTAAGTGAAGTTTTAGATTCAGAAGACAATGTTTCAATATTGCTTTAGTACTTATTAACTATAAATTATGTTTTCCTAAGTGAATTACAGTATATGCGTAAATGAGTTTCCTCTGGAATTCATGCAAAAAATGAATCTCTTGCAATAGTTAGAACATGTATTTACATTTTATAGCATCACACACATTTCTTGTTCTGACATCACATACATCACTGGTTAATTGTGTGAATGTAGACCTGTCTGCTCACTCAAGTTGTGCTAAGCATGATGTGTGGCATAGCCGCGTTATCAAAGACACTGCATGGTGTGTTTTCTTACCAGATCCATCTCAAGTTCAATACGTCGGAATCTGAAATAAGATTAATACTGTATGTTAGATATTGTCTCTGAAGAAATTTCTCATCATGGTTATCACACCAATCTGTCGCCATTGTCATTTTAGGATGTTGGAAACACCAAAGAGGTTGACTTGTTGAAGTCACAGATCAAAGACTTGAAGGACAAATTAAAAACTCTTCATTTACAAATGGACGAGGATATGGAAATGTCAAAACACAGAACGGGCAGCATGCAAAAAACAGTCGTGTCGCTGCAGGAAAAACACAAACAGGACGCGGCTACGCTGGCGGCAGAATATAAACAGCGCATAGGTGAAATGGACATAGAGTTGAGAAAACAAAGGGAAAGAACTGTGTCATTGCTGGCAGAAAAAGATCGGGAAATTGGGCAATTGAAGGCAGGTAATGTGCATAGGATTGAAGGAACCTATTATAGTCAGTTGAGGAATCCACCAGATTCCGGTGCGTCTGCAGAGTTACCTATGGACGTGCTTCAGTCAAAGTCAGAAGAGGAGCGTGCTGTGTCGCGGCTGCTGAATCTAGGTCATGGTGACGCGAATCTTATCTATTTCAGTCAAGAGCAAGCACGAAAGGATGTCGAGATAAATTCTTTACGGAAACAGAAACATGAAATTGAACTGGCACTTAGAGATCTACAGATTTCTGCTAGTACACAAGCAGAGTCGTTATCAGATACAATCGACAATATGAAGGAGTCTGTTAGAAAAAGTGAACGAGACAAAATAAGAGAAGGAGCAAACTTGGAATATCTTAAGAATGTCACCTACAAGTTTCTCATAAGTGTAGATCCACAAGCTAAACAACAGATGATGAATGCCATCACGACAATTTTACAGTTTAGTCCACAAGAGAAGGCTGTTGTTCACACACAATTCAAAGGATGGTGGAAACACTAGCAAAGGGAAACCACTCCATTTTATTAAGAAATTTGGAGGGGGGGGGGGGGGGGGGGGGGTTGTGAACAATTTTAAGGGTTATTGTTCTTTTTGAAAGATGTCAAAAATATTTTTTATTCAAACCAGGCCAAATTAACTGATTTGTATAGCATTGACATGAATTTGAATGGGTACTTAACATGTCTTTGCTGAAAGATTAGGCTGAGGTTCAGTCTATGTCTGTAACAGACACGTAATGGGGTCTTTAAAGAGTAAGTTCATAAATTGTTGTTTTTTTCATCTCCAGACAGATGTTGGTGAAATTGGCTTTTTGGGTAAGGTGATCTTTATTTTAAATCTTGAGATAAAAAAAAGTCCTTTTCATGGTACGGTATATGTGCATTTAATTTCATGTAATAAATATTTAGAATGTTGGTGTACATTTAAAAACACAAAATGTAGATTATGCCAGTATTACTAGAACTGACAATAGAAAAAATAATAAGGTACATTTAGATAAGAAAATTGGGTTGGTTACCTAATTAACTTCAGTTATTGTAGTAGGTTAACAAGATATTAATGCTTTCCAGGCAGTACGCTGAGGGAAACATTTTTTTTTGAAAATGTTCATAAAAAATATTTTAGTGTATTGATAACTTGATTTAGTGTAATTTTGTTTTAACTGAAATAAAACAACTTAAAGGCACTGTGTCAACTACTTAATTATACCCCGCACATTGAACTTAGATAGTTTACTGGAATTAAGGTGCCTATCAGTCTGTCTGCTGATGCAAGATTGTCAAGACTACTTATCCTAAAGAATTGTATAAATTTCAATGAAACTTTGTACCTTTTACCAATTGGTAAGGTAGTTGTTAGCTTTACATTTTCATTTTTGTTATGAATGAAATTTTGTTAATTACTACCAGAAGCTAGACTTTAGGAGGTCAGAGTGTTAGTTCTTACAATTCTTGTTTCAGACGGCCATGTAATATTGTACAGTTTGAACTGTGTTTGATTATTTGTGAAAATGATAGTTATATTTCCGATGCTTATAACTGGGGAGGGTATAAGTATTTTAGCAACAGCTCAAATAAAAAAAAATCTGTTAGGTCCATAATTACCTGTGATACCTACTGAAGCTTATTCTTTAGTCGTTAGATAAAAGCCCCTTTTCCCGTATCCGGTTCAACCGTTTGAAAGAAAACGATAGGCACCAATCTGAAGCGAGACTGACCTCAGGAATATTAAGCACGTGTAGATTGAGACGTGCCAGACCGAAACTAAAATGATGACTAGGGCTCGTTTGCATGATTTCTTTATTAAACAAGGTCAAGCCACATGTAGATTTTAAGATACATTATATATTTTTGTGGACGAGTGAAAGAAGGACATATTATTCTTGATATATATTGTTATTTATTCACCGAAACTGTACATTTTTTTTAGATCTGTCAATAGCTCGGTCCAAGTGCTTTCATTTCTCTTGGAATATTTCTGTGCCATCGATCTGAACTGTTTCAACCGGGGTACACAAATGCAACCAAAGTTTGTCTGATGTTTTTTATTGGGACTTTCATGTACACTTTTTTGAGGTTGCAAAATTATATTTGATTCGGTATTATTAAGAAAGAATTTTGTAATTTTGTTTAACAGAGTCAATTTCCAAATATTACCTTCTGACAGGTATGGAATGGTTAAGATTGTCTCCAGTTGAGGTTCCATAGTCAAGCATGACGTAACCTACTCAAATCATTTAACCCTTTCACCACTGTAGACCATAATGGACTCATCCATATCAATGAATGGTAGAGTCTACTAAAGTTTCATAGGGGTGAAAGGGTTAATGTGCCTATGTCTAAGTATTTGAGATCATGGAAGTAATTGTTGTTGAGTTATTTCAGTTTGTTTGATCAGGTTATAAGACAAGTTGATGAATGTTCCATTGCTATGTAATTGTTGTAGGTTACCATTGAAAACTGGGTTTATGTAAAAATGTCAAAAATTGATGAAAATTAGAATTATTAGCAAACTCTTTGGAGTTAAAGCCCAAAGTGATCATTTATAACATCACACCTTTGAGATTTTTGCTATTTCGAACATGGAATGAACCTTTTTCTCACAAATGAAATTCCAAACATTGGTGAAATTTATTTATCTTCTCCACTGAATATTAAATCATGAAAAGTAGTGCAATACATAATCACTGCCTTAGAATACAAGCTTGATTTGGAGAGGATAGGAGGGACCAGGGAAGCAGGGCTTACCGAGCTAGCACCAAGTCTAGCCAACACTGATCCCTCCAGAGTCCAATTAAATCTAGCATTTTAATTAAGACATTATTAATGTGTTATTTCTACTGCAGCACCTCCGATTCATGCTATTAACAGACACACAGGCATACTTCACAATAAAATGACTTATACATCACATTGTTGAATGAAAACTAAAACACAATGAAAGAGGCCAAAATGTTTACACTGAGTGTCACATGGAGACACATATTTTTGTGTGTATAGTCTCCAGTTTTATCTCAATATTGATAATTTAATTAACTTGTTTAAAAACTGAAATAGACACCTCCGATTATTATTTGGTGCAGTTTCGTGTTGTGATGTTTTAATTAGATCCAGTTTTGATCGAAATTTGTTGTCACGGGTGAAATTGTTTTATGTACATTTCAATTTCAAAGAGAACTACAGAGATTAGATTTTTTTTTTTTTTTCATAGTTTGAATTTTTCACAAATGAATAACATTTTTGAGATTTTATCTCAGTCATTTTGATGATGGTAGATGCATGTTTTTTGACCCTGATGACATGGACCAAGTGTTTTGTTATTTTCTAAAAAAAAAACGCCTGCAGTTATTGAATTTTCATGGAGGAGCAAGAAAAGGTGAACAGGCAAAAAAATAAAGAACTATTTTTCATGTTTCAAGCAATGAACATTTTGAATCTCAGTAATTTTCAAATTATGTCATCAGTAAATTGTTGCTAAGCAAATTGGGATCTGAAAACATTGAGCTGTGCTGAACTTTTTGATAATTCATGTATTCACTTATATGAAGTTGTTCTCCCAATAAGTTAACTTGATTACTGTAAAAAGAGTTCAAGTTGAAGTTTGATAAATCTGTCACAATAAATACGGTCCAACCCACTCATGTGACAACCTCGATTTAGAGACCACCTGTGTTAAGAGACCACTTTTAATGTTCCTAATTGTTGGGATTTCATTGTGAAAATAACCACTTTTAAGAGACCACCTGCATTAAGAGACCGCTATTTCGACTTCTCAAAGGTTGTATATAAATGCAGGTTTAACCTTAGTGTTCATTGTTAATATCTTACAAACATTTGTGTGACCGACATACTGTGATTATTTACTAGTGGTAGTTAAGGTCTTCCAAGCTTGTAGTGACTCACTGGTAGATTCTCAGGGTAATCACGTCTCTGTTTTAAAATTGACTGATAGTCATTATCTCCCCCTTCAGAAGACACCGGTTTATCATAGGAGTACTTCCCAGCCTGCTTATACCAATTGGTGCAGCTGGGTAGGCTAGCCTTTAAGCTAAAAATCCTCGATTTTGTTACATTAGTGTACATCAATTACTAATATTCATTCATCGACTTTTGGATATCTTCTTTACTGCGTTACCCTCATTACACTTCCACCTTACATTCTGGTAAGTTTGACGTTAAAAGAATACATCAAGATGATTTCACATTCTTAAAGCAAAAGTGACATTTTACAATCATGATATTCCAGTAAGTTGTTATGAGAACCAACAACTAAAATTTAAAACCAAAATTTGGAAACAAATCACTATAAAATATTGGTATACCAAAATATTTATTATAAAAAAATCATGAGCAAAGACCAGGGAGGCATTCAATGGTTGGTAAACAATGGAGTTAGCAGTGTATAATCACAAAGAAAATTTGTTCGTGCAACATGGTAGCTATATAATTATGTATCCTTGACAGCAGTACTGGTTTCCTAATGATAAGTACTGAGTTATTGTAACAGTTGCCTTAGTGACTTTGTAGAATTGATCAGACCTCTTCCACAGATGTGCTTTATTGATGTTCTCAACAGGGTGCTTACCACAGGGACTTGACTCCTACGAGGTTGTGGTAAACCACAAGGACCCGACTCCTACGAGGATGTGGTTAGCCACAGGGACCCGACTCCGACGAGATGGTGGTTAGCCACAGGGACCCCACTCATACGAGGTTGTGGTTAGCCACAGGGACCCGATTCCTACGAGATTGTGGTTAGCCACAAGGACCCGCCTCCTACGAGGTTGTGGTTAGCCACAGGGACCCGACTCCTACGAGATTGTGGTTAGCCACAGGGACCCCACTCCTACGAGATTGTGGTTAGCCACAAGGACCCGACTCCTACGAGATTGTGGTAAACCACAGGGACCCGACTTCTACGAGATTGTGGTTAGCCACAAGGACCCGACTCCTACGAGGTTGTGATAAAATTCTTATATTTAAAGTCTCGTATTTATCAAAAAACTCATGGAACATAACAATGTGATTGTAGTGTCAAACTCCATCTGGAGGAACTCTCTAGATGATTATGTATAAACAGTTAACTCTCTCCATAGTACCACATGGGTACTGAGCACCATGAGATTACTTTTGTATATATATATATGTCTGGTAATAAATTATTATCTATATAACTTTAAAAATGTCTTCTTTTTTCATTATAACCAGTGTGGGTATGGTAATATGAAGGCCATGGTGAAATGAAACGGTTCATTTCACCATTATGGGTATATGAACTGCCTCATGGTGAAATAAAGGATACCATCAATTCTTTTATGACCATTTTTTTTCATTATTTCTTTTCTTTTAGTTTACATCAGTTTGATGTTCCGTATATGAAAATCACAAAAATTAAGGTTGGGGTAGAGAAATTCAGGGTGGGGCAGGGGGTTTCACTTAACCATGATGGTGAAATGAAGGGTTTTAGCACTATTATTTCTATTTCACTTTTTTAAACCAAATCTGTTTAAGTGGTACTATGGAGAGAGTTAACTGTTTATACAAAAAAAATGCTAAAAACTTTCATTTCACCATTATGGTAAAGTGAAGCTCCCCTGCAAAACCCTGAATTCTCTACCCCAGACTTAGTTTTGTGATTTTAATATTCAGGACATCAAAGTGGGTTCTTGGCAAAGCTGGCGCTTGGGCTCCATAACTAGTCCTTATACCGACGGCAACAGGAAATGGGTCATATATCGCCGCAGGTCTGTCCATTTGCGTTTCCGCTCCGGCAGCTTCCATTTTGTCCACGCCCTTGTAGCCCGTTTCGATTCCCTTCCTCTCATGGCCCCGTCCTCTCTGCTGATTTCCCCGTATATTATACCATTGGTCTTTTCTCCTCGTCGCTTGTTCTCAAACCTCTAGAAATGTGTTGCCCACAATCCTTGCTGCAGTTGCCGTCCTGGGCAGGTTGCTCCAACGATATTCCGGTGCTTGAGGATACCTTAGGCATGCTCCATAGGTATACTTGTGGACCATTTGTCTGGGGAATGAGTGGTGGGTCTAACTATGTGAAAAGTCTTTAGAATACTACTCCTTGGGTGTGAATAAAGGGACATGAATAAAAATTGACTTGGAGTATTCATTAATCAATGTTCTCGTAACGAAGAGCGTGGTTCCTTTGGGGACAGAGGGGTTGGGTCTTGTACAGTTAAACATCAAAAAGAAGACTGCCTGTTTACACGGAATATTCATTGGCCAGCAGATTGTTGTATAACAAAGGTTGTAACCCTCTTGGGTAGCAGAGCACGGCTCCATGGAGATAATTTCAAATACTACTCCGTAAGAATGGGTGACTAGATTTAAACCTCACTGGTAGGTGTGTAGCGTCCATGAGTGAATGGTATACATTGCTGTTAAACTGAAAAATGTGGCAGCAAAGGAGCAGGAATATTTTAAACGAATCCAGCTCCAGAATATATATATGTTAATCAAACTTCGTGAAAATGGCCATCCCGGCTCAATGTCTTGTTTTTTTTAAACTTTAATGAATGTGTAGCTTGAAAGCAGAATCATGTATATATATGAACACTGGCGAAGATTGATTTTACAGTATCTAGTTGTTTCCGATAATATAAATTTGGACCAGATAAACTAGCATTACATTTGAACAATAATTATCTGTAAATATGATGAAATCCCAAACGTACAGCCGTGACCTTTTACCCCCCTCACGATGTTGTTATCAGAGCGTCGTCTGGTCACTTATCATTATCATGATGGAACAGCCGTCTCTCTCGGGAGACGGAATGGAGATTGGAGTGGTAGACACGTGTGTTCTGTAATATAATGGATGTCATGTACCACAATCTATCTGATGTACCGTATCACTGTCAATATTTACATCGTCGTCTCCAACGGCTACTGTATCATGGCTGCTGTTTGTTCTCAAAACATTCGAAGATTATTTGAAACATTGATTATAAAAATGGCAGAGTTTATAATTGATTTTTTCCCTTCAATATCAATACGATGTTAATGTCAATTTAACCAATATCATTAACGTAACATGGACTGTCTGAAGAGTATTTTGTTTTAAAAGTATTGAGGACCAGTGATGAATTCTCCATGACCTATAGTTATTTGTAAGGTGGCGCGTTGTGTGTGTTGAGGTTTTGTTTGTTTAAAGTTTTAAACGAAATAAAACCGGTTGGATGGTAACAAAGTAGGTGATGTATATGCAGAAGTAAAGTGTCATGATGTGGGAGGAACCGGAGTACCCGGAGAAAACACACAAGGTCGAGCAGGTGACCCATACCTTTTCACGGGGAATCCAGCCCCGGTCGGCTTGGTGATAGAGTGCCCTATCCATTCACTTTACGTCAACACCAGTAATCACAGGGGCGTGGCACATATCTCAAACCCTACAGTTCGTATATATACGCAGTATGATACATAATACAAAGGACCCATCCTCGATACCCAGGCGCTAGGCTGATATCTGTCCTTTGAAGATTACAAAGGGGCAACACCCGACTTCAAAGTAAGTCAATTTTACCGTTACGCGACCGCGAGATTCTTTTGATGTTCATCAAAGGATCGAACTAGTCTTCTAGTCTCATCAACACTATGCTACACACTGAGCCTTCGATGTTGCTATGATATATTCCAGGGGTGCAAAGAGCTTTAGTTAGCGTAACCCTTGGATAAATATATGTCACATTCTTTGTGCGAAAAAAACGGTATCGCAGTATTCAATGACGTAAAACTGGTTCGATCATGAATTGACGACAGGCATCAGTCTTTTTTGGAAAATGTGGTTACGGTAGGGGTATTCCTATCGTAGAATTATGAATTTAGTTAGAGAATCTTTATTAATTGTTATAAGGCAGATGACATGTATAACGTTCCGCCCAAGTCTAGAAAACAATAAGTCGTGAGGGTGTGATGGAACAATCAACGAGTACCGTTTTAGTTGGTATATAATTGTGTCAAACATTTATATATTAATTGTTCTTAAAACAATGAGGGGTCTAAGAATCTTCGGTAATTATTTAGCCATTATTGTAATGGGGACATATGTGTAAACTCCAGACGTGTTTGTTAGTGGGGTTTAACGTCCTCGCAACAGCGGGGGTCATTTGGAGACGAGACGTCAACATGTAAATTCCCAATATAGACTGGCTGATGAGCAAATATCCCGAGAATAGAACCTTTATGTTGGTTGTATATGATATGCTATGATATCGGAGAAGAGTATCATTATGTATTTACACAGTCAGTGAAATTTATTCCAAATGAATTACTATCGTTTTAGCTTCAGTCTTCAATAAAAATAAACTCGTCAATGTATAAATCTAAATATGTGTTGAAGTTTATTGCCTATGTATATTATTTGCAACATTGACTTAACGTTTTATAATAAAAGTACCAGTCAGCCATGTCTGCGATATATATTGTACATTTAGGTACATGTGCTTGTAAAATGCAATCTAAGATGTGTATAAGGATAGGAGCGGTATAAATCATCGCTCCTTCTATTTTACCGTGTGTGGTAGATTGTAGAACTTACCAACAAAATTACCTTTATTCGTAGGAGGCGACTAATGTGTGACCTCCCTGCAGAATTGGGGATTATGCTTTGTTGTCCTCTATTTGGGGACACAAAAGCGACCAAAATAAATCTACTGCGCCCATTGCAATATTTTCGTTTTTTTATCTTTCTAACTACTTTTTACCTTTTATTTCCTAGCGCCTTGCTTGGCAACACATAATTTTTGGCTTGATCGTTGAGCGTTCGCCCAGGTGAAGAAGGCAATGGGTTCTGTCCCCAGGCCGGAAAAAAATGGTACACGTAGTTATTATTCCCTGCTTAACGTTCAGCAATAAGCAGAATGACAACAGATGGTTCACCCGTTGTCAGTATAATGTGACCGGGCGGAAGGCTGTGCTTGGTGCCTTCGGTGAGATAGCACTATAAAGTCGGCATCAGATCATAAGGAGGCAGGCACACCAACATACCATGTCTCCTGCATACACACACGCAAGCACGCATACACTAGTACTACACACATGGAGGCACGTCCTTAAATGACCTTAGCTGTTAATAGGACGTTAAACAAAATTAAACCAAACCAAACCAATATCCGGATATTGGTATGCTTTGCTAATTATCAGGTATTTATTAGAGGTCAGATCTTTTGGAAATAAAACAGAACAAAATAGCTTCACACGTGCACGGACGAAATCCCGAAACAGGAAAGGCAGAGGTTTGAACCAGGTGTTATGGAAGGGTAAGCGTTTTGGTTATCGTCCTGTTGTTTACCGTTAAATACAGAAAAAGCATGTTGCTAGCAATCTATCACGTAGTAGATAAGTCTTTAATTTGATCTAAATATTCATACCTGTATTTTTTATGGTAAAGTAAAAAAAAAAACAATTCGATGTGTATTTGTTCTGTATTAAACGTTTAATTGGTATATAACATCATAAAAATAACAATGACGATAGGACTTTTTATACAATCTCCATAGTTACATAACGGTATGATATCAACGACAAACAGCGATAACTTAATAACACACAAATATTTTTCACCACAAAGATTACAACAATTAGACCAGATACTTTCCGTTTCTTAGCATGAAATCAATCGGACACCGTCGGCACTCTCCGTAAACAAGAAAATACTCGTTTACGGAAAATGCCGACGTTTCCCGATTGAGCAAAAAATAATGAAATTAATTAATCGTAAAATTTTCTGTGAATGTTTGCTTATATTACAGAATTGGAAAATAAAATAGATCAAATAAATAAATAAACTATTTACATATCCTGTGTATATTTTTTATATATACTGTGATCACAAACGTTAGCAGTTTTTTTGTCATTATCCACTCGTGATGCCAAGATATGACATCATAATAGCAATGACGTCATAATTAACATGATTGAACCATGAATACAAGTAACGCATTCTAACTCCTCCCGGGAACGAAACTATTTATAAAGGTCACCAACGACGACAATCCATGTGTATTTTAAACATTATTAAAGTATTTTTTCTACGAAAACATCCCGTGAGGAGTTATGCGCTCACCTGTTTAATTAACGTGCTTTTACCTTCTGTTGAGGTTTATTTTTTTCCATGATGATAGGTCGTGAAGAAAGATTGAATCTCAACAAAGAAAGCTAAAACATACACGTTTTTAGTTACGAGACTGAATTTCAAATGACTCTTAATGATTAACCCCGAGAAATTGAATACGCTTCAGGAAAACACGATTTATTTCCATTGTTTAAATGTTGGAGTTCTATTTTGATAGACGAGCTTCTCTTCTAGCCAATTGAACGCCAAAAAACAAAGATTAAACTAGAAACAAATACAGTATCGGTCTCCGGGATATTGGTAGCAATAAGAAGACATCGTCGCATTTGATTAGAAATTCTGCATATCGATGTTATTTCAGGTTGTCCTTTCCAAATAACAGTTCTAGAATATAGCCTAAGAAAGTCTGGATACGTCCCCAGGGTGCGACTGTATCACATCAATGCATGGCGTTATAACATCCGGGCACTATACAACTGGCCAAACGACGAATCAAAACGTATTTATATAGATCATTTGATTTTGACGTCACGATATAAAAACGCATTTTATTGTGACATAATGAGAAATTAAGCTGGCTATGATATCGTTACAATAGAAGTGACGTCATTGAAATCAGTACTCTGGCGTCTCCATCCTTTCTTGCTTTCTGGTGCGTGACGTTTGCGGATATGGCGTCTCATCATCCTCGTCATCCTCCTCCTCACTGCTGGGTTCACCGTTCTGCTCCCTCTCCACACCGTCGTCTTTCAGATCGCTCCCACGTGACCGGTCAAACTCGTCTTCCTCGTCCTCGAACCTAGTGTGTCCGTTCGGTCGTCCATGTTCTGGCTGCTGCTTCTGTTGCTGAAAGTTCTTGTTAGGTTTCCGCTGTTCGTCCTCCTCGTATCGCGGCGATGACTTGTTCGGCTTTCTCGGCTGCGGTTGATCTTGCTGCCTTGATGTTCTTGCTGGCTTCTTGCTTTCATCTCCCCCGTACCTCGATTGATTAGAGTACTCGTTATCCTCCTCGTAGCGAGACGTCTTGTTTCCCTTGGTCGGCTGTCGGCGTGGCTCAGCTTCGTATATTGGTGTCTTGTTCGCTTTCTTTGGTTCCTTTCCCGCTCTACCGCGTGGAGGACTGACGTTTTCTTTCTGATTCAAGTCGGTGGATGGCTCGTTCCGTCGTTTTAGAGGCGTTATTTTGTTTACGGGTGGTCCCTTCTTACTTTTTCTTACAGGTTCCGATTCTGGTTCTTGTTCCGAAAAGCTTTCTTCGTTAGTATCAGTTACTCCAAGCTCTTCCGGATATCTCTCCTTCCCGCACACGAACAAACAGTCGTTAACCTTGACCTCTCTGTTGAGCTGTGAGAAGCTGTAAATCTGAAACACATGGAAAGCAATTCGCTATTAGAAGTCAATCAACAGTCACAAAATAACAATTCACAAAGTAGATATCATAGCACACCGTAGCTATGATGTCACATGGTAGATACGATGACAGTAATGTCATCAGGCAGATATGTGACATTAAAAAACAACAACATATAACGTGTCCATGCAATTTCAGCTATACTTTAATCCTGATTTCGTGTAGCGTGATATATAGCCATACTAGTAAACTCGGACTCTAACGCGCACCAAGAAATATGTTCGTTGCCAGCTGCGTTCATACTACCGTATACGCCGTCAAAAAGAAGGTCAGTCCTTTAGTGTTTGGTCAAGATGAATAGCATACACAGATAACCTATGTCGTTATGTCAAGATACAAGTTACAAGATGCAAGAATTTTTACCTAAAGTCGCAGATTTCAAACAGTCAACATTAGCACTGTAGCGCTATTCTTGCGACAAAATGTCGGTAAAGACTTTAGAAGAACTACAAAACGAACCTGTTGATAGGGTTTTCTGGAGGAGAAGATGCCGGTTGCTGGCGGGTACTTAAGCTGGAGCATGGTCCCCATATCTTCGAGGATCCGTTCGAACGGCTGTGTTGTGTTAGGATTCAGGATCATTTTCTCCTTGCTGTAGCGGTCCGTGTTACTGATAATGGTGAAGGTGACTTGCTTGTTGGTTGCCGTGGAGTTTGAAGTCCTGGAGTCGTTGAACTGCGCACGCTCGTGAGTGGCTCGGCCCTGCTCACGTGACGACCTGTGACTGTTGGTAGTGAGGCTCTTGGTGGGACTGATTGGCTGGTCCATCAACAAGTTATACATTATCACATCTTTCTTGAAACGCTGGGAACTCGACACGATGCAGATGTCACCTCGCTCCAGCTCCTTGACAGACTTCACTTCTTTCTTGGTTTTGAGATTGAAAATGTGTCGGACCCCCATTTTGGTGTCGATTTTCTTGTTGAGATATTCACACAGACTTTCTATCGACTTGAACTGGCGGTCGTTGATGGAGACGGTCACGCCCCTGTGTAGACGGTCGTCATCTTTAAAGAACTTGACGAGATTGGCGCGTCCTTTCATCTCGCGGTCTTGTAGTGTTGGCGGGTCCCCCTCATACCTCTCGTAGCGCGCGCTGGCGTAGGGTTGTGGCTGGGAACGGCGCACGGGAGCCTGTTTGGTGTTCGATTGATTTCGAATCGTAGGCTGTTGGATGTAACCATCACTGTCACTGCCGGGCGATTCCTAGGGAAACAGAAAAAAAGTAACTTAGGGAACATGACACCATAGCGTCACTAAAAACAAAACTTTAAAGTCTCACTAAATAGTCGAAACGTACACCATTACTCAACTGACTTTAGTCCTGCATCCTTTAAAGTTGGTCTAGTTCATTTCGTTCCCTAAATAGACAGCATGCTTTTGGCCCTATATCATGAGTCTATGACTCTTGGTTATTCATAAGAAATCGTTTTAACATGTTTTAACACATTTGACCCTCGTTGCCTTTTAAGTGGGTTTAACTCATTCATGGAAGCAAGCTTGATAGCCTTCATTCAAACATGAGACTTGATAAATATCGCTACCCGATGTATACCTCTTGGTTATTCAGAAGAATTAGCTTGAAGGTCTTAACACATTTGACCCATGAAGCCTTGAAAGTAGATCGAGGTCATTCTTTTAAATAAACTTCTTTACAAGCATGCTACTGGCTTCATTCGGAAAATTATTTACAATATGTATTAACGTGTTTGACCCTGTGACATTGAAAAGGGGCAAAGTTAGTTCATTTGGACAAATTTGAAAGTTTTTTTTATCACTGCATTCTTCCAGACAAAGACTATTATCCTGTGCCCCTTGGATTAATCGCACTGTATATTTTTGTTTACTAAATAATACATTTGACCTTGTGGTGTATATATACCGTGTATCTCTTTTTGTTGTAACGCATCAAGAAACGAATGGTAATAAAGCTTTAGAATACTGAATAATAGCAAAAACATATCTTAAACTGATCAAGAAATACGGTCAATGAATTATAGATCACTCTATAGGCTTGATTCATTCAAATCAATTTTCAGTGCCACTGTGTACGCGCATAGATTAGATTTTATTGAATTATTCTTTTAACAGTTAAGAACGATCAGGATCGCCATCGAGAATTTATCGGTTGATCGCAAAAATATACTGTTCCCCTGAAACCGATGTAAACCACGTTTCCGGTAATACGATTTCAAGTATTCACTTGACGTGACTGAATTCCAAACCGTATTTGGAACATTTTTTTTGGACATTTTCTTGACGTTTTCACGTGTATGAAATTCAAGCCATAAATGTTGAAGCAACTTTTCATGTTTAATACAATGTCATAGATTTCCGTGTTTTATGTGTACTCTCTCTAAGCTGCAACAGGGTCAGCGGATTTTTTGTGTCTAGAAACCCATCATACAAGGAAACGAAAACGTTAATGTTTATCTTGAGAAACTGAAATTTTAAACATTTTCATATGATATTTTTAACGGTAACATGATAACATTTAGATTAAGATTGTTGGATTTGAAGTTTTCATGATACTTCAGAATCAGTTTTGAACTCTTTATTTTTTTCCCTCTAGGAAATAGATTCTTTGAGTTATCTGTTTACTTATTTATAATGTAGCGGAACTGGACTGGGTTGCTTGCTGACGATGAGTTGACGTTAACGCCTGTCTAGAGTTCGGAGGTCCCGGGTCCGAATCCCAGTCTGGCTGTGCATTTTTCTTCTCCTGTTACAAGTATATTGTTCACATAACTTATCGAACAATAAATAAATTACCATGTAAATAACTGTGACGGTAGCAGCCGTTATACCTGAATTGTTACAAACAGGTAAGGATACTGCGGAGAATAGTACACACAATTACGTGTCGAAATATTTGAGTGTCGCTAGGAGACCAGATTTTAATACGATCGTATGAATAAGTGATGGCTGGATATGTCCAGGTAGACACGCAGGTAAATATACAGGTGGGCGATCGATGGTATTGTGTTGATTAATACACAGACAATCGTACCTGGCTCATCACCTGGCAGACTCACCTGTTGGTCAGTATTAGCGGTATCGATCCCCTGTGCAGTGGCGATCGAGTTGCGCTGATTGGAATTGTGTTGTAAACAATACACACGTGTATCTTTAACGCTGTGTACCTGTACGCGAGGATGCTGAGAGTCATGTGAGCTTATCTGATGGTGCGACGTGCGTATCAACATTTATTAAAACTATTTCTATAAGACCATGAGACTTAAAGTCATTATATTTGTCCTGAAGCTGGGGTGAAGGGTCAAATTTCTATGAACGATTGACCTTCACCTACTATGGTAAAAGAATCAAATGTGTTGAATGCATCAGTGGGTGGTTTTCTGAAGAAATTAGGGTATAAAGCAACGATAATTATATATGTACGAGTTCCTTAGGTTATCAGAATAACTTTAACAGTGCAAAAAGTTCTGATGACTTCTTCTGTAAAACTATAAACCCTATAGTCATTATATGTGTCTTGTTGCTTGCTGGGATATCTGTCATTAAAATGGAATGTTTGTTGATATTTTACTTAGTTTTTCCATCAACTTTGAAAAGTGAGTTGCGTAAAAGGTTCAAAGTTTTAGCAAATTGTGAATGTTTTGTTGCATCAGCATAAACTGATTATGAAACAAATGAAAGAGACTTTGAGACTGGACACGGAATATATCCCAAATATTTTCACTAGCTTCTAATATTCCAATTGAAATTGCCCTCACCAATTTAAACTAAATTACTTTTATTTTGTTATTTACTTTTTTATTTAATTGATGGACAACATTATTCTGAATCTTGTTTAATTTTAATGACAAAGAAAACGTCATTAATTCTAGTTTTCACTTTGTTTTATTAACCCGATCTAATAGGTATTGACCCTGGTAAGTATTACCTGTGTTTCGGAATGACCAATGTCCGCACGAAATATACTGACCTCCTAACCAATATGATTTACAACGTCTTACGCAGAGAATTAACAAGTACTTGAGAACATGATGTCACTGAATTAAACATCACCTCTGGGAGAAGTTAAATTATGTGTTGGCGTTTGGCGCGGTTTTCTGTAACGTCGACAACAATGGGAAGGCCATTCATGTTTAATATTGAATTGTACACGTGTTTCTTTCACAACATTATAACTGGTCCTTCATTTATTTTGTAAACTGTATACACATATAATTCGTTTTTTTGACCTGAACGTTTAAAGAATCGAAAGGATGTTGTCGTTACCCAGTTTATTTCGGGAAACTCCGGGTACCGAGTTATGACTATTATTAGAATTATGTAAACATGGAATGTTCCGCGATCATACGACATAGCTAGTCATAAAAGAAGACGTCACCATTCAAAACAAATTTAAAACACACAAAAAAATGTCGTAACTAGATCTTCTTGTAACAATGTACAGCCAAACCGGGACTCGAACCCTGGACTCTCCGAACTCTACGATCGACTCAGTACGTCTAGCACTGCTACACATTCTAGATCGCAGATACCTGATAATCTGTTACAGTGAAGCTATGTTTGGACCTTAACTGGTGTGTTCAGAGTATTATTAAACGTTTTAGGAATTCAAATCGATTCTCGGTTAAATGTCAACTTCAATTATGGTATATACCATAACCTTCTTAAATGCATGGAATATACGTCACTTATTAATTTGCTTTATATATGTGATAGTAGCTTGGTGACTGCTAATATATCCGAAGGCCAATTACTACTGTCTCCCGTTAGACGCCTTGTACGATCGTACGTTTACAAGTTCAAGTCAAGTTCAAGTTCTTTTACAGTTTCATTACCCACACTCTCGCTCTCACAGAGTACTATAACACGGGGGCTTGTGGAGCAGTACTATAACACGGGGGAACGTGGAGCAGTACTATAACACGGGGGCTTGTGGAGCAGTACTATAACACAAAGAATTGTAGAGCATACTATAACACATTGAATTGTGGAGCATACTATAGGACAGGGGCTTGTAGAGCAGTAATATAGCACAGGGATTGTGGAGCAGTACTATAGCACAGGGGCTTGTAGAGCAGTAATATAGCACAGGGAGTTGTGGAGCAGTACTAGTATAGCAGATGGGATTGTGAAGATGTACTATAGCACAGGAGATTGTGGAGCATTACTAGTATAGCAGATGGGATTGTGCAGATGTACTATATCACAGGAGATTGTGGAGCAGTCCTAGTATAGCAGATGGGATTGTGGAGATGTACTATAGCACAGTGGATTGTGGAGCAGTACTAGTATAGCAGATGGGCTTGTGGAGCAGTACTATAGCACAGGGGCTTGTAGAGCAGTAATATAGCACAGGGAGGTGTGGAGCAGTACTAGTATAGCACAGGGGATTGTGGAGCAGGACTAGTACAGCAGATGGGATTGTGGAGATGTACTATATCACAGGGGATTGTGGAGTAGTACTTTAGCACATGGGATTTTGGAGCAGTACTATAGCACAGGGAGGTGTGGAGCAGTACTATAGCACAGGGGCTTGTAGAGCAGTAATATAGCACAGGGATTGTGGAGCAGTACTATAGCACGGGGGCTTGTAGAGCAGTAATATAGCACAGGGATTGTGGAGCAGTACTATAGCACGGGGGCTTGTAGAGCAGTAATATAGCACAGGGATTGTGGAGCAGTACTATAGCACGGGGGCTTGTAGAGCAGTAATATAGCACAGGGATTGTGGAGCAGTACTATAGCACGGGGGCTTGTAGAGCAGTAATATAGCACAGGGAGGTGTGGAGCAGTACTATAGCACAGGGATTTGTGGAGCAGTACTATAGCACAGGGATTTGTGGAGCAGTACTATAGCACAGGAGATTGTGGAGCAGTACTAGTATAGCAGCTGGGATTGTGGAGATGTACTATATCACAGGAGATTGTGGAGCAGTACTAGTATAGCAGATGGGCTTGTGGAGCAGTACTATAGCACAGGAGATTGTGGAGCAGTGCTAGTATAGCAGATGGGATTGTGGAGCAGTACTATAGCACGGGGGCTTGTAGAGCAGTAATATAGCACAGGGAGGTGTGGAGCAGTACTAGTATAGCACATAGGATTGTCGAGCAGTACTATAGCACAGGGGATTGTCGAGCAGTACTATAGCACAGGGATTTGTATAGCAGTACTATAGCACAGGGAGTTGAGGAGCAGCACCAACCATAGGACCCTAACCCCTTTAAAGAGCAATTTCATTGCAATGTCATAGTCTGGACACTATAGCAGGACACTCCCTCCGGCCACATCATACTGACAACGGACTTACCGTCAAAGAGGACAAAAGCGACGTATATGACCAATTAGGACATCAGGAAACACTAAGGAAACCAGGGGGGAAATGAGAGAGCATTTTAACCAAATTTGAGATAAATATATATAACTATGTGTTACACATCAAGACAACACCCCTTCTTTTAGAAATGTTTATGATTTTGTCTTGGCTATATTTGACATTTTGAGGGTGAGTGTTTAGTTTTAGACGTTGACTCTCTAGAGAGAAACGGTAGAGGTTAGCATCGTACCCGTCACCGAAACAATTACCTCTCTGATCCACTTTCATCAACATTCCTTAACTTAAGGAAATTCCAAAACTTAAGATTTTTCAATAAGAGATATTGCTGAAGCTAAGGTGTTCAGGGTAATTTCACATTGAACACCTTAGTTTAGGTCCAACTATAGCTGTAACAAGTTCTCAGGTCCCTGTGCGCCCGGGCATGATTTAGATGGGTTACAAGAAAGATAGCTTGAGCACGGAATCCATGCTTGAGCATGAGAACGGTTTCATGAATACGGGACCAGGTCATCTTTGACCCTGTTATTTACATCAGTGATACTGACCAGAGAGAGAGCTGAAAACCTTTGATTATGACCCTGACGCAGTTTACAGCGCATCGATCTGACATTTCAAAGAATGTCCAAATGAAGTATTGTTGTTAAATCTATCATACTATACATATTTTAGTGTGCCGTTGTTTCTCATTTATAACGACAAGAAAAATCGTGACTTGAAAAACTGACCGTTGACGGAAACTCATCTTGAATTATTAGCGAGAAATTATTTTTAGGTGCTTTGCGTATTTTTTTATGTTTTCTCTTTTCTGCGCCTTGTTTTGTAGGAAGAAAAGTGCACACTTACTGCTATGACTTAAAGGACATACTTATTGCTATAACGGAAAAAAAATCATTATTGGTATAACAAAAAAACCCATATTTATTGGTATACCTAAACGTGCATACTGATTGCTACAAAGAAAAGTACAAAGGCAGGGAGAGGGGTTGTGTATTTTCTTACAATATAAATGTTTTTCATGATTTGCCGAAGAAAAACCTGTTTTATTTATAAACGGGAAGTGGTACGCAATCTAAGTTTTCATAAACCTTTGATCCTCGTACGATGAACGAATTGAGATCCGGTGATGTACTTAATAATAATAATAATTCGAGGTTCTTATATACCGCTTTATCACAACCTAGTTCGTAGGTCGTCTCAAAGCGGTTCACATATTATTATCCGTGGTTATAGGGCCTTTACAACCAGCCAATATCTTCTCAACTCCCTGGTGGGGGAAAAAACAGCCGGTGCTGCCATTTTGGCGCTCACAGCTAGCATTCAACAATTCTAGCACTGCCCAACCTTGTACTCATTTACAGCTGAGTAGACTGGTACAAGCGAAGTAAAGTATCTTGCTAAAGATACAACACAGTGCCGTGCCGTTACTTGAACCCGTAACCCTTCGGTCACGAGCCCGGCGTCCTACCATTAGACTACCGTGCCTCCTTACGGCTAACAATATGGTTATGTCCAAGTAGTATTGGTCAAAAGGGACAAAAGAAAGTGTCTAGAAGGATAAAGATTGAAAATATACTTTATTTGGAAGTGTATCTTGACATTGATAGATATTTATGTTTCAGAATTTTGTCTTGATGTAGTTTTTTTTGATAAAACGATGAAGAGATGCACTAATTATAACTTAAAGGAACCGGCCACCATTACAATATTTAAAACGAGTACAGTACGATATGTAGACTCGACCCAATGATTCATTGTATATATATTTTATATAGTCATTCTAAAAAGTAAAACCTCGATTTAATGCCCTTTTCTCCACTTGCCACCTTGCCTACCGCCAACATATTTGAGAGGTCCATTTTCTCCTTTTCCTTTACACATTTCCCTCAATTTATCACCAAATGCCTTTAGAACGTCAACATGAGGTGACAGTATAACGAGGTTTACTCTTTGAAGTGAAATTAAAACAATTTGATAATGGATATTGACTAACATTAATATATGTACATATACGGATTCCTTAGAGGAAAACACGATTTTCAGTTTAATCGACTACATTGAAATTCAATATTACCAATCACTTATTAGTCTCTTTGATTCAAGGTGGGTGGGGGTCGCTTAGCATAAGGGCAGACATATACTCATTTGATGTAATATTACGCGCCTTCTGAACGGTTATTTCAACAGACTGGAAATCCCAACTTTAATAGGAGGACATTATCAATTATCTAATGGAAATTCTCCGGATTACTTAAATGTTTCGATAGATGTTCAGACAGACATGTGGACTGTGGATATACGGACGGACTTTATACATGTAGAGACAGACATCAAGTTCGACAAACGGACGGACACTTATCATGAAATGCCGACCCTAAACCATTTATTTGGTCTCTGAAAAGGTAAAAAAGAAGAAGATATTTTTATCAGGTTTTACTTTTAAATAGCTTTATCATCTATTATTGACTTTATATTGTTGAATAATTGGTTATAACCAGCTATTATTGACATAATTAACGACAAAATGTCAATCATCGCATTGTTTAATACTAGTCTATGTATATGAAACAATCCTAACTACCTACATTTGTTTTCTTGGAGATGAAACCCTAAAATCCAACCCAATTCCTATACAGACAATCAAATCGCATTATGTTATATCACTATAAAGTATACTAAATTACAATTCATTTGGGTGGGGCTGGCATTTAGGGAGGGGTACACGGTAGGGGCGAGGATAGGGTATGGGGGATCGCATGCATGTATATCAACACTTACGGGTCTGTGCTGGTAGCCGTTACGTTGCTCTCCTTTCATCCTGTTTTCTGTCTTATCGTCCGTGCTGGGCGATTTCTGTCCGAGAACGTACTGCTGTTCACTCACGACGTCAGACATGTATATAAGTGGTCAGTGTATAGGTACTCTGCTGCACTGGTCACTCGCTGGCTTGGTATGAATTTATAATGAGTATCTACGTACAGCTCATTATAGGTAATGTACAGGTGGGCAAGCTTTAAGAACCACGGGTTAATAATTCACGACTGCTGCTGTGTTTGGCTACACCACACAGGTATCATTAAGTGTGTAACCAGGTAACCGGGTAAGTCAGCCACAGGTGTGTGTGTGTGCACAGGTGAGCAAACTTGTTTTACGCCTACAAATATGTCCAGACCACAAGTATCCTTGGGCCATCTTTACGGAAGCACGAAAACACGCTAATTATCAGGTACAATGTTCGCTAGATTTAATTGGCTAGAAACGAAGATATCTCAATTATTATAGGTATATCCAGGCACGTTATCTACTAATTGGAGAAGACGTTCTAAGGTTTACATGCAAAGTGTTAACAGTTCAGATATGTGATGTGTGAACCAGTTCTCCAAAAGACACTAGCTACCCAACTTTCTCTTATGTGGAGGAGAAGAACTATGTTTCTCCCATATTAAATTATGTATTATAATTAGATGTGCAGGTATGGGGTGAGATATATATACTTTGTCAGTGGGGATAGGCCCAACCACTCTTGTATATCTCTTACCCTGTTGGGGTACATGGTATTATATATATAAAGAAATTTTAGTCCCGCTACAAATAATTTTTTAGCAGGCATAATTGTTTTTACAAAAACTGATTAATAATTTGAAGATAATTTTAAAAGTAAATAGTGTGATTGTTCTTTTAACATGTCTAATATGTCATTTTGGCTAGACACATTTTATATTTAAAGGTATATATGTTTTGTGATTTTATTAATACTATGTGTTTGACACGAAAATAAAATATTTAAACTTGAACTTGGTATATCCAGGCACGTTATCTACTAACTGGAGAAGACGTTCTAAGGTATACATACAAAGTGTTTATCTTATAACTATTTACAATAATACAATATGGATCCTGACCTGATAGAGCGCAGTGGAAAGTGGAAATCTGACGGAAGTAAATGAGGAGGGAGGTCGATAACTGATCCTATGGAGAGATGTGAAAGGAGAGATGAGGCTAGAGGCAGTAGAGGAAATGAGAGAAAGGAGGTATGTGATCCACTGGAAGGTCGGGTGGGAGGGGAAGTGTCATGATATAGTGTAGAATGGTATGGTAAGGGGAGTAGTTTGGTGGGTNGGGGGGGGGGGGGGGGGGGGGGGGGGGATGCAAGAGCGACTAGGCCGATATGTTGGTAAGGGAATAGAGAGTGAACAAATGAAGGGAGTAAATAAGCGGGGATTGGAAATAAGGGAAGAAAAGGAAAGAGATTGGCAGGGTGATAAAATAGGTAATTTCATAATGGTGAAGAAAAGAGTGGAACGCCGCATATTGTGGATACAGCAATACCTGATCAGGGAGGGGGAAATAGAAGGCGCGTGAGCGGAAGTTACCATATTTGGAACAGATGGAAAAAGTAAAAAACAAATAGTAATCTGTATTCACCACTGCAACCGTTTATTCCATTTTAATTGCATAGAATAATCGATATTACAACTTGAAAGGGCAATGCCGGACATAGTTGGTCAATAAAAGAAACATCAACTGATGTAATCAAAGCCATGACATATTTAGCTTTCACATCAAAGCTACCAGGAACCAATCGGACTTTTCCGACAAACTTTGCAAGACGGAAACGACCGAGTGGTGAGTCTTACTGAAAACTACGAAACTGTTCCAACATGCACAGAAAATGATATGCTTGCCGATTGCCGAGCGAACTGCTGGGTTTTACCATATTTATTACAAACCCCCAGAATTTGAACAGTCTAAGTTGAACAGACCACAGACTCAAATTGACATGAATGAATATGTTTTCTTGAACTCTTGTGATGTCAAGTAAAACAACATTTCTGTAAATCGTGTGTCTATTTCCGTATGGTTTACAGGACCTGTATCCCGTCAATATCCAACATGTCCGAAAATATTCAGTTTAGACTCGAATGGTTGTCGTCTGTTGCAATAGGGATGCGCGTCTTGTGATCAGACAGAGACATATAAAGCCATACGTCTCTGGATCAGACTGTACTGGGACAGTTCCGGTTTTTATACGTGTCTAGTCGGAGTTTCCTCGAGTTTCAAGTAAATGATAACTGGAAGACAACATCAGTGCTGAGACTATCAACAAAGGTAAGTACTCGTTGAGATCCGTTGCATACATGTACTTCATTGAACATATTGAAGAGTGACGTGCTTGATTTGAAATCCCATTTTTTTTCGGTAGCTCCTTTGTTACTTTGTAAAGCTTCATTTTGAAACCAACATTGTCATGCAAAGCGAAAGAAAATAAAGAATTCTACGTCGTTTTTCTCAAGCTGTCTTTTGAGTAAGATTAAAAAATCTGTGTTCGTTTGTTTTTGAATCGCTGTCGACACATTGTCCGTCAGTCACTGTCTACACATTGTCCGTCAGTCACTGTCTACACATCGTTCGCCAGTCACTGTCTACACGCTCCGTCCGTCACTGTCTATACACATCGTCCGTCAGTCACTGTTTATAAACACCGTCCATCCATCATTGTCTACACACCATCCGTCAGTCACTGTCTACACATCGTCCGTCCGTCACTGTTAACACATCATCCAGCAGTCACTTTCTACACATTGTCCGTCAGTCACTGTTTACACAAGGTCCGTCAGTCACTGTTTACATACTTATCGTCCGTCAGTCACTGTCTACACATCATCCATCCATCATTGTCTACACACTATCAGTCAGTCACTGTCTACACATCGTCCTTCCGTCACTGTCTACACATCGTCCGTCAATCACTGTCTACATATTGTCCCTTCGTCACTGTCTACACACCATCCGTCTGTCACTGTCTACACATCGTCCGTCAGTCTCTTTTTACACATCGCCCGTCTGTCACTTCATGCACACCGTCCGTCAGTCACTGTCTTCACACTGTCCGTCAGTCACTGTCTACATGTACACCGTCCGTCAGTCACTGTCGATTGTTTACACATCATCCGTCTGTCACTGTCAGCACACTGTCCGTCTGTCACTGTATATACACATCGTCTGTCAGTCACTGTCTATAAACATCGTCTGTCCGTCATGGTCTACACACCATCCGTCAGTCACCGTCTACCTATCGTCCGTCAGTCTCTGTTTACACATCGTCCGTCAGTCACTGTCAGCACACTGTCCGTCTGTCACTGTATATACACATCGTCTGTCAGTCACTGTCTATAAACATCGTCTGTCCGTCATGGTCTACACACCATCCGTCAGTCACTGTCTACCTATCGTCCGTCCGTCTCTGTTTACACATCGTCCGTCAGTCACTGTCTGCACATCGTCCGTCCGTCACTGTATACACGTCGTCCGTCCGCCACTGTCTTCACACTGTCCACAAGTAACTATAAACATATCGTTCGTTCGTCACTGTCTAAATACCAACCGTCAGTCACTGTCTACACATCATCCGTCCGTCACTGTCTACACATCGTCCGTCCGTCACTGTCTACACATCGTCCGTCCGTCACTGTCTACACATCGTCCGTCCGTCACTGTCTACACATCGTCCGTCCGTCACTGTCTACACATCGTCCGTCCGTCACTGTCTACACATCGTCCGTCCGTCACTGTCTACACATCGTCCGTCCGTCACTGTCTACACATCGTCCGTCCGTCACTGTCTACACATCACCCGTCCGTCACTGTCAACACATCAACCGTCCGTAACTGTCTACGCATCGTCCGTCCGTCACTGTCAACACATCACCCGTCCGTCACTGTCTACACATCGTCCGTCAGTCACTGTCTACTCATCGTCCGTCAGTCACAAATTACCCACCTTCCGTCAGTCACTGTCTATCCCCATCGTCCGTCAGTCACTGTCTACTCATCGTCCGTCAGTCACAAATTACACACCTTCCGTCAGTCACTGTCTATCCACATCGTCCGTCAGTCACTGTCTATCCACATCGTCGGGGTAAGCCACTGTCTAAACATTGTCCGTCCGTCACTGTCTTAACAACGACCATCAGTCATAGACCTCATACCGTCAATCAGTCACTGTCTATACAATTCGTCTGTCAGTCCCTGTCTAACATCGTCCGTCCTTATCTGTTTTCATATCTTCCATCAGTCACTGTCTACACATCGCCCGTCAGTCACTGTCTATCCACACCGTCGGGGTAAGCCACTGTCTTATCCACATCGTCCGTCAGTCACTGTTTATACACTTCGTCTGTCAGTCACTGTCTAACATCGTCAGTCCGTCACTGTCTTCACATCTTCCATCAGTCATGGCCCACATCCCGTCCGTCAGTCACTGTCTATCACACCGTCCGTCAATCACTGTCTATCTACTTATCATCCGTCAGTCACTGTCTACCATATCGTCCATCCGTCACTGTCTTAACACCAGCCGTCAATCACTGTCTACACATCGTCCGGCCGTCACTGTCTACACATTGTCCGTCCGTCACTGTCTTAACAACGACCATCAGTCATAGACCTCATACCGTCAATCAGTCACTGTCTATACAATTCGTCTGTCAGTCACTGTCTAACATCGTCCGTCCTTCTCTGTTTTCATATCTTCCATCAGTCACTGTCTACACCTCGTCCGTCCGTCACTGTCTAAACACCATCCTTCAATCACTGTCTACCCACCGTCCGTCCGTCACTGTTTACTCATCGTCGGTCTGTCACTGTCTACACCTCGTCCGTCCGTCGCTGTCTACACATCGTCCTGCCGTCCGTCACTGTCTAACCACCATCCTTCAATCACTGTCTACACACCTTGTGTCCCCCAGTCACTGTCTATACACATTCTCCGTCAGTCACTGTCTACCCCTCGTCCGTCCGTCACTGACTACTCTTGTCCCTTCGTCACTGTCTACACATCATCCATCCATCATTGTCTACACACTATCAGTCAGTCACTGTCTGCACATCGTCCGTCAGTCACTATCTACACATCGTCCTTCAGCCACTGTCTACACACCGTCCGCCCGTCACTGTCTTAACAACGACCATCAGTCATAGACCTCATACCGTCAATCAGTCACTGTCTATACCCTTCGTCTGTCAGTCTCTGTCCAACATCGCCCGTCCGTCACTGTCTTAACACCATCCGTCAATCACCGACTACACATCGTCCCGTCAGTCTCTGTTAACATATCGTCCGTCAGTCATTGTCTATACACTATCCGTCCTGTCTACACATCGTCCGCCCGTCACTGTCTACACTTCGTCCGTCCGTCACTGTTAACACATCATCCAGCAGTCACTGTCTACTCATCGTCCGTCAGTCACAAATTACACACCTTCCGTCAGTCACTGTCTACGACACCATCCGCCAGTCACTGTATACACATCGTCCGTCCGTTCCTGTCTACACACCATCCGTCCGTCACTGTCTACAAATCGTCCGTCCGTCGCTTTTTACACAACGTCCGTCTGTCACTGTCTAAACATCGTCCGTCACTTTTCATATCTTCCATCAGCCACTGTCTACACACCGTGTATCCGTCAGTCACTGTCTACCCCTCGTCCGTCCGTCACTGTATAAACACCATCCTTCAATCACTTCGTCACTGTCTACACACCACCCGTCTGTCACTGTCTAAACATCGTCCGTCACTTTTCATATCTTCCATCCGTCACTGTCTACACAGCGTCGTTCAGCTTCTGTGTACACATCGTCCGTCACCGTCTACACACAGTCCGTCAGGTCATTGTGTCTACACATCGTCCGGCCGTCACTGTCTACACAGCGTCGTTCAGCTTCTGTGTACACATCGTCCGTCACCGTCTACACTCTGTCAGTCACTTTCCAACATCGTCCATCCGTCGCTGACTACACATCGTCCGTTCGTCACTGTCTACACACCACCCGTCTGTCACTGTCTAAACATCGTCCGTCAGCCACTGTCTACACATCGTCCGTTACTGTCTACACCCCATCCGTCAGTCACTGTCTATACACTATCCGTCCTGTCTACACATCGTCTGCCAGTCACTGTTTACATGCTTTCATCAGTCAAGTCCCTTAAATGACCATAGTTGTTGATAGGACGTTAAACAATACTAACCCGAATCCATCAGTCCCTGTCTTCACATCGTCCGTCAGTCACTGTCTACGACACCATCCGTCAGTCACTGTATACACATCGTCCGTCCGTTACTGTCTACACACCATCCGTCAGTCACTGTCTACACATCGTCCGTAAGTCACTGTCTACCACATCGTCCGTCAGTCACTGTTTACCACACCGTCCGTCAATCACTGTCTACACATCGTCCGTCAGTCACTGTCTAAACACCATCCGTCAATCACTGTCTACACATCGTCCGCCCGTCACTGTCTTCACATCTTCCATCAGTCATTGTCTTCACACCGTCCGTCAGTCACTGCCTTTACATCGTTCGTCAGTCACTGTCTATACACATTATCCGTCAGTCACTGTCTTAACACCATCCGTCAATTACTGTCTACACACCGTGTGTCCGTCAGTCACTGTCTATACACTATCCGTCCGTCAGTCTCTGTTAACATATCGTCCGTCCGTCACTGTCTATACATCGTCCGTCCGTCACTGTCTACACATCTTCCGTCCGTCACTGTTTTCACATCTTCCATCAGTCATTGTCTTCACATCGTCCGTCAGTCACTGTCTTAACATCGTTCGTCAGTCACTGTCTACACACCGTGTGTCCGTCAGTCACTGTCTATACACATTATCCGTCAGTCACTGTCTATAAACATCGTCCGCCAGTCACTGTCTACATATCGTCCGTCAGTCACTGTCTATACACTATCCGTCCATCAGTCTCTGTTAACATATCGTCCGTCATTCAATGTCTAAACATCGTCCGTCACCGTCTACACACAGTCCGTCAGGTCATTATCTATACACTTCGTCTGTCAGTCTGTTAACATATCGTCCGTCATTCACTGTCTACACATCGTCCGTCACCGTCTACACACAGTCCGTCAGGTCATTGTCTATACACTTCGTCTGTCAGTCTCTGTCCAACATCGTCCGTCCGTCATTGTCTACACATCGTCCGTCCGTCACTGTCTACCCATCGTCCGTCCGTCACTGTCTACACATCGTCCGTCAGTCACTGTCTACACATCGTCCTTCAGCCTCTGTCTACACATCGTCCGTCAGTCACTCTGTACATATCGTCTGTCCGTCACCTTCTACACACCGTCCGTCTGTCATTGTCTATACACTTCGTCTGTCAGACACTTTCCAACATCGTCTGTCCGTCACTGACTACACATCGTCCGTCCGTCACGGTCTACACATCGTCCGTTCGTCACAGTCTACACATCGTCCGTCCGTCACTGTCTACACATCGTCCGCCAGTCACTGTCAACACATCGTCCGTCTGTCACTGTCTACACATCGTCCGTCAGCCACTGTCTATGCATCGTCCGTCCGTCACTGTCTTCACATCTTCCATCCGTCAACATCGTCTGTCCGTCCGTCAGTCACTGTCTATACACTTCGTCTGTCAGTCACTGTCTAGCCTCGTCAGTCCGTCTCTGTTTTCATAATTTCCATCAGTCGCTGTCTACACATCGTCCGTCCGTCACTGTCTAAACACCATCCGTCAATGACCGACTACACATCGTCCGCCCGTCGCTGTCTACACATCGTCCGTCCGTCACTGTCTTCACATCTTCCATCAGTCATTGTCTTCACACCGTCCGTCAGTTACTGTCTTCACATCGTCCGTCAGTCACTGTCTATAAACATCGTCTGCCAGTCACTTTCTACACATCGCCCGTCAGTCGTTGTCTATATACTTCGTCTGTCAGTTTCTGTCCAACATCGTCCGTCCGTCACTGTCTACACATCGTCCGTCCGTCACTGTCTACACATCGTCTGTCCGTCACCGTCTACACACCGTCCGTCAGTCATTGTCTATACACTTCGTCTGTCAGTCACTTTCCAACATCGTCTGTCCGTCACTGTCTACACATCGCCCGTCAGTCACTGTCTATAAACATCGTCTGCCAGTCACTTTCTACACATCGCCCGTCTGTCCCTGTCTACACATCGCCCGCCAGTCACTGTCTACACGCTCCGTCCGTCACTGTCTAACTGTCTACACATCGTCCGTCTGTCACTGTCTACACATCGTCCGTCAGCCACTGTCTTTACATCGTCCGTCCGTCACTGTCTAAACACCATCCTTCAATCACTGTCTACACATCGTCCGTCCGTCACTGTCTAAACACCATCCGTCAATCACTGTCTACACATCGTCCGTCCGTCACTGTCTTCACATCTTCCATCAGTCATAGACCTCATACCGTCCATCAGTCACTGTCTATACACTTCGTCTGTCAGTCACTGTCTAGCATCGTCAGTCCGTCTCTGTTTTCATAATTTCCATCAGTCACAGTCTACACATCGTCCGTCCGTCACTGTCTTCACATCTTCCATCAGTCATTGTCTTCACACCGTCCGTCAGTCACTTTCTACACACCGCCCGTCAGTCATTGTCTATACACTTCGTCTGTCAGTTTCTGTCCAACATCGTCCGTCCGTCACTGTCTACACATCGTCATTTCGTCACTGTCTACACATCGTCCGTCTGTCACTGTCTACACATCGTCCGTCAGTCACTGTCTACACATCGTCCGTCAGCCTCTGTCTACACATCGTCTGTCAGTCACTCTCTACACACCGTCTGTCCGTCACCGTATACACACTGTCCGTCTGTCATTGTCCATACACTTCGTCTGTCATTCACTTTCCAACATCGTCCGTCACTGTCTACACATCGTCCGTCAGTCATTGTCTACACATCGTCCGTCCGTCACTGTCTACACATCGTCCGTCCGTCACTGTCTACACATCGTCCGTCCGTCACTGTCTTCTTATCGTCTGTCAGTCACTGTCTACACATCGTCCGTCAGTCACTGTCTTCACATCGTCCGTCTGTCATTGTCTACACATCGTCTGTCAGTCACTGTTCACACATCGTCCGTCAGTCACTGTCTACACATCGTCTGTCAGTCACTGTTTACACACTTTCCATCAGTCAAGTCCCTTAAATGACCATAGCTGTTGTTAGGATGTTAAACAATACTAAACCGAATCCATCTGTCACTGTCTTCACATCGTCCGTCAGTCACTGTCTACGACACCATCCATCAGTCACAGTATACACATCGTCCGTCCGTTACTGTCTACACACCATCCGTCAGTCACTGTCTACACATCGTCCGTCAGTCACTGTCTATCACACCGTCCGTCAATCACTGTCTACACATCGTCCGTCAGTCACTGTCTACACATTGTCCGTCAGTCACTGTCTACACATCGTCCGTCAGTCACTGTCTACCACACCATCCGTCAGTCAATGTCTTCACATCGTCCGTCAGTCACTGTTTACCACACAATCCGTCAGTCACTGTCTACACATCGTCCGTCCGTTACTGTCTACACACCATCCGTCAGTCACTGTCTACACATTGTCCGTCCGTCACTATCTACACATCGTCCGTCAGTCCTTGTCGACACATCTTGTAAAAGAGGAAATAAAGAATGTATGTCTGTCTGTCTGTCTGACAGTCTATACACATCGCCCGTCAGTCACTGTCCAACATCGTCCGTCCGTCAGTCACTGTCTAAATGCATCAAAATGCTTAGTACCATTGGACAGATGGATGATCATGGGGGTGTCATTTTATCCGAAAGTCAATCGCAATCCCTGAAACATGTAAAATAACTCTGAACATCTTCGATTAGGTCCAAATATAGCTGTTACGAAGTCCTCCCAACAGTGACTGTCCCTGTGCGTCAGTCCGCAATTTATTGTCCGTCTTATTTATCTTACATATTTGACAAGCGAAAAGAAATGTTTGGCTCCAATATGTTTTGTTTGTGATTGCAACGCGGCAAAGCTGCGTCAACATTTCTGTACTGGCAATGGGTTTGTATTTTCCCGCCAATGTCTTTGAATTTATTTGTACTTCCGACACTGAAGAGTTCCTCTCCTCGACCTTCGATCAAATGGCATGAAACACGAAGGACTTGGGATTTCCTACCTGAATTGAAAGAGAAAGCAATGGATCTCCCAGTGGACGAGATAAATTTGGCCAGAGGAACGATTGGTACGCAAAATATACAAACAAAGATAGGTAGATGAGTCTAGAAATGTGTCCCCAATCATAGTGACACCTCACAAAACAAAACGCACCGGCTTCTCTTGTTCAACAAGTTGGTGATCGATCTTCTGCCAATGTTTGTACTGTGATAACTGATTACTAAAAATGTACATACATCTACATCAGTACAATACAGTGGTAAAGCAATCAGCGCTTACGTGTTCAAGGAACTAGTTTCTTTTAATAAGAGCTAATTGGTTAACTTTTGCTGGCATCGAAATAAAGAAAATTTAGTCCATAGGCCTACTGTAGTTTGTACTTCTACTGGTGACATGACAGTTACTTTTGATAGGAAATCCGTCTCCGGTATTTGTTGTAATTTTCGATTTCCGGTTAACATAACTGGATTTCAGTGTATTATTTACACTGACTCAACTTGAGAATCGAAGGACATGCCACGCTCAGCGTCAGTGATTGAAATATCATGCAGCAACAATTGCAAGTGTGCCAAGTGGGGTGGGTGGGTGGGGGGACTTATCTAATAAATTAGAATTGTCATGTTGGTTCTTCATGTACACTGCTTTCTGCCACCAAATATATATATAACTTCTTTTTTGCTGAGGTTGGGATATTATTTCCATTGACAAACAGATCGAGTAAGGCGTAGATTCCAGGTTATATTTTATAATGTAAAGTTTACAAATTCTGTAAGAAAAATGGTAAAAATGTAGATGTTTGTGTCAGGCCTTTAAAATGGTCACTTGTCAAAGTTTAGGGTGTTTTTTTTCTGTGGTTCAGCTGATAATACGCGCAAATCTACATGTAGTTTAGGCGAGCATGTTCGCTATTTAATAATAATTTATTTTGTCATAAATATGAATTATGATTTAACTGTGTCTTTTATTGTGAAATAATATGCATTATGTACAATGGAAACACCTAATGAAAAGGATGTACACGCCAGGCTTTTATGCTAACATTGGTTATTAGTCACCTGATGAAGTGATGCTATAAGGAAGATGCTTCATTGTCTCAGAGACGTATATATTTTTGAAAAATACATTTTTTTAATTGGTATAATAAATCAGACATATATATTTTTGAAATATACATTTTTTTAATTGGTATAATAAATCACTCCTGGTGACCATGTGTACTTGAAACCACTGGTGAAAATACAGACCTGTATATCTATCATGAATTAGACTCTACCTTTGAAATAACACTTTACCTTTATACCTAATCCAACAGATGGTATAGTCCTCTCCCAACTGACAGGGTGATCACCACACCATGACCTTAGAACAATCAGATTAGGTAGAGTCAGTACGGTAACTTTGACCACTGACCTGACGGATGGACCCTACTAATATATAGACGATGGAGGAATTATCCCCTGATGTTTAGAGCATAAGTATACGTAATGGACTCCTTATTTGGGCAACACCCTTAGGCATACATAGAAATTCAAACAGCTTGCAAAGGGAAGCCAGAGAAAATCATAGTTTAAGGGATTGTTGATAGTTGATGGCAACTAGGGCAACACCACTGGGGATGGGTGTTGTTATTTTGTAATGGGTGTTGATTCCTCACAACGGCGATCTTCCTTGAAGACTGCTTTGCCAACTGAGATCAATTCTGACAGTCATTAAAGCTTTTTTTTTTAGAGAAAGTCGATAACTCCGGTGAAATATGAATTGTTTATGGATGGGTGATACCATGTCTGAAGTGTAACATTCAAGTAAGATGACAATTTAGAAAAAGGCTGGTTGTTGAAAGCATCTTCCCATTGCAAAACAGAACATTCTCTGTATGCCTTAGACACAGACACAAGGTGAGCATGCACATGGATGCATGTCTTATATAAAAATAAGGTGAGCCATTCTCTCCTTATCCACAAACTTAGGGGGTATGGAGTTACTGGACCAGTCAACACCTGGATTGAAAGCTTCCTAAGTGACAGAACCCAGACTGTTGTAGTAGAGGGGGAAATGATATCACTGAGGGTATAACATCTTCTATCAGACTCTTTGCAGATGATACCATCATGTATCGGACAGTAACATCTCGGAGAGACGCTCACACCCTGCAAAGAGATCTTGATAAACTGGCGCTTTGGGAGATTAAATGGAGGATGGCTTTCCATCCTGAGAAATGCCAGGTCCTCTCTGTCACAAGGAATAGACACCCCCATCTGTCATCCCTACATACTACATGATCACGAGTTGGAGCATGTGACAGAGGCTAAATGTATTGGGGGTCACCATTACTTCTGATCTAAAGTGAAATACTCATATCAATAACATCACAAAAAGGCCAATTCCACCCTGGGCTTCCTGAGGCGCAATCTCGAAATTTCATCCTCTAACATCAAACAAAAGGCCTATAAGTCCCTGGTCCGCCCTCAGGTTGATTATGTAACGCTAGCCCAGTATGGGTTCCTTACTTATAAAAAGATATAGACAAGCTAGAGATGGTACAGCGCAGGGCTGCACGTTTCGTTGCCAACCGCTATTGTAACACCTCCAGCGTTGGCAACATGTTATAAGAACATCTAAAATGGCGTAGTCTTGCAGATCGCAGGAAAGATGCGAGGCTGACCATGCTCTATAAAATCTATCATAATAAAGTTGCCATTACTACTAAACATCCCGCCCCTATAACCAGACAAGGCATAGTCATCAAACCTCATTTCAAACTATCTCATGCAGGATGTCTGTAAGGAAGGAATCCTTCTTTCCTCGGACTATCAAAGATTGGAGCAAACTCCATTCTCAAATTATTTATTTTGATTCACTACTGTCCTTCAAATAATCCATCTCTGTTCATCAATATTTAGTTCTGTTCCTTTCCTTTCATAGCGCTACATCTATATATGACATGATCTTCACTATGCTGAAGTAGGTCATCAAATAGTAGAAGTATAGTTATAGCCAGATGGCATATAGAACCAGTAGACTGTAGTTACTACTTGATAAACAATGCAGATGTTTTTTAATGAGTAATCATGTTTAAAGATATGAAAATAAGTACACAACAAATTCTAATAATAACATGTGAAGGGTAAACTTAACATGCTAATGGATTCTACCAATGATTCGCAAACATTTGACATGGCAAATGTCTCCTGGTATACAGTACCAATGAATACAAAGTATATGGAACAAAATTTCATTTAGAACTCTAAGTTTGAAAAAGGAAATGTATTTATTCACGACTGTAATTTATAAATATCATATTTGATGTACTGCAATTGCTATCAGAGTACACTGGTGTTACTGAGTAATCTGGAATTTTGTAAGTTCCAATAAAATATAATGCACTTCAAAATATTGTGTATCTTCATTTGCGCATTATCTGCAGGTCTTGGTTTCAACATCCGAGGAGGGGTAGATAACCCACACATTCAAGGAGACACTGGGATCTTTGTGACAAAGATCAGAGAAGATGGGTCAGCATTCAAAGATGGACGACTTAAGGAGGGCGATAAAGTGTTAGAGGTAGCAGTCTATATTAGTTACTTCTGACTCTTGATGTCTGGTTATATACACACACCTATACACACACACAGTAGAACCTTTTTGATATACATGTATATTTGTTACACCTCAAGTGAATTTCTAGCTATTTGATTGATTGGGAGAAAATTAAACAAAAATTTCCCCCTCCAAAAATACATTGGTTTTAAGGGGCGCGGGTGATATTGCCATGAGACAGTGAAAAATATCACCTGCGCGAAAAATTTGCATTCACCGCTTCGTTTCCCCACCGTGATGGTCACAAGAACGTTTGACGGCAACAGCCAATTTTATCAAGCGCCGGTGCGATAGCGATTGTAAACAGCAGACTATTAACAAACAAGATGTCAATTTCGAGGTTTGCCGCCGTTTCTGAGCTACAAAGACTTTTGGTGTAACAACATAGATATGACATTCATTAGCAGGTGACAGTGAATATTGTCAACCCCCAAAAACCCATTGTCGCCTCGGGTGACAATGGTTTTCTCGGATTGCCAATACTCACTGTCACCTGCTAATGAATGTCATATTTATATAATGTATAGACAAGTCATATTGTTTTAACAGAAGGAAATTTTCATAATGTATATATGTTTCAAATGAAAGTATATGTTCAACGCGAGGGCTGAGTGGTTGAGGTGTCTGACCATCTACAATCACTAGCTCTCCACCAATGGGTCGCGGGTTCGAAACCTACATAGAATAAGCTAGGTACTTGCCGCAGGTCAATGTTTTTTTTCTCTGGGTATGCTTCTTTTCCTCCACCACCAAAACCTGGCTGATCCTTGAAAGACCAGACTGTAATTGTTAATATTAAAGCACAAACAAACCAAATCAAGTGTTCAAAGCATTTTCTCCCTCCCTTCACAGGTTTTCTCCTGTTTTGGCCGGGAAAGATCAGCTTGTCACCCCCTAGGAACACGTGCCGATTAGCACGTGTTCAATTGTGACGTCATTTAAATGTGTCATCAGTAATTGCGACATCATCAAAAATGAATGACGATATGCATACCTCACATGTGTTTTTGATAACAAACATGTCAGACTACTATCAGTGGAGTTGTGATTGAAATAATAGGATGGGAGAAAAAAAATCATCCCCTATCTTGAGGGTGTAACAGAGAAATCTCCAACCCTCAGGGTGATTTTTTGGTTGTCTAACCCTCGGCCGAGTCTCGGGTTAGACAACCAAAAAACATTACCCCTCGGGTTGGAGATTTCTCCATCACACCGTCAAGGTAGGGGAAGATTCTATTAGTCCTCAATGTAGAAAGTTTTTGATTTTTTTTACAACTAGTATATTATAAAGTACATTGTCCATACCAGGCTTGTATAGGTATTGTGCCTGTTGCCCAATTCCTTTTTAATTTGTAGCAATATTCAATAAATCTTTGTGAAATGTAAAATCATTGTCTACCATATCAAATGTTTTTTCAAGTTTCATGGATTTTGATATTGTGTAAGCATTGTTTGAGCTAAACTCCTAGTGCATTTTTAACTCATTGCTCATTGCCCTTTGTATGATTCTAAATGTACATATCATACAGCTGTTTATTTCATTTTTTTCTTGTAAAGTGGTGAATTTGCACCCAATATCTGAGTAGCAATTCCTAATTCTCATAGTTTCTCTTACAAAGAAGAGTTCAAGATACATTGTAGCTATAACTAAGATTCCACTTCATTGTTGGAATGTTTGAATAGTGTGTTCCAAAGTTTCTACAGGTATATTAGCATTTTGACATTTTCTGTTTAGGTGAATGGTGTGGACTTATCCCGAGTCACTCATCAGGAAGCTGTAGGTTGTTTTGTGAACGCAGGAGAGGATGTCAACATGAAGGTTCAGCATGGAGCTGAAGCTGTTATTACGGTGAGCAGAGATTTTTATTTGCTCAGTTGGTATATAGTAAATATATTGACCTCATCATCATGTTCAACGTAAATTTTACCTGTATTACTGCAAACTTCAAACTTTTAAAGCTTTAAAATTTCACATGTGGTTTAAAAAAGCAAAAATGTTTTTAGTTGACCTCAAGTACTAAAATAAGGGATTCTGCAGCATATTTCAGCCTCGGTTAAATGAATAATAGGTACATCATGGGAAGGTGTTGTGTTACATCCTAAAACAAGGTCGCTGAAACCTCAATTTGACTTCCAAGTACTAAAATACAGCATAATACAGGTTTCCGCAGCATATCTCAGTTGCTGTTTCATGAGTAGGCTACAAACTTTGTAGATGTAAGTGGGGAGTGGTAGTTTCTATGAAGTCCAAGCTTCAACTGAAATCTAGTTTCTTTCTTACATTAAAATCATTTAAGAGCTTTCTGTAAAAAATCTGTTGGATGCCCAATATCATGGTTTAGAGAACATTTTGTACTAGCCTGCTGGCCGGTTTTGAGCTTGTGACACCTGGACTAGTAAACCTCATTATGTTAACTTTAATAAGTTAGATTTGAGATAAAAGCAACAAGAATAGGTGAATATGAGCTTCTTGTTTGTTTATGTTTTGAAACCTCTTTATTTTCATGACAGAAAAAATTGGAAAACTCAATGGAAAAGCAGACAAATGAAAGGAACCCTGGCGAGAAAGGTAGATCCTGGAAACTACCTGTAGTCCTCCTCTTTGTAGGTGTAGCTGGCGCAGGCGCTTTATTGTATTGGAGGAAGAAGTTTCGGTGATAAGAAAACTGTGATACCTTACAAATGTGTTATAACTGTGGTGTGTAGTCTTAGCGGTGAGACTAATTTTTCGTAAGATGATACCCTCAATAAGGTATTCCCATTTGTGGAAAAGAGAAAACTCTTCCAACAATACAAGTTACTTCCCTTTCTGACAAGTGTTTTGCTTTGTAGCGGTTAAGTGATTGTATCCCTTATTGACCTGGTAACTAGATTTAAACAACTTTGACCTATTTTTACAATCATTGTTTATGGTTAAGTGAAAACATTTCTATATGCTTGATTTTAGGACTTTGTTCAAGTTTGATTCTCTGTAAACATCGATCAGGAAGGGAGGTAACTGTACGGTTGGACGATAATTTTGGGTTCAACAAACAGGGAATACACTTGCACAAAGTAGAGTTTTGGGCACATTGATATAATCTGATACATCACAGCATGTGCATATAAAGTAAATGTGTCTTATTTACCTGTTTATAAAGGACATATATAGAACAAAACAATGCCACTTGGAATTTAGTTTGTGCCTTGAACTTTTTTTTATTTTTAACGTTTTAGCAATAATGCATAACTGTATGAAAAGTGATTGGTAACGAATGTTATGGAGTACTTAGGGTCTTTTTTTCTCTTGTGAGTATTTTTTGAGAAATTTGAGCTAATAAATTGAAATGTAAAATTAACAGTAGGCATGATCACTTTCATGTGTGATGGACTTTTCAAATTTGCAGAATTAAAATCACATGACTTCTATTGTTTGTTTATAGTAATGCTGGCTGACACATTTCTAGTTAAGGTAGCTGTGAAATTCAGTTGGATAGAAAGTAATATTTAACAGTTAACTAAATCAACCTATGAACAGTGTACACCTAAATTTTGTTTTTTCTAATGCAACTTTTGTAAAATCTGTATAAAATATTGTACTAAAAAGTGTGATCATATTAAATGAAATCTATTTTCTCAGAATTCTTTCACTCTCAGCAGTCATTATATTTAATATGTGATCCTCCTGTCTTCATTCTTCATATGACTTAAGCTGTTTCAAGGACGTGAAACCCAATGGAAAAAAAAAACATATCCTACAATTATTACATAATTTATAAATTTATACCTTGGTGAGAATCATTTGCTTTGTGAAAAAAATTGGTTCAATATTACTGAGATTATTGAAAATATGTTGAGTTTGATGCCAGTGAAGTTTTAAATTTCATTCAAAATTTATATCTGACAGGTGATCTGATACATATGGAGGTACCAAACACCAAATAACTAGGATAAACAAATATTCATTGTTTTGTATTATCCTAGAACTGTCTTTTCATAAATATTATTCCCGAAATAGTCATGGATGCTTCCTCTTTTATTTGTAAAGTTTCATTAATGGATGTGAGTATACCTTCACTTATTGTTTCAATAAAATATACATGAAAACGATAAAAAAATATGTTACCAAAGAATATGCATTCACATGTATCTAAGAATGACTAAACATTTATTTTTATTTTTTTGTGGATTATTTTGTGAGGAGGAAATATTCAATCTTCAAAATCTTTTTAACCTTTTTGTTTTACTTATCTCTGCAGTTTCTGATTTTATTCAATTCGTCTGACAGTTGATGATAATGAATCCCACATTATTTGATTAAGTGTAATAATTTATCTGATGTTAATTACATGTTGAAAGAGATTTTAAAGAGCTAAAACATCTTGGATAAACTCACACCAAATTAATTAAACACTGATAAAATTCTTTGCATTTAAATGAAGCTGTTTTAATGTGGAAAGATCCTAAGAGTCCAAATTTGTGCTTCTTGAAACCAAAGTGTCCCAGACAACTGAGTAAGGTTCCACTTAAATTTTCATCTTGTCATGTTACATAAACAAGGTTTCCGTTTCATTCATTTGTTAAAATTGAATTCTAGATAAATTGTAGTTCTGATATTAGAATAGTAAGATAAATGGTGCCATAGTATACGATAAATTGATCTTGTCCTTAAACTGTAAAATATTCTTACCCTTGGGTAGTTTATACATACCCAATACACTTAAACATCGTGTATAGCTATACATACAGTGTTAGAGAGAGGATTTGAAGATATGCAGTCAGATTGAAATTAAATTGAAATATAAACTTGATGAAATTATGTTTAAACAGTATTTTAGCTATATGCATGTACTAAAATGTAGCAAAAGCAATGTGAATGATCAAGTTTTGAATTAAAAATTATTGAAAAGATAAATCTTTTGGATATATCCCCAATAAGATATATATAAAAGATGCTAGTTTGTTTAAGTAGTTTTACCACTTACGTCAAAAGGACTTGTGTCCACGGTCTGTCGAAAGTTTAATTGACAAAATCATATTGATGATCCAACAGGTCTATTTAAAACTGTATTCATGTGTAAAGAAAACTCTTATATTTAATATGGAGTGAGAATGCAGAGAAAGGTGTATTATCAGTTTATGTTTTAAAGATATTAATTCTTTGATTAAATGCATAGTGGTGACCCGACATGACTGGTTTCTGTGTCAAGGTGTAGAAAGGTATTTCAGCAAGATGTACAAGCTTCAGCCTAAATGTTTATGTACTGGTAAGATATATATGTTAGTTGTAAGGTTCTGGTAACAGAATGAATTTGATAATCCTTTCATGTTTGAACATAAAAATATAATTCTTATATAAAAGAATGATGATAAATTGTATGTTATCGGAGCGTGTTTGTCTGCTTTGACCAGATATAATTTCACATATGAGAATTTTTAGTGGTGGTGTTGTAACGGTTTGACAGGTTTGCCAAAATACCATCGGACATATCCCGTCGACATCAATCACATTATACATATATGTGTATTAAGACAATACCAGAAATTTGTTAAAAGGCGACCATAGTTATTGATTGGTTATTTTGTCTTTTTCCTAAAAAAAATCTTTTGTGTCTGAAATAAATTCTGTTTTATCGTTTTTGTTTGATGTTCTGTTATGAAAACATGACAACCTGTTTTCATTCATGACCAAGAGCAAAACCTATTTATATATATATGGATGTAGACAACTTTTCCTGTGTGACAATTTCATCATTCCATTTACTAGTAAGTTGCCACTCCCACACCTCATTACACCCTTCCTATAGAAAATAAAACAGTCATTTTCAAGTATTGTTGCATATGTTGTATTTCAAACCAACTTAGAAACCACAATCATGTTAAAGATTTGGACTGCTCCTTGATATATTTGCCCTGAGTCTAGATCATATAGAGTGAAACCTGGTTATACAGTTGTCATAGCATCCTCATGTCCATTTGTAGATCGCAGACATTTCAGTGATAACTCAATTTAGAGATTTTTGTTTTAATTATTTTTAAATGAGAACCCTTGGTGATAACTTTGCTACTGTTTTAAACAGATAACCCCATTATGTCTCTCTAAAACAAAAAAAAATGATGGCAGTGTTGATGGTGGAATGTTGATGTCTTTACAGCTACTAATCTAATATGTTATGCAATGACGTTTTTCATGTCCTGCCCTCCATCAATGGGTCGCTTGTTCACATTGTAAGAATGTTCAGCACCATTTAATCCAGCATGTCTGTGCTATGTAGTATTATTAGTATTCCGAATATTTTGAGAGAGAAAAGTAAAACCAGTATTTAAAAGTAGCATTTTCAAGTTACATTGTGTTCCAACCTGATTTAACAATATTGTAAATATGGGGGAAAGTTTGACTGTTTCTTTTGAAGGAAAGTTGTGATTAGAACTTTGAGAGTTTGGTACATGTGTTGCACTATTGAAGACTCCGCTCAGTTTAAATTAGTATGAATGCAATCGTTTCTTAATTTCATTTGTAGTTATTACTATTTTTCCTGTGTTAGTGAATGCTTTCATTAATATTATCTTTTGTTGGTCCTTGATATTTTCGTAGTCTGTTTATATGAATAAGATGTAAAACAAAACTTTTCTTTTATTATGCGTTTAATAAACCTTTCCTGTTATACTTATGTTGTTCTCATTCTTATGTAGACTAGAACCTTGTTATTCAAGTCATTCGTTCCAAACGGTTTAACCAGAGTTGTTCGTTTATGAAATAAGGTCGGACCTAGAAACCTACAGTAGTACTGCTTTCAGGCGAGGCTTGCAAGGTCTGCATAAACATTTGCTGGTTCGCCAGGATTTCTACCCGAAAAATATTACATTTAAAAACAGACAAACTGGTTGAATCGGAGTCCTGGTGACTGTATTTGTGAGGTTTGACTCGATTTACCATGTACAGTGAATAACAAAACATCAGAATGCAAGTAAGGGTAATTTATTTGAATAAAATTGATAGCCTTCATTCTGGTGTGTGCTTAATATCATCACCTAGGCCTCTTGGTTGTTATTGACCAGAATTGTTTAAAGGTATTTTGACCCCTGTTAGTGAGTCAAGATCATTCATTGGAACAAACTTTATAACCCTTCATCCCAGAAAGTATACCTATAGCTAGGCTTCCAGATTAAGTCCTTTAAAGTAAGCTCAATTGGTCCTTCCTGCCTGTTGTGCTTAAAATGAAGGAAATTGGTGAATAACCACTGGAGATATCAATCTAACATGGTGATAAAAGATATCTCAACTCCCAAAAAATACTGTCAGATTTTAATTATTATCAAACTCTTCACCTTTCACAGTAAATTGCCTCGTAATATTAGTCGGTATACAAGGGGCATAGTTCCATTAATTAATTAGTTATAGTCAGATAATAATGTTTATGCAATTAAACCTTGATAATAAGTTTGAATGTTATACATTGGAAAGATATTACAGAAATGTTTAGCACAGAGGTCCTTCACTTGATAAATTACTGTCAGTGGTTATCAAATGAAACTTGTCAAAAGCTTTCATGGTAATTAACCTTCCTGTTTAAAACTCCTAAAAGTATGGTAAGACAATGTAGTCATCAAACTTGTTGGAGCTCGAAATGTTTGAAGTTAATCAGTCAACAAGATCGTTCACCTGGAAATGTTAGCAAAATTGAAGTTGAAATAGCCAGATGTTGCTGGTAGTGTACATGTGTTACGTGGTTAGTCAGGGGTTATATTTATACGCGGTTGGACAAGATCCTGTCATTCTAACAGAAGAAGGATTTTGAAGAATTTGCTATGGTTCCCCTTTTGGTCCCCTCCCCTCTGTCCCCAGGGGGGTCAGAACCACCGTTGATACAAAATTGAGTCCCTTTTGCCCAATGATGCTCCAGACCAAATTGGGATGAAATCCCTTAATCCCTATGGTGGAAGGATTTCGAAGGTTTACCTCTATTTCCCCTATTGGGCTCTGCCCCTTTGCCCCCAGGGGGGTCACACCCACTGTTTATACAAAATTGAATGCCCTTGGCCTAAGGATAATCCAGACCAAATTTAGTCAAAATCTACTGGGCCGTTCAGGACGAGTAGCGTTTTAAAAGAAAAGTTGACTGACAGACACTGCAGTATGGCATAAGCTCACCATGGTCCTTTGGACCAGGTGAGCTAAAAAGTATCTGAAAGATGTTGAGTGGACACAGCCAAAATCAACAGAGAGCCATAACAAGATTAAGCACCTGCTTGCCTACAAGGAAACATAATTCGTCCCTTTTGACAGGCATTTGAAAATGGCAGAAACATATATAAGCGAAATATCAACAAAGAACGTAAACAGTATCATTGAAAAAGATATTTATTTTGAGATTTAAAACCACCTTTTCAATATCTAAACATCACTACATTCTTAATATCAAGCATTCTATGACAAGGGAGGTAACTGAGAGAAAACAAAATTGCTATTAGTTCAAAAAGTAAAATAGTCATATCAAAGACTAGAAATTTTTAATGAACAAACTATTGTAGACAATAAAATGTCAACATTATATGATGATATATTGCAAAAAATCAGTTTTAAGAATAGGAAATCCATAAGAAGCAAACAAAACCCTATAACCAATGTTGCATTTGTTTACTCAAAATACAAACTAATAATTTTATAAAATAGCTAACTTTTAACTACATCAGTGACGTGTGTTGGCAAGTCTGTTGAATACATGTAGGCTCGGTAAAGGGCAGTGTGGGCTCATGGTATTTTTGCTTTCATACTAGGTGTGAAGGAAATAAGAAACAAAATAATTGCCATATATAATGTATGGGTTCGTGACTTCACTGCTTTCCTAAACCAAAACATTCCCTGACAATATTTCAGAATATATGATAGAAATTAAAACAAATCTTCTGAGAGTCACTGATATCTGAAAATGGGTAAAAAATAATATAACCAGTTACCACTAAACAAAATGGGACATGCTTAGTTCAAAGGGAGTCACATTCACTGCTTGCTTGTTTTAAATTCAATCCAGCTAATTGTAAAATGGATAAAGACCTGGATTTCATCTGTCAGAGAAGAAAAGCAAAACACTTGACACCAAAGCCCTGCACAAGAGTTGGCAATAAAGTGTACTGACTTTAGTATGATACTGTTACCTTTCATGTTTCAAGGGGAAATGGTATACACTGAACGGTGACAATTCAATATGATGTACATTGAACTGTATAGGTAATGTTCATAAAATGAACTACCGGTACTTAATATTGGAATTCTGACATTGGCTTTTTTCATACCACACTGTTGTGAACATTTTCATATTTTCAATGTCAGGAAAAAAAGGAGATGAGATAATGTATACAGTACATACATTCGAGCCTCATCTTTGATCCAGTCACCACAAACGCAACTGTCCAAAATAGCAGATCTTTGTGATATATTATCTCTTAAACATCGCCTTTTCTCTCAGTCATTGCTAGTTTATTCCTAACTGCGTGAACTGACGATTATGTACATGTATGAAGTTAAATTCATGTTTTAATGTCTGTCCTATATACTGGATATAGGATTCTGGCCAGTGCTATTATTTTTGAAGTGACAATATTCCTGCACTTCCTTTATTTAAGTACAAGTTTACTTGTAAAATGCTTTATTTTTATTGAACACAAAATGTTCAGACTTAAATTCATTGAAAACCAGTTTTAAAGAATAAAAGTCCTACTAAGATCTCGTATCCTTCTCTGCAATTTGTAAGATTTAACTAGAATTTTCATTATTACCTAACATTATAATAATCTTAATGTGTTCAGCTATTATTACATAATATGTATCCTCTCCAGTGACAAATGTAGCGAAATCCTTTAAATTTGGTATACCACAGTACCAGATACCTTTCACATACACTATTTCAGTAGCTTTATGTAATGTCTTCCATATCATCTAGCTACCATAACAAAACAACATCTTTATGACTTTTGTTCGGATATTTCAAAAAGCAAACAATTCATGCAAATAAAATTTGATTAAAAATCATCTGTTCCATGGTTCTTTAACTTCGTACTACACCAGAATGTAGGCGTGGTACAAAGTTAACAAAACCGTGTAACAGAGGATTTTAATCAGATTGTGTAAATAATGCCCAAAAGTTAATTTCAAAAACTCAGGTTCCTTACCAAGCCACTTTGTTATAATGCTTGGGATTTTTTAAAATTATTCATCATGTAATGTAACACAACCATTGACAACTAGGACATTGGTTCTCCTCAACTCCTCAACTCTGATAGGAGTACCATTTCTATATTTTACTTTCACGTGTCCAGCAGTCCAAAGTCCTTAGAAAGACGATCATGATATATATAAGTATTGATCCTGTTTTATGAAAATTAGTAATTGGTCCTAATGAGAAGATTTTGTTGATTTCTGCTATGAGATATCTATCTCGTCCCCTCCCCCTACATTCCTCTGGGCTTCTTATCAAAATGGTTCCCTCAGATAAGAATAAGATTTAAAACTGTAGATTGTGTGACTCACTGCATGTAAATCTGTTAATGTCGCTACTGTATATTGAAAAACGATTAGGCTTTGATCTCTACAGAAGATGTTCAAAACAGAAGAGATCTTTAACAGATTGATCTATGTATAACGCTATCTGTGTAGACCTACACCATTCATAACACCTCTCTTGAGCTGTACATGAAATGTAAGAGGACCTGTGTATGATACTACAGTGTAAAATGGTATTATGCTATTATGACACTGTAGAAGTGGGACTTCTTTAAAGCTTATTACTAACCAAACACAGCTGTAATGCCTTACTTGTTCACGTGACGTGATATGATAAAAAATTACATCTGAACATTACTTGTACAAAACAACTCCAATACAAACTAAAGTGAATTCACTCACTGTACCAAAACAATTGTAAAAAAGTGATGTTTTTATGATATTACCAGGTATTTGTTAAGTTATTACATCAACTTGTGCAAAAACGTTTATGGTTCCTTCAAACAGTAAGCCCGGTTACTATTCATATTAGTCACCATCTTTCACAGCATTCCAATAACACATGAATCGGTACCAACTGAAACACTGAATCTTTACTCTTACAATAAACTCCACTGTATTAGTCTTCATACAGATTTGGTAAGTTATTAATTCTGCCTGCTCCTGAACATCATTTTATTTATATAACAAATATACCAAATTTTCTTTAAATGGCTAAAAAATGTTAATGGACTGCAAAACAATGCAAACACAAAATGTACAATAGTTTACTGAATGACTTTTACCTTACTCATACATAAAAAGTACAATACTGATTTTAATTTGACAAATAACTATGTACGTTACTTGAACAATACCTGGTAAATGTACTGTATGACCTTTACCTTGATACAATAGATGAACCGACCAAATGTCCTTTACCTTGGTACAATAGATGTACCAAATGACCTTTACCTTGGTATAATAGATGTACCAAATTACCTTTACCTTGGTACAAAAGATGTACCAAATGACCTTTACCTTGATACAATAGATGTACTGACCAAATGTCCTTTACCTTGGTACAATAGATATACCAAATGACCTTTACCTTGGTACAATAGATGTACCAAATGACCTTTACCTTGGTACAAAAGATGTACCAAAAGACCCTTACCTGGGTACAATAGATGTACCAAATTCCCTTTACCTTGGTATAGTAGTTGTACCAAATGACCTTTACCTTCGTACAATAGATATACCAAATGACCTTTTCCTTGGTACAATAGATATAGATAATGACCTTTACCTTGCTACAATAGATATACATAATGACCTTTACCTTGGTATAGTAGATGTACCTTTAACTGTATTTGTACCAAATTGTACTGCATGAGGTGCACCTTACTAGTACAATATCCAAATACTCAATTACCTCTATCTTACTTGTACATGTAATACTTAGAAAACCTTCACCTCACACAACACAGGTACTTTGTGACCTAGATCATGTAAAACACGTCTTCCACTCAATATCTATCCTACTCATGTACATATTTATCAAGTGATTTTAATGTCAGAGTTGAACATAGTCTTACTGATTTATATCATATGTAAGTTAAGTGACTATCACCTTACTAGTCCAGTGTTACTTAGCCTATAAGCTTTTTCTACCTATGACTTTTACATCAATTGACCTTGACATTATGAGTACTTGTACAATATGAGCTCCTAATGACCTATATTATACTATTAATGCTAAAAGAACAAAAACTCAACATGCTTAAACTATGTGAGAGGTCAGAGGGTCACTATTGCACACCTGTGTCATCAAGTATTGAAGCACCTGTAATATATACACATTCACAGGTATAAGGGTTGTCATGTGCTGGCCTGCTTTCCAAGTCGGCTGAACACACCTGCGTTTTTCTTGCCATCTCCTGTGACCTTGAGTGTGGTGACCTTGGGTGCAGGTTTTGAAGTAGAGGTGACCTTCTGAAGTCCAAGACGTTTCTGAATTCCTGCAATTTAAACAATGATTGATTATAAGGACTGAACGTTACTGATTTAAATGTCAATAAAAAACACCTCCCGTGGCTGACATACAAACATAGTTAACAATAGAGGTTGTCACAATACGACAAGAGTGTATCACAATATATTGCGATACCTATCCCGATATATTGTCATAGGAAGGAAGTGTTCGATTTTATGATAAGTTGTTGTCAGAATGTTATCAAACTGAATCATATATAATATGGATCACATAGATTTACCTATAGGTTTGTCTAACCAACCATTGATTACAAAATTTGAACTTATTCCCACCCCTACTAAAAGCCTGTTTTATGCTTATTGGCATATCTGTTAGAATTTGTAGTAATTTGCAAAGTTAAATTACCAAGCAGAATGAGATACATGAAAATAAGCTTTTAAAACAAATATTGCGATACAGCAATACTTCATCTCTGTATTGTGGTACAATACGATGTACCTGTGTATTGCGATATATACCTGTTTTCCGATATATTGTGACAGTCCTAGTTAACGCAATATCAGATTGAGTGTATGCACTTCCTAATAGCATTTATGCAAGCCACAACACTGTAGATATTGTATATTTTATGTTGACCACATGTGAGATGAGTCCTCGACTAAATGTGTTATCAAATTTAATAAAGTTTATTATCATTATAACAGTTTTTATCCGCCCGATCTGTCACTCCAGTTAAGTAATGGCTAATTATTAGGCAGCCTCTATATATATACAATTTTACTTCAGTGGGAATAGATTATTATAATTAGAGCATGATGACTAAGTAAAAAGGCTATTTCGGACTAAAGTTGGTTAAATCCCTTTACCAGACTGCTCCCCCCCCCCCCCCCAAGAAAGGCTACAAAATTTAGTTCCCCTTAACGCATTCACCCTTGAAGACACATTTGAACTCTTCCAATTCAAAGGTTGGAATAGTCCATTATGAAATTTCAGGAGTTAATGAGTTAACCTAACAATATTCCCGACCACCTAATATCGCTATCTGCACAGCTGTTCTTGAACAGTAATTTTCATAGAAAAAGTTTACCAACAGTGGATGGCTGACAGACACTGCACCACGGCACCTAAAGGGCCATGTGAGCTAAATATGACTATGGAAATGGAGAAGAAAATGGTTTGTTGTTTTACAAGTTTTGACAGTGTTACTGACCTGATTTCTTCCTGGCCGGCCCTTCTCCTTCCTCGGATGTAGTACTAGATACAGCACAGGTTCCTCCCACTTTCTTACCTAACCGTTCCTGTAAACTCCTTCCTCCTGTTGACCCAAAGATTCCCTCTGTCTTGGGCCCTTTAACAGAATTCGGAGCAGCTATTGAGGAAGAAAGCAACAAATTTACTATGAGGAAAAGATGGCACATATCATTATTTTACTGTAATTGAAGTGGTATCAACTTCTGTTTTCTGATGTTCCTTTGAAAAATATTGGATATTTCTGGTTCTTATTCCACAATACTGTTTATGTTAAAATTTCAAATACCTTATCTATACAAAATGTTCCTTTCTTTGTCTCAAATACTAACACAAAAATTGTGTTTGGTAATATCATGAAGATCTGGTATACTTAACTCTGGTACATGCATCTGAGATTATGATTTGGAATTCCAGATTTGATATTTTTTGCTTTATATTTCTATATTATTTTTGTCCGTACTCAGCATAATTTTGCAGGTTATTCTATGGCATTGTTTACCTAACCAGTTTTCTAATATCGGACACTGTTAATTTTCATAGTAAATGCTGTACTGCACAAACTTAACAAGAACAATTCTAGATCTAGGAAAGAATGTTGGGCCATTGACCACTTTCACTACAAATAGTCCCCTCAAAATTAATGTTGGTGCCAGTTTTAAAATAAAAATCCTGTCCAAAATATAGACAATAGTAAAAATAGTTTGACGTGACAGCTGAGATTCCTCATGATTTATGATGAATTATCACTGTTCAGATACCTTGTTTCTTTATAGAGACAGTAGTTTCTGTAAGGACCACTTTTTTGCGTTTAACTGGGGAGGGGGTGGACTTGAGGATTCCGGCGTATCCTAGAGGCTCTTCACCATCTTCATCCTCATCCTCATCATCCACAGATGTGGACTGGGCAGCTCGCTTTACAGTTTTCTTGCCTCCCAGTCGACTGAATACTGAGGACTATTGCAAAAAACCCACAACAACTTTGAAGTAGATCTTGATGGTTTAGTTCTCTTTGTCAAATATCAATAAGAACAACAAAGCACAACCAATAAGTGTTATGTGTAGAAGTGTCTTGAGGGGCTTCATGGCTGTTGCTATGCCATGACCTGGAGATATTGGATGGTTTTGGATATACCTTTTATAAAAGTATTAAACAAAGCGTAGCTGAATCGAGTCATTTCGGTACATATATAACAACTAATTGTACCTGAATTGACGGGATTTGTGTGGACAACTTGCACATATTTTACACCTTTATGTTCTTATGCTTCACTGGTCATTTGTCTGATGAAGGTGACAGAATACATACCGTACTAGTCATTGAAATGTCACATATAAACATGTATTGGTTGTGCTACATGAATCTTTTCACAATACATACTTACAAACCTGAAGAAAAAAAAATCACAGATTTCACAGATAATCCTTTTTATAAAGGAAAACAAGCCATTACAGCTTTTTACATAGGAAAAGACATCTGACATACGTTTTACAAAAAAGAAAATTTTCTTAATAATACTGCTCTCCAAGAAATTACTCAATATGCAGTAAGATAAGAAATAATTAAAGAAGGGTTCCAACTGATTTTCAATATATTTTTAAGTAATCATTAGCATGCTTTTTATGTTGTGTTGCACTAACAAGAATTCCACAGAAGCGGAAGTGTCGCCTTCGGACCTGAAAAGCAATCCCAAGCAAGCACCATTGGTAAGGAAACACTGTATGAAGTCTGAGCTCGATCAAACTAAAGAAACTTAAATTATCGCACGGAAACAGATTTTCTATTTATGGTAACGGTGACCTTGACCAAGGTAATATAAGTTATCGCACAGAAACCTTGTTTCAGACGATGCAACCGATCGATGGCGATGCCAACAGAAGCAATACCTATATGTCACCTTGCGATGCAGACGATACAAAAATGGTTAAATATCATACAAACATATAATATATCAAGCTAACCCTAACCCTAACCATATCTATATCAACCTATCATTGTGATTGATATGTTCCAAAAATCCCATCATGAATGACTGAAAGCTTACTAAGGCTATGTAGTTTCTTCATTTGCTATAAGATAGGTATACTTTCAAATAGAGGAATTTAAGGATTTACCTTGTCTCAATTTATAAAGTTAATCATAGTTTATATGAATCAACCTCATAAATATTGTGATAGTCGTTAGCATAATATAGCCTTTCGGGTATGAGTTCAGTCTATGTCAAAACTGATTTTTTTTCACTAATCGGTCAATCGGACTACCTTTTTGAATTCACTTTGTGGTAGAAATTTTATAATTCTTAATGCTTTTTGACACTAAAAAGAATTCACAAAAAAGTTATACTGGAGATAAGTTAGGCCTCTTTTGCGTATCCGGTTCAATCTGAGCCAAGGCTGACCTCAGGTGTATTCAGCACGTGTAGAATGAAGGGTCAAGACGTCGACGTGCCTGACCAAAACTTAAATGCTGACTATTGTTAGTTTTCTTTATTTCATTATAATACCATGGAGCTAGTAGAGCAAGGGAGATAACTCTTTTATCAGTTTGTCTATACAGGAAAATAGTGACTGGTAGGGTTTACAAGGAACAGCAACAGACCACACATGAAGTATGATACAATACTTAAAAAGTGAAATATCTTTGAAAACCTGCAGGAACCCACCTTTTAAACATAACAATATCATTCCAAAAAATATGTCTGAGTTAACATTTGTATCATTTTGGTTTCCTTACCTCTGTACTGGAGGATTTGATTATCATTCCTCCACCTTCTGTGAATGTGGTTGATCTGCCTGGGTTGTCTGCCCCTAGTCTTTTGAACACAGAGGTCCCTTTGACAGTGGGTCCTATTTGTAACAAATATTTATAAACTAATTTTACATCAACTTCTTTTCCTGTATCACCTTGTATCAAAGTGAAAAAGAAGAATGATTATTTTCCTATTCGGTGCTAACTTAGATATTACCAAAATGATTTAGGTACCATTCAGATATCAAATTACAAACTTTTAAATGTTGAGTTGATGTCATATGGACAAATTGAATAGTAAACGATTCAAACCCAGAATACCTGGTAAATAATAATTTTCAAGTTTCGTCACAGGTATTTGCAACTTAGCACATATCAGCAATTTGTACATGTAATTTTTAAAAGTTTGTGTAAAATCATATATTTAGTCATCATTTTTTAAAATTTCAACTCTCACAAAAACTGACCTGAAGATTTTTCTTTCAATATTTTTTGTGTTTTTGCAGTAATCCCTGCAGGCATTGTAATCTTGTACTTTCCTTCATGCTCAGGAAATACCCGTCGGGATTTAGGCACTGGCACAACTTCCTCAAGTTTCTTGGGGTTCAGTTTAATCTTACTGATTTTACTTGAGGCTGCAACAGGAGATGATTCTGCAACAAGAACAGAGCATTTTCACTTTCTCATTAATCTTTTATAACATCACCATCTTAACTCCACATTTGCTATAAGGGCAACGGTTCCGAGTGGTTAAGTGGTCTGGCATTCTGCTACCACTAGCTCTCCACCACTGGTTCACATTTTCGTGGCCTACGCGGGGCAGTGGCCCCAGTAATATTGAAAATTTTGCGTCAATTTTACGAAGCATCTTTCATAATGTAAGATTTTTCACCTAACTTCAATATTCCTGAAAGTAAAGCAATGTCCCAGTTAAGGACAACAAGTAAGCTATGAAAATTCGTTAAACCAGGGCCTGGATGGTAGAGTGTATACATAGGTTAATAAACTATAACATGGAACCTGGGTAGAAACAGACCAAATCTAAGATGCCAATAAAAACACGGAACACATACTGCCAGAGCCTGGTGGTGTCCCAAGCCTTGCTGATAGTTCTCTGGATATCTTTGGTACAATAGGCAGGTTCATGGGCCCAGCATCAGGGTCTTTACCCAGGTAATGATCGACAATCCGACTGGCAGCTGTAACAAACGTGAGAACGAAGCAGCTTTTTACTCAATGAATGCTGTTTGGCAAATCAGTTCACTCATTCACCCCTACAATTTTAAACTGGACTTGCCCAGTCATTGATTTTGTACGGTTCAAATGTGACTTTAGGGGTGCATGGGTTAACATTTATAACTTGTTTCATGAATTACAAAATTTTGAGAAAGATTGGAAACAAAATTTTCTCTAAATGATAAAAGATTTTTTGTTTTAATATGGAGAAATTACAGAGAAAAACAGTAATCTTTTACTTGTGGATCTCCTTAGAGTTAGTGATGGCAGTGCACAATGTGATGTAGAGGGGAGATAACTGTTATAGTAATTTTCACCTGTAGATCTCCTTGGAGTTGGTGACGGTTGGGATCCACGTAATGTTTTCTCTCTTGCTTCCTAAAGAAGAAAGATATAACAGATAAAAATATTACATTATAAATATCGCAAGGAAGAGTGTATTACAATTCTATGAAACAAATAATTTCCATATACATACATAAATTTTGTCTGTAATTATGCAAGTCTTTAATTTAAAATTTTAATTTTAGTTTTTTTACCCGTACCTTAATATCTAGTTTTGCCAAATGTTATTCTAACTGATGGATTTAATCTATGTCTAGTCATTTTACCTCAGCTATGACTTATCAATTACAATTTTCTATGATTGATCATAGTTTGACCATGACATGAAAACTCAAGAGTTATTGAGAACTATTGCAATACTAAGTAGTACTAATAAATTATTTCAATAGTTAATGGGTCATAAAATAATACAAAACAATACTCCCCTTTATATATTAGTTGATAATGGATGATATCAAAATGGTCATGTAGTATGTTGACTTCTATATCAATCAGATTAAAATCATCAGTTATATGGCTTCATTAACTTCAGTTAGGAGTACAAAGTTAACGAAGCCATGAAACAGATTATTTTCATCAGATTGCCTCTATTATAATATAGTCTTTATCTAAATGGAAGTTCTTAACCTGTTTGGATTTTTGGTGTATAAAATATGAATCTATAGTTTTTCCCTGTTTGTAATCAACTGTATACATAGTCTTTACCTGTTTGTTAAGTCTTAATGCTTATGGTAAATAAATCAGTGACATTGTTACTTGTTTATTTACTGTACACATTATAATATGTGTATGTTTAATTTAATCTTTACCTGTATGTGTACAGTCTTGGCATGTTTAAGGATGTTGATGACATCACCCAGAATGGAGATTCCCATACAGTTAAGGTAGTCCTTCGTCAGGTCCTGGAGCATGTCGCGCTGGATCCTATTGTCTGTAAAGGTCACTGCATAATTTGCAGCATCCCCAACAGGTATACCAGCATCTTTGAAGAATTTCAGCCAATAAGATGTCTCTGTTGAATTCAAATACATGTGAAATTTTATCATTGGTGTACAATTGAGTACCTACTTAAGTTCTACTTTGATGCTGAATCAAGCTTAATTGACTGGTGTCAGATGATTCGCCCCAAAACCATAATGCCCCGAGCTGCTACACATCAAATTTGATTCATATCGCATTAACCAGTTCGCCTAAAAAAAACCATAACGCCCCAACCATTTCGCCCTAAAATTTCTTCCATCCCAAAATTAAATATGTTTCTCAAGTGGCTTGCTCATATTACCTTTTTCTTTTTGGGAAATTTGTAGTTAAATATATTATGCGATAATGTTAACGTGCTAAGGGGAATAATTCTTGTTTCGTTTATGCTACAGAAAAGTCAGGTATACAATACACCACCCACTTTACATATTATTTCAGTTTTGCCGTAGATCGATAATGCATCATATCTATAGTATCTATGTTAGGCATGTACATGTATTTGCATATTTTAGATGAAATATATGGATAAGATAATTAGATTATATACATGCGAACCGTAGATCAATAACGTATCACATCTATAGTTCCTTCCTATATCGTTTGACATGTATTTGTACTTTTTAGATACCTATAAGATGTTAATTAGACCATATAAACCATTTTTATCATATTAATAATATATTAAACATTGACAAGGAAATAGTTACAGCGTTAAAATCGAAAGAATGATCTCTGATTAATTGCCATTTCATCGTTCAATATAAGTTTGTAGCTGTTGGGGCGATAACAAATTTTGGGGCTATATAGCTTTAGGGGCGAAAATGGCCTTTGAATTGAAAATGATAGGAAAATTGGGGGATGTGAAAAAAGTTAAAATGGTCTGGCAAGGGGCCAAACGGTTTTGGGGCGAACACTTGTGATTCTCAATGGACATAACACTTTTCCAAGGATTATTAATCTAGACACCTATAAATTTGGTTGTAGATTTAACAAACTGGTGAACTCTTTTATCAGCAGGTCCAGCACACTCTGCCGATGAGCTATATAGCATTAATTAGACTTATATAGCTATATTTACCTATAAATTATAGCTGTATTGAGCTATAATTTCTCAGATTTCAATTTTCATTAAATCAAAGCAAAGTCGCATAAAAACAATAAGGTTTATGGTATTGTTGACTACAAAAAGTATACATTTAGATGTTTATTTTCATTTTTCATAAATGTAAAATTTCCGATTTTTTATATCATTTTTTTTGAAAAGAATACTTGTATTTAATGTCTTTTGTTATCAATCTTATATTAAAAGCGACTTTCCTTCGTTTTCCTTCAAAAAGAAAATCACATGAAAATAGCTCAAAAGACCTATTAGATCTATAAGTCAATAGAGCTATTGTAAGTCTTTACAGCTATGTATAGCTCAATCGGCAGAGTGTAGTGAACCTGTTTATGTACATGTATATGCACAGCCAGGCCTGGATTGGAACCCGGGACCCTCCAAACTTTAGACGGACGCTCAAACCAATTGAGCTAATTTAAGCTTGCCGCGGTGATCGACCCAGTACCATATATGGCAATTTTCTTTTAGTTCTCGCACAATATATGTCCTCGAAAGACACACAGTTCAACTTAGAATGATAATCGCGACCGCATCCTCTGCAGTCTTTAAATGAAAATTGTTAATTCAAACACTAATACTTCAGGAGTTTTCACTTTTGGGATAATCCTATCAAATCGATCGCATAATATTTTTTTTCGTGATGTGGCTTGCATTTTCACGTAAAACCTAAGTGATTTTATACCATTCTCTTTCTAAAAATAATCGTTGTATGAATCAAATTTATGAAGAAAGTAGTTAGAAGTATGTGGAGAGTGTCACAATTTCATTGTTTTGGCTAATACTCATTAGAAACAACACTGAAAGCATCTTCAAAACTGTGGTCAAGTTACCTGGGAAAGCCATCGCGGACCGCTACTCATATGTAAAGACCCGAAAGGTATCGAACATAAAAAGCTGGTCGATTAAACGTTTAGCATATATGATAAAGATATTGTAAAAGATATTCCGAAAAGAGATCATGGTATTTTAAACGTTTCTCTTCATTGAAAAAGTAAACATAAGCAGCAGTTAAAAACAGTTATGGAGCCTGTTCCAACATGGGACCAACTGATTACAGGTAGGTTTTAGCTAGTGATGTCATATATGTGTTTAAGGTTATTTTCCATCAGCATTCGAACTGTTGCAATAAATTGATGAAAAGGTTACAGAGCGGCTACAATATAGAACTGTTTGGTTCCTTTTCCAGGATATAACTTAAGCTTACATTTGATCACTTGTTTCAGGCCAGCTGTTGAGACACAATGTAGTGAGTGGTGTACTCCTCTTAACCCGACATGGTCAGCCTGCATATACTTACGGGGAACTGGACATTGATCCTACTGTGGTAAATATAATTATATATTGGTATCATATACTGATGGAAATATCACCTCTGTATGAAGTGTATCTGAGGTTTTACAGGAATCATTAGTTATAACCAGCTAATAGTATAAATTAACGTTAAAATATTCTCAATATTTTTTTAATGAAACCTGTCTAACCTGACCCCTGATAATTCTGACATCTTGTTTAATCTTATCCTTGAGTGTTCTGACATTCTGCATAACCTGACCCCTGACTATTCTGACATGCTGTTTAATCAAAATACTTATGTATGTTTGTCACATTTCTTTTAAAAGATATCAAAGAAAACCTATGTTTTCTGACAAACTTTCTAACCCGATCAATATGTTGTGTCATATGGGGTGTCAGATAAGACTGTACAACAATACCATTACTTGAACATCCTCCATTAGTATATATATCTTTCTACAAAGTAATAGCTATGCCTATTGTCAAACTGAATTCCATTAAATAAACCATACATTTGTACTGCTAACTGTTTCATGCATGCATTCTACTTTTAATCTGACATTATTGGAGACTGAGTAGGATCATCAAATCATTAAACCATCAAATCCCAAAGTGACTGTGATATGCACTACAGTTGGATTTAGATGAAGCTACTAGGTGGGAGCAAGACTGGTTGATGGCTTTCCATCCAGACAAATGCATAGTCCTTACAGACTCACAAAAGAAAAAAACAGTTTAAACATGACTATATCATCCACAATCACAAACTTGAACTGGTCTATTCAGCTAAATATCTGGGCATTACACTACAAGCAAACTTAAAATGGTCAAAACATACAGACAACATCATAGCTAATGGCAACAAATCTTTAGGCTTCCTAAAAAGAAATTCAAAAACATCATGTCAGAACATCAAGACTCAGGCATATCTGGTACTAGTTCGACCAAAACTTGAATATTCATGTACAGTATGGGACCCTCACACATTTGAACAAACTTCTAATATCGAGATGGTCCAACGACGAGCTGCCAGATATGTCTGTAACAGGTACCATAACATCAGTAGTCCTACAGGTATGATAAATTCATTAAGCTGGCCAACACTACAAGAAAGAAGACTACGCACAATATTAAAAATGTTCTACAAAATAGTCCATCAAATTGTAGCAATCCCATCTGCTATTTTCATACCATCAGACAGTAGAAGCCGAAAAATCATAATTTCACTTTCAGACACATTTCAACCAAAAAAGATACATATACATTTTTATTTTTTCCTTATACCATAACTCAATGGAATGTATTACCAATCCATACAGTCATTGTCACAACAGTCGACACTTTCAGAGAACAGCTCACACCAGCTGTTCTCCACAAATTCATTTAATTTTTACAAGCCTATGTACATAGCTATAATCACAATTCCAAATTTATGCATTCCAAATTCATTTTCATAATTTTTGGTATTCTTGTAAATATATATATAAAGGCCACGCTGTGCAAAACAGTAAATAATCTTCAGATCATTGAAGGACTACTGATAACCTAAAGAAGAAGAAGGATCAGAACAAAAATCATTTATATTAGAATTTATTTTAAGCAAAAGTAATCATGTACTGTATGCAATTAATATCGATATGTTTCATTGTTATTGCAGAAAGAATCTCAAAATTTTGTCAAGGCATTCCAACAGACGCAGTCGCATCAGACTTCAAAGAATGACACCTTCACCATTCAGTTTAAAAACAGGCAGCAAGTCAATTTTACAGTCTACAAAAGGTCTCACTGCAGGTAGTGATATTATATACATATTCTATACCAATATATTATAAGATTTAATTTTCTATTCCAAAATAAACAGGGGTGGGATTTAAAGAATAGGGTTATAGGCCAGAAGGTCCAGTTGAAGAAAAAATTCACTGGTCCTGTTTGAATTAAGTGCACTGATCCAGAAAACAAGGTTGGCTTATTCGATACTAGATACTCAATACTAAGGAGGTCAAGTTAATTTAGAATTAGACCATTTGCCATCGACCACTGTAAATTCTCAGCATTTGCAGCGAGTGTTTGATAATTTGACTGGCCTTATTGATTTTTGCATGTTGTATAATGTTGATTTTAAATATAATAGGAAAGACTATCCCTAGTCGCGCAGTGACATATTGAGTTTTTCTATCGCATCCTGAATTAGTTTTCTGTGGATATTATGCTGTGTACAGAGCGCATACATCTAAATATGAAAGCCCTTCTATGCAATTGACAAATGCCATATTTGAAAATATATGAAAACTTTGAAAACTTTCAAAGTTTTCATGTCCCTTGAAAACTTTAAAATATTTGGAGCATTCTAGGCTTAAAATAAAGCTATTCAGATCTTCTGAAATTTTAGATAAATTTACCAAATATTTACTGGCCCGGTGGGAAAGGTTGCTGAAAAAACTACTGGTCCGCCGAGAAAAAACATTGGCCAGTGGACCAGCGGTTAATTCTGCCCCTGCTAAACCAAAATTGTACAAAGTAATTAGATATATAGATCTCTAAATTAAAATTTGGTCCAGATATATATTTTGTTTATTCATCAGAAACTTTCCGTGTTTTCAGTATCTATGCTACATCTTACGGGAACAGGGACAGTCTCATCATCTGTAACCTTCCCCATGGAGTAATGCTGTGTACTTCCCACCTTCCAACACAGGCAGGGCAAGTCATCACACTGGTAGAGCACTTCTGTGACATGCTTAGGGCATGACAGGGCAGAACAGCCATCACAGGGACATCCAAGGAATGTGGATTGTCAGGCTTGAGGACAACCAAACAGAGCAGTTGTCACAGAGATATCCAAGAAATGTGGATTGTCAGACTTGAGGACAACCAAACAGAGCAGTTGTCACAGAGACATCCAAGAAATGTGGATTGTCAGGCTTGAGGGCAACCAAACAGAGCAGTTGTCACAGAGATATCCAAGGAATGTGGATTGTCAGACTTGAAGACAACCAAACAGAGCAGTTGTCACAGAGATATCCAAGGAATGTGGATTGTCAGGCTTGAGGAGAACCAAACAGAGCAGTTGTCACAGAGATATCCAAGGAATGTGGATGCTCCTCAGTGTATAAAATTCACCAAACATGACAGCTGTCAGAGAGAAATGGTAGGATGGAGGCATGCTCAGTGCTTGGGGACTACCATAGTCAACAGCAGCCACCGAGATATTCAAGGCACGCTCAGAGGATGAGGACCACCATAGTCAACAGCAGCCAACGAGATATTCAAGGCATGCTCAGAATGTGAGGACCACCATAGTCAACAACATCCATCGAGATATTCAAGGCACGCTCAGAATGTGAGGACCACCATAGACAGCAGTTATCACAAATATCCAAGGGTAGTAGATGCTCAGGGTTTGAGATTCTCAAAACATGATCATTGTAAGAGAGATTTCCAAGAGTGGAAGCATTCTAAGAGTGCTGGAGGACTACCAGTGTTAATAGCTGTCACAGAGATGTAGAAGACATACTCCAAGTTTAAAGATGACCACCAAACAAAGTGGTTATCATAGAGACATTCATGTGTAAAGGCATGGTGTGGGCTTGAGGGTAAAAAATATCAACCACAGAGGCCAAAGAAATGCAAGGCAAGCTCAGTGACTGAAGACCGCCAAACCAAGCAGTGATCATGATCACAGACCACTGAAGTGTAGAGGCCTGCTAACTCCAACAATGTTAGAGGTTTTACACGGCGAGAAACTTTTGACCGTCGCAGTCGACAAAATAATATCAGATAGAAAAAAGGACTACCAGCGGCCTCTTATGTTATAGGAGTAGAGGCCTGCTGTGTGCTTCTGGGCCAACAAACTTAACTACAGTCATAGAGATGTCCATACAAGGATAGATGCATTCTCACAGTTTGAGGACACCAAACATGGCAGCTGTCCCAGATATGTTCAAAAATAGAGACATTCTTCGGATATGAGGACAAAAAATGACAAATCACAGCAATATATAAGGATATTGTCATAGATTTACATAACACTCAGTCGGTGAGCATTCATTATTATCCATAATAGGATGATTGTGCATCACAGTTACACTATATCAATGATCTTTGTATTATCAGGATTGTGACATCATAAATAACACACTGTAGTTACAGTGATACTGATCATAGTTACATTTTATCTGATGCAGAGTCTTGTATAGTGATGATAATGATATTAGTGCATTATATACATTACTGTTTGGGATATCATTGTGTACTTTATTACTTGTTTTAGTTACCTGAGCCAAAGTGACATATGTAATATAGTGTACTGGCATCGGTCTTTTCTGTAGTTATGTGCTATGCAGTGCCTGCCAGTAACAGCTTACATTGTTTTGTATTCTAATTCTATTAAAGAACTTTAAAGACCCAGAGTCAAGATATTTGGCCAGTTACAAAACTTACTTTCTTGGGTAGAGACTAGGACCATATTTGTTGAAGTGATTCGTTTGATCCAGTTTTAAAGATTATTTATTAGGAATTGGACATCTCAAAATGTTTAAACAACTTCTTCTGCATAACAAGGATGACAAGAGACATGATTTTTGGCCTGAAGCTCAATGCTGGAATGAAGGGCTGTGGATTTTATTATCTGAACGATGACCTGGACTTAGGTCACATGAGTAAAATAACTTTGAAAAAAAAGCAAAGCCCAGTAAGGTATGGCATAACAATGCTACATATATTGATGAATTTGTGTAAATAAATTTCAGCTTTATTTGAATGTCACAAATATGATATTTATTTATCAACAGCTTTTGATAACAGTTGAATGATACAGGTGAGGCCTATATTGGGCCTCTTGCTATAGGTTAAAGGTTAAAGCATAAATATGATATTTTGTTTGTGCCAATTATAACAGCAATATCTCGCAGAAAAAGTGTTCCGGCCGATGGGTCTCTTGTTCCTGGTTTTAAGTGATCTTTATAGTTAATAATCATTGATCAATTGAAGAATATTATAAGTAATAAAGGTATGATATAAAACTTCAAATAAGAATTGCACAGCCAGCATATACAGTAATTGATTATTAAGGTATATATTGTGCAAGTGATTGAAATAAATTTGTGTTTATTTTGAAACAAAGATGTTTGATTTATTAATTAATTCTTCATCATTCAACAGGTCGTCTTTAAAACCACATGCTATTTTACTGTGACATGTGTTATTTTTCCAAAACAGCTCCACTCTTACTTTAAGTGGGATAGCTATCCTCCATGCATGGTTACTGATTCAATTGAGAACATATTAGGAAGCAAACAAGAATGCAGACATTGATAACAATCAGGTAGAGTAATGTACTGTAGAGTTATTAAAAATTGCTAATTAAAAGCTCACAGGGGAGATAACTTGATCATTCATCAAAGGTTTGCTCTGTAAGATGACTTGATCTCTAAACACAAGTGTAATGTATATGCATAAGGGAGATAACTTTAGCACAAATCACAGGTATACTATGTAAGGGAGATAATCACAAATCACAGGTATACTATGTAAGGGAAATAATCACAAATCACAGGTATACGATGTAAGGGAGATAATCACAGGTATACTATGTAAGGGAGATAATCGAAAATCACAGGTATTCTATGTAAGGGAGATAATCACAAATCACAGGTATACTATTTTAGGGAGATAATCACAAATCACAGGTATACTATGTTAGGGAGATAATCACATATCGCAGTATACCATGTTAGGGAGATAATCACAAATCACAGGTATACTATTTAAGGGAAATAATCACAAATTTCAGGTATACGATGTAAGGGAGATAATCACAGGTAAACTATGTAAGAGAGATAATAAAAAATCACAGGTATATTATGTAAGGGAGTATTTCACTTATCACAGGTATACTATGTAAGGGAGATAATCCCTAATCACAGGTATACTTATATATTTATTAGATAGTTTTATCAGTTATCGTGGGAATTATATGAGATGAGATAAAGAAGAGACATCACTTTTCAAAAGTATGCTGTGTAAGGGGAGATAACTTGGTAACTCTTTCAAGGTATACTGTATTTGTTAAGGTATACTGTAAATATCGGACTGCAGGTAAGTATTATATGTAAGGGAAATAACTTTTTCACTATTCACATGTATACTTTTCAAGGAAAGATAACCAAATAGCTTCGCATGGAAAACTGTAAGTTAGAGAACAGTTTTATCACTATTCATAGGATTTTTGAGATATTGATATAATCTTCCAATACCTTGAGGATGTGACAAAGAAATATCAATCCAAAAAGGATAATTAGTTTTTGGTTGTCAAACCTAGCTGAGGCTTGTGTCGAGGGTGATTTTGTGGTTGTCTAATCCAAGGCTAATGTTTAGGCAACAAAATAATCACCCTTAGGTTTGGAAACATAATGTCTCCCACACCCTTAAGATATGGATGATTGATTATTTTCTTCCGTCATTCAAAAAAATATAGTCAAAACAATAGTTTTTAGCTTTTATAATCTGTTTTTATTCTGATTTGCATATGACCTTTCCCGTAGACAGGTGTGAACAAATTTGATCACAAATTACATGTACAGCATGTTTTTTAGAAACGGTTTGTAGAATAAGAAAAATATGGTACGTTGGTGGGTATTTTAAATAAATCAAAATAACATAATCAGAAAATGGTTAGTTTAAGGATGACAATATTTTCATTATTGATTGATGTTTTGATTTTTCATACTTGCCAACTCTTTTGGAGGGAGATTCTTGATTTCGATTTAAACATTCATATTGATCATTTTCAACAGGGACGTATAGTGGTCTATATACTGTCCCTGTTTTCAACCAGTGTATCTAATTTTTCCTTAGGGTTATATACACACATTATATTTATATTTTGAATTATGAGAAAGCGTTATCTCCCCCATGGTTATTTCAAAAAGTTTGAAGTTATGGACTTTTTTTTACCGGTTGACAAATCCCATGAGCTGTATCAAAATGAAAGTCAATTGACATATCAAGGGAAGCAACTCTTGTGACCTACAACAATTCCTGTATATGTTTCATCTCCCATATACCAATAACCATGCTTAAAGTCGAAAGAAATAACTCTGAAGTTGAAATCTGTCACGCGACTGTAACTTGCTCACCGACACCCTTTTACCATAAATACATTCCATGCTGTTCCATTGTATATCTCGGTCTGATTCGGTCAATAGTTACACCATGTTCGGCTACTGCGTATAATACGCATGTGTAAAAATCACCACTACTTCCGGTCTTCTTTCGGTTCGGTTTTGTGTGATGCCATAGGATAAAGATGCCACCAACGATTCAGAAACCGTCTCATGACCGGGATCGGAAGAGAGGAACTGGGGAAAGAAGGTAAATGGTCAAAAACATAAAAGCCTATGATGATATTCATGGCTACAGTCAATCTGATGCCTTTGGGAACCTGTGCACATGTACAGAGGCCTGAATATAAAGGGATTTAATATTAACAGGTCCAGTACACTCTGCCGATTGAGCTATATAGCAATAAAGACCTATATAGCTATATACACCTATAAATTATAGCTGTATTGAGCTATATTTTCTCAGATTTCAAATTTCATTAAATTGAAGCAAAGTCGCATAAAACAATAAGGTTTATGGTAATGTTGACTACAAAAAGCATCCATTTAGATGTTTATTTTCATTTTTCATAAATGTAAAATTTCCGATTTTTTTACATCATTATTTTTTAAAAAGAATACCCTTATTTAATGTCTTTTGTTATCAACTTAATGATACAATCTTCTTTTAAAAGCGACTTTGTTTCGTTTTTCTTAAAAAAGAAAATCAATTGAAAATAGCTCAAAAGACCTATTTCACATAGGTCAATAGAGCTATTATAGGTCTTAACAGCTATATAGCTCAATCGGCAGAGTCTACTGGACCTGATTAACAGTGATTAGATAAGGTTATTTTTTGTGTGCATGGTATATGAAAAAAAGGTTAAAAACTGTTAAAAGTTCAACGCGTGCAAGTGTTATCAGGTCGGGGAAAACCACTAACTTGCGTATAATACGCAAACTCACCTATTATACGCCAATTGGGGTATGGATTTGTTACTAAAAATAGTCGAAATCCCTTTAAGCTTAACTTTTTCAAATTGTTTGTCCAAGTCGCATTTATTTAGTCATGAAACATCATGCAAATGCAAAAATAAACTTAATTTGCATGTGGGAAAGTACCAAAAATAGATGCAATACTTCCGGTTACGGGTAGAGTTACATCAAGTTTCAAAGTAGCCAACGCTTTCAGTAAACATCTTTTAGCAAAATGTTATTTACCTTGTCGCAAATTAATGTGATTTTTAATAATGTATTGCAAAAGTTACTGTTAAAGCCATTTGGGTTATTTAAGTAACAAATCCATACTACAACTGGAATATAATAGGCGAGTTTGCATTTTATACGCAAGTTGGTGGTTTTCCCCAACCTGGTTATATATATATATATATCCTAACCATCAAGCAGAAGTCATCTTATTACTACCAACTGAACAACACTATCCACAAAGGAGCTCTGACTAGCCCCTACCTTGGCATCACAATCTCGTCTGATCTCTGATGGGGAACCCACATTGACAACATCTGTAAAAAAAACTAGTTCTACCCTAGGCTTTATTAAGCGGAACCTCTACCACTGCCCAGCCAGAACACGGAAATCGGCCTACATCTCGCTGGAATATGATGCCATCATATGGGACCCATTCCTCCAGTCAGACACTGATAAGCTGGAGAGGATTCAAAGGAAGGTTGCCCGATTTATCTCGCAGAAAAGGAGCTACGTCTGACCTTCCTGTTCTTCGCATCATTCTCATCAATGTCCGCCATATTTGTTACAACTCTGAGTGCCCTTTTGAAAGAGGGTCTCTGATTGGTCAAAATTTAATGAGTATTTATAAATATAAAGGTCACCTGAACGTGACCCTGACCGCGGCACACTCAGATGTTCAGGTGCAGTACAATGTTAACGAAGCCATGTAACATGATTTTTATCAGATTGATTTCCTCTGCACTTCTGTAGCAAATACACAACATACAGTAGCTTTTACTTCCATGACTTACCAATAAATACTGACCATTAAACACTGCATGAAGAGACACGTTTTGGAGTTCATAGGTTGAAAAATTGAGAATGAATGAATCAAAGCAAATGTGGTTCGCATAATGATATATTTCAGGTCCAGTACACTACTGACTGATCCAGCTATACAAATAGCTGTAAAGATTAAAAGATACAATAGCTAAATCCGACAATAACATAGGCCTTTCAATAAATTGTGACTCCCCAAAATGAGTATTGGTTCTTAGGATTGAAAGGACATGTCCATTTGTTTTGACGTTTTAAATTCTAGGGGAAATGTTATTTTACTTTTAAAGTTACTAATAAGTGTCAAATCTCAAAGTCCTCTTTCCGGGCTGAACATCATTGGTCAGTTGCTATCTGGACATTGATTTTTCCCTCGAGCTACATGACTTCAGTGTAGCTAATGTACTGAGATGCTATTTCTGACCAGAGATTTAGGATATCTAAAATCTCAGTGAATCATCTTAAACTCTTATTAGTGAAAAAAAGTAAAATTATATTGATAAAAATGTATTGTTTTGCATTAATTCTAGATGTTACAGAGGTCATTATTTTTTCGATGCCTCTGCCAGGAGTCGAACCCGGGACCTCTGGCTTACTAGTTTTACGCTCTACCCAAAGAGCGAAAGAGAAATTCTCCCTGCTGAGTCGGTAGGAAGCGATTAGCATTTTACCAGGGTGACATATATTTATATATATTCCCCCTCCAGAAAAAACCTCGTCCCAAGTTTTCGAGAGGTCAAAGCGATTCTGTTGCAAGTATCACAGAGTATTTTTGTCATATCTCCTGGGTCCTTACATGGGTGCAAATGTTACAGAGGTCATTTTCGATGTCTCCCCCAGGAGTCAAACCCTGGGACCTCTGGCTTACTAGTCTTATACCGAATGAGCTAAAGAGAAATTCTCCCCAGCCGAACTGGTACATGTGGGTGTAACTTGCTGTTTATCTAAATGTCCCCAGATAGCTGTGTGACCTGCAACAGAGGCAAGACTGGCCGTTACATTCAGCTTTGCTGGGTTGTATACTTGTATCAGTAAATATGACCTAAAAACTGATGATATCAACAAAGTTGCTGTGTGGGCATAGGGATGCACACTTCTGTCAAGATGGAGAGTTGCATCAGCACTAACATATGTAATGTTAAATAAATCAGCTAAACATGTACATCACACTGGGTTCTATTGCTTTCAAAACACAATTCATATCCTTTTTCTTTTCAGATCTGAGTTGGTGTGTCGAGTGAAGTACAACAATACGTTACCTGATATTCCATTCGATCCTAAGTTTATCACATATCCTTTCGAAACCAACAGGTTTGTATAAGATTATTTGTTTTATACATTACAATGCACTGAAAAAAATATATATTGGAGGATTTCTACCTTGAGCTCATTCAGTGAGATTTGGACATTTTCCTTCTCAAATTCTTAAAGAAGAAGAATAGGGAGTTTATGAAAACATAACAAGTGTAGCTGAATTGAGTCATTTCGGTACATATATAACAACTATTGTACAACCGTTTCCAGTGTAGCCGAAATCAACATTGATTTTATGGACAACTCGTACACATTTTACACCTTTGTGTGCATACGCTTCACTGGTCATTTTTCTGATGAAGGTGACAGTGTACATATCGTACTAGTCATCGAAACGTAACATAGAAAATGTTATTGGTTGTGTAAAAAGAACTTCTCATAAAACATAACAAGTGTTTAATATCTGTTATAATTATCTATCCATTTCTAACTGTCACAGATTTATAAACTACAAACCCACATCACTGGAGAGAACCTACAAATATGACCTCCTTACAGAACATGACCTCGGTGTCACTATTGACCTTATCAACCCTGACACCTACAAGGTGGACCCGACAGGTATGTAAATATAATTACACGATGCTAGATTTCAAACTAAAGGAACTACAGAGCTCTAGTCTGTTCATATAAACTACATTTATATTTAGGACCAATCCAACAATGAACTGATTAGAAACTCTTAGTTGACCTTGGACACTGTCTCATACACCGTAACCCGATATAGAAATTTGTTGTTAATAAAAAAATGCATTTTGTACCTCGGTTTAAATTATTGGTTTATATGGATTATATTATGTGATTTCATTTTCACCAAAATACCACTGCTGTCTTCCTGCAGTTATTGGTTAGCGTGAATTAACAAATTTCACTAGGTGATATGGCTTAAAACGGAAAATTATGTGGCTTGGGTTTCACATGTATTATTAGAGAAATAGTGTGATATATTCCGTTCTTATGTACCATGTTTTTTGTTTGCAGTAGAAGAAAAAAGAAGCAAGTATCTACCTGTTTTTTCTGTGATAGTTATTTTTAAATCTTGTTTGAAAAATTTCATTAAGTCTGGCATACATGTTTCTGTCAGCTTTGCTCTAGTTTGTGATGAAGTCTGACAAATATCCAACTACAAAAAACAGACGATACGGGACAAACGATTATAAATTCAATGCCTTGCATCAACTAACAGTAACACTGGTCATTGGAAATTCTCACCCAGTGAAATAGTCATTATTCATTGGTAACGTCCATATCAGCCCAGTTATGATTTGGCTCCTTACAGTGGAATTACTATGGACTTTGTACATTTCTTTGCCATTATGGTGAAATCAACATAATTTTTTTAAACCGTGACAATCATTTCCTAATATACAGTATTAAAAAACAATTTACCTCTGAAAGATAGAAAAAATAAAGCAGTGATATAAGATATAGTTATGTTACATGAACATGTTTTATGATACATCTATAAAAAAAAATCACATATCTAGATAAGTTCTGTAATAATTCTTTTCTTAATTTACAGAGGAAGATCCTGGTAATTTTTGTTGTTTTCTTTTTTTGTTATTGTTGTTGTTGTTGGATACCATTACAAAATCAAAAGTTCAAAAGGAAAAATGATATTGAGGAAAAAAGGTCATTCATTGAGAAATTCTTTTATAGTTGTTGTTTTGAAGTTGATGTTCAGTCGTTTCATTTGGTTTGTTTGTGTTTTACGTCTATGGTCATTTAAGGGCGTGCCAGGTTTTGGTGGTGTAGGGAAGCCTGAGATCCCGCAGAAAGATCACCGAGTTGTTTCGTAGTCATGTTGACTGTTTCGGTGCAGTTTTTTCTTGGAAGGTTTTTAAGTCCTTTTACTGGTTATTTGAAAATAAGTACACTGGTATATGAAGTAAAAGGGCTTAACATTGTATTCATTATCTGAATTGTTTTGAAATATTTTGAGACTATGTTGTGCTTGTCAAACTTCAAATAAATTATACTTAGAAATTGCGGAAGGTGAAATTTATGAAAGGTATTGAGGTCAGAAGTACCATAAATACTGCCGATTATAGAGTTTGGGAAATAGTGCATCATTCACATTATCAGGATAAATAAGCAGTCTATATATAAATACTTACACATTGCGTCAAACTGTGATTGCAATTTTTCAATGTTAATGCCAACATGAATGTTGAAACAATGCTGTTTACTGGTAATACCTCAGTATACAGTCAAAATTGATAGTTCTTTGTGATCTAATTATGAATATTCCCTTACATTTGACGCATTGAAGGGTCTGTATCATAATGCAATATTCTTGGAACAGCCTATAGTCAACTAATGGTTTGCATCTTATGATAGTCTAACATTATGCGAGACTGGAGCAGCTTATCCCACTGCATTCATAGCTCTATGAAGGGAATCGCTCCTGGCAATGTTTATATACATGTATAAGGATTTGTAGCAGAAATTTAAACATATTTGTGTATAGACATTCGTTGTATTGTATTTTCTAGACTATAAGGACCCAGAAGATGAACGACTTTTGGAAGAAGATCTGAACACACCTGCTGATTCTAAAAGGTAAAAATATTTGATGTACACAATACTGGTACACTCTGGGTTGATTTCCAGGGGCATTAAATATTTGATGTTCCTTTGGTCGGCCTGCCAGTAGTAAATGAACACTCTGTGTTTAGTTGATTACTTAAATACTAGAAGTTCAACAGACAGCAGATTTCATATATGGATACATTTTACGAAGTAATAAAACAAATATATTAAATGTAGGTCACTGTGACTATATTTTCAGCTTTACTGATTCACTGATTACTCTGTTAATAATTGCGACTAGCTCCAATTCCATCAATGGAGGTGAGAGCACTGAAAGGAGGTGTCATATTTATATTGTTATATTTATATATTGTTATATTTATATTGTTATATTTATATATTGTTATATTTATATATTGTTATATTTATATTGTTATATTTATAATGTTATATTTATATTGTTATATTTATATATTATCAAATTTATATTAAATATTGTCATATTTATATTGTTATTTTTATATTGTCATATTTATATTGTTATATTTATATTCTTATATTTATATTGTTATATTTATATATTGTCAAATTTATATTAAATATTGTCATATTTATATTTGACAAACATTTTCTGTATCAAGTCCATATATTAAATGTATTCATATGTGGATTTTATATATATATATATAAACCTTAAGTTATATATCTGTTTAAACTCTTGCACCTCAAATCTACAGAATACATGTTACAAAATGGAATTTGGAAATACACTACTCAGATGTGAAAATGTTTGAAAAGGTATTCTGGTTGTGTACTTTGTAGCAATTGATGTTCTGATTGCATGTCATTGGGTTCTATTTCAGATCTAGACATCACAATGCTAACGTGTCCTGGCTCCGGAAAACGGAATACATCTCCACCGAATACAACAGATTCACACAAAAGTCGGACAACTCTGAACGAAAGTAGGTCTGGTTAATCCATCGGAGTCTATCATTGAAGTGTACAGCTTCTGTGAACTTCAGAATATAAATACATTTGGTTGTATTTGCATTATATGTCCTGTAGAATATGTATCAAATTTGTAACCACTTTCATTATACGGTGAACTGTTCGCTTACTTTGGTGAACTGTCAGACTGATTGTTCACTTGAGATGGGATGGTGAACTGACCTATATTTCACTATAATTACAGAGTGGGTTTCAAGATAAAACAGATCATGAAGGATGAGGACATGGACATGTACAAAGATCGGGACAGTCAGATTGCAGCTATCGAGAAAACATTCGCAAAAGCCAAAGAACCAGTATGTAAAATTATAATTCAAGTAGACTGTTAAGTTTACTTGTGTGGACATTTTAAAGTTAAAACTAGTGATGTGGAAAGGTTTCTGCTACAACGTTCATTAAATGGTGTGTCAATAGTTACGGTCCTGTGTGCATACTTTCTTGGTGATTTAGCAAATGCAAAATAAGCGTAAATTCTAGCAGGAAGATATTATTCACTTTTACAGTACAAAGAGAGTTTGATTATATTATCCCATTCTAAGTTACTTAAACGTTCCTGATCTGGAGTCTTTCCTTAGTCTATATTGTGTTTGTATCAAATGTTAAAAATTGAGGTTGATAGTAAATAAAAAAAATAATCCACTGATATTCTGGATGTGATGGCCATGGTCAAATATTTCTAGAGAAGTTTTGATTTTGATGAAACTTGTTACGAGTATACCTATCATTACTCTAAGTCTCAGTAAATGTAAGAATTTCTATAAAAAATGTTTTAATAGGACAGCCACAAAAAACAAGAGGTCTCTGAAAAGTGTTGTTCTGACAGATTTTACTGTATGGTAAAAACTTGAATTTGACATGGCTGATATTTGTTTCAGATCACAAAACACTACAGCAAGCCTGGTGTGGTGCCTGTGGACATTCTACCAATGTACCCAGACTTCACGGTAGGTCACTTCTGCGTATTGTCACCAAAGGTGTAGATGAGAGATGACTTTGCTTAAATGTGTGTGGATATGTGTGTGAGAAAATGACGTGAGAGCGATGGTATTGTGGTTGACGAGTCCATTATCTGCATTCTGTCTTGGACGTTTTATTATTGCACTTTGTAATTAAGCTTCGTCTGACCTGTTAACACACTACAATACCTAATGCTGATTCTGCAATCAATTATGTTAAATTTTCAGTTTTGAATTACTACAGCAGAGGTCATTGTTCTGTTGAAATTTAACAAATTTTACTGTAAAAATCATCCTGTACACGGTATCATAAGGGAACAATAAAATTTGTAACATGTAAACTGTTGTAATAAAATGTTCTTTTATAGTTGTTGGTCTATACTGTCAGGCTGTAGCTTTCCGTTAGTCTACACTTACAAAATCTTCAGTAATTGAATGAACACCTTGATGACTTTTCTATTTTTCAGTTGTGGAAGCACCCCTTTGCACAGGTTATCTTTGATTCTGACCCTGCACCCAGGGCTGGTTCCTTGCCTGCACAGATGGAGGAAATGTCTCAAGCCATGATCAGGTATGTGGATTTATCTCCCCTTATAAAAAATAATCAGATCATTAACAGATGGTAGCGAATCTTCATTTGAAAGCAACAAAGTTGAACTCTTTGGTCTATATAGTAAAACTTATATTCAAAAGCAAAGTAATAAATGACAAAAAAGATGAATTTGTTCAGCTGTCTGACATTAAATGATTTATTGAATGGTGTCCTTTCACCTAAGACATGCACCATCAATGCATGACAACGTCACCACTTTATAGCCTTCTTTCCTTGTTTTAACCCTTTCACCCTTATGGAACTTAAGTAGAATCTACCATGTATTGATATGGACGAGTCCATTATGGTCTACAGTGATGAAAGGGTTAATGGCAGGCCTGCTAACCCTCTTCCTCTTCTCAAAACTCTCCCCCAAATGTGGAAGGACAAAATCTAACACAAATCTGTCATTTCTTGCAATTGTCATGACCTGGGAGATGATTAGGTGGTCAAAAGGAAATAACTCTTGAATATTTTGGCAGGTATTGAAAATTGTTTTACATATATGTATTTTCCCCTTTTAACGCGGGGGGAGATCTCCCTATTGACCTCTGTGAATGTTTGCCGGCCTGTTGTGATAAAAGTTGATATAAGCTTGAGTTGACTTGTTTTCTCTTGATAAAAGAACAGACCCCTGCTGCTGTGTTTGTGAATGCTGGATCCTAGCGATAAAGGGTACCGGTCGAATCAAACAAATATAGAATGTAACATTTTGATAGTAAGGTGTTCTGAGTAGAATCCTTATTAATCCATTAGACCAGAACATCGTCTTCAGGGAGTGTGCAAGGTATTGGTAATGAGCCTGAAGCTTATAGATATACTTTTAAACACTAAAAAGATTTTTGGTAAGTATGTCAAGAAACTCAAAATTTATATGATCTCATAAATGTTGAAAAAATAAATTCCAGTCTTAAAAAAAAATAAAAAATAAAGAAGCAAAAAGCCCCCCCAAAAAATCGGGACAACTTGACATTATCACTGCTATATAGTTGATTGACTGGAAAGTCCAGACATGTGAAATACCTGGCGATTTTGGATTGACTGGAAAGTCCAGACGTGCAAAATACCTGGCGATTTTTTATTGACTGGAAAGCCCAGACATGTAAAATACCTGGCGATTTTTTATTGACTGGAAAGTCCAGACATATAAAATACCTGGCGATTTTTATTGACTGGAAATTCCAGACATATAAAATATCTGGCGATTTTTTATTGACGGGAAAGTCCAGACATATAAAATACCTGGCGATTTTTATTGACTGGAAATTCCAGACATATAAAATACCTGGCGATTTTTTATTGACTGGAAAGTCCAGACATGTAAAGAACCTGTCGATTTTTACATAAATGATGTGTGACATGGTGTGTTTACAGAGGAGCTATAGATGAGAGTGGAGAACAGTTCGTGGCCTACTTCCTACCCACAGAGGAAACACTGGGTAAACGTAAACGAGACACGGAGGAGAGCATCGACTACAATCCTGAGGAAGAGTAAGTTTCCGCGTTTAACATCTATTGTGATCAAGATCGATTTGTTTCATGCTATGTACTTAACTCATTCACCCCTGAAGAGACATTTGAACTCTTCCAATTCCCAGGTTAGAACAGTTCATTATGAAATTTCAGGGGTGAATGAGTTAATTAACTTAATGAGGTTTTGAAGTTGAATTACTCATGTTTTCTTAATTGTTAAACTTAAATTTCTAAAACTTTTGATGTGATCTAAGGAATAGTTAACCTACTATTAGAGCTGAGTGTGAGAAAGTAGGAATACCATTTAAGGTAGCTACAAACTTAAATACACAGGAAAAGTTTTAATGCTATGTAGTAGAGAGCGATTCCAGGTTTTTGGATTATCAAGTCCGTAGTGTTATGTTTTTTAAAATATTGGCTGTAGTGTTGAATTCACATAACATCTAACTTCAGAAGTCACATGATTGACACTGTCATGAAAATAACCCTGTACAATGTAAGAGTAACTTGACCTTTGACCTTTACAGTATATATAGTTACCTGACTTTGCCTGTATTGATGATTCCAGGTATGATTATCTGCTAGCCAGACAGTACAACTGGAATGTGAAGAACAAGCTGTCCCGTGGGTATGAGGAAACCTACTTCTTTGTGTTCAGGGAGGACGGTGTTCACTACAACGAGCTAGAAACAAGGTAAAATAACAGGAATGTTTTCAAGGTATGATTAAAGGGATATTCTNCCCCCCCCCCCCCTTCCCATTTACATGTGTTGTTCCTGCTTATTTCACAAAGAAAATTTCATTTCGGAAAAGAAACTACTTGCAATGCTTTGTCAATGATTGAGTAATGTAGAGTACTTTCAGGTTAGAAAAGAAATGGCAACTACACTGGTATTTGCGATGAAGTTTTGTCCATTCAGATTAGTTATGAGCAAGAACTGGGACAATCCATATAGGTGTTGTATCAATTTATAGTGATGCATGTAGTGATATAAAACAATGTGTGGTTGGATTAGTCTAATGGTGTATTTTAAGCCACGGACCTTCCACACAGACAGCTGGAGTGCAGTTCCAAGTCTGAGAGTGGAAATGTCCTAGATATTTACATCCTGCTCACAATAGTGCTCTTCAGATCTTGTTATCAAAATGGTCTATCAGTTTGTATCCTACTGCCACAGAGGCCGTAATAACATTAGGATTCCTGTGGTTAAGGAATGATTTAAACCAAGCAAGCAAACTCAAAACTTTACCCAACAAAGATGATTGCTTGATGATAAAGCATTTAAGTCTAGATTTTTTTTGTATGTTATGTATATGTGGAACTCTTTTTGGATGGAGATGCAGTCAAAATATTATCCTTAAGTCTCGTTACAGTAAGGTAGCATATCTCCTTAAGTCTCTCGTTACGGTGAGGTAGCATCATATCTCCTTAAGTCTCTTGTTACAGTAAGGTAGCATCATATCTCGTTAAGTCTCTCGTTACAGTAAGGTAACATCATATCTCCTTGAGTCTCTTGTTGCAGTAAGGTAGCATCATATCTCCTTAAGTCTCTTGTTACAGAAAGGTAGCATATCTCCTTAAGTCTCTCGTTACAGTAAGGTAGCATCATATCTCCTTAAGTCTCTTGTTGCAGTAACGTAGCATAGCTCCTTAAGTCTCTTGTTGCAGTAAGGTAGCATATCTCCTTAAGTCTCTCGTTACAGTAAGGTAGCATCATATCTCCTTAAGTCTCTTGTTACAGTAAGGTAGCATCATATCTCGTTAAGTCTCTGGTTACAGTAAGGTAACATCATATCTCCTTGAGTCTCTTGTTGCAGCAAGGTAGCATCATATCTCCTTAAGTCTCTTGTTACAGTAAGGTAGCATCATATCTCGTTAAGTGTCTCGTTACAGTAAGGTAACATCATATCTCCTTAAGTCTCTTGTTGCAGTAACGTAGCATATCTCCTTAAGTCTCTTGTTGCAGTAAGGTAGCATATCTCGTTAAGTCTCTCGTTACAGTAAGGTAACATCATATCTCCTTAAGTCTCTTGTTGCAGTAACGTAGCATATCGCCTTAAGTCTCTTGTTGCAGTAAGGTAGCATATCTCCGTAAGTCTCTTGTTGCAGTAAGGTAGCATATCTCCTTAAGTCTCTCGTTACAGTAAGGTAGCATATCTTCTTAAGTCTCTATGTCACAATAAAGTATAGAGTGACGTACAGTTATGTATATATGTTTACCAGTAGTTTGATATGTTGTTTACAGAGTACGACTGAGTAAGAGGAGAAAAACAGGTGGTACCCAGGTTGCCAAGTCCAGACTTGTCGTGAAACACAGGGAACTTGCAGAGAAAGAAATTGGAGCTCAGGTATAAATTCTGTTAACACATCTCCTCCAATGCAGAGCTCTAAGAAGTGGCTGGCTGTTAAGACATTATGAAAGAGAGAAAAAATTAAACAAACAGAACTTAGAAAAAATAATTCACTTGCTAATAAATATGCATACATATTTATTGTAAAAATTGTATAGCAAAGTATTGGGTCCTATTTGACATTTTATTGCTTGAGTATTCACACTCTTATTATGATAGTCATCATTTTAAATTTCAGCTGTCCATGGCTTTTAAAATGAATAGTCAACCTACCATTTAGTGTTGCAGGTTGTAATGGTGTACTGTTTGTATTGTAGGACGTAAGGATGATGATGCTGGAGCCCGCTCAAGAGGAGGAGGAAGAGGAACAGCAGGAGGAGATGCAGAACTCAGGTAAGTCCTACACCTGTAGATAACACTGTCATCCCTTGGGTTTTAATTATGGACTTTTTTTTTTATTGAGCCTGGTTCGTCTAGTGAAATAAATGGGGACAACAGGGGTTAATATCAAGGGTGTTCTTGCTGTAATGCTCTATAAAATATAAAAAGTTCAAAATAAGAGCAGCATATTAGATGAAATTGAAGTAGAACATTTGAACAAATTAAATCAGCATGGATCAATATTTTTATAATGAATAGATGACAGGGAACACACTTTGATGAATATAAGAGCCTTAATTTGGAGATTTGGTAGGGATTCATGTATTTAAGATAAACATTTGCGTTTGTTATCTGAGATAAATGGAACCGACCCAAAAACTGTTTTTTTGAATGTTATTAAATACACTGTTTTGTATGTAGATTATAACCATTAGTAACTGGTATATTTTTATGCTGTTTTTCAAGGATTAGAAGATTTCCGCAGTGGAAGCGAGGCAGGAGAGGGAAGTGGAGCAGAGGAAGACAAGGCTAGTAACAGATCTCGAGGCAGCAGTCGCAGTCGGAGTAGGTCATCCAGTCAGAGCCGTAGTTCAAGTCGTAGCAGGAGTCGTAGCCGCAGTCGGAGTCGGAGTGGTAGCCGCAGTCGAAGTGGCTCGCGTTCCAGAAGTGGCAGTGAACACGGAAGTGGCAGTGACAGCGAAAGTGAGGCTGAGAATGTACAGGGCAAGAAGGACGAGGAAGAAATCTTCGGCTCGTCCAGCAGTTCCGAGGAAGATTAGTTACTCATGTGTGCAGTGGCTAATCCAGAGACTTGTCAGTGTTAAGGGGTTCAGGTGAGAGGGTTCAGGTGGGAGGGGTTCAGGTGAGGGGGGTTCAGGTGGGATGGGTTCAGGTGGGAGGGGTCCAGGTCAGAGGGTTCAGGTGAGGGGGGTTCAGGCAAGGGGGGTTCAGGTGGGATGGGTTCAGGTGAGAGGGTTCAGGTGGGAGGGGTCCAGGTGAGAGGGTTCAGGTGGGATGGGTTCAGGTGGGAGGGGTCCAGGTGAGAGGGTTCAGGTGGGAGGGGTCCAGGTGAGGGGGTTCAGGTGAGAGGGGCAATTCCAATAGAGGGTGATAGAGGGTGGGATTAGAACAAAATGCAGAGTAAGGTTAGTTGTTAAGATACTGTAGAGCCTGAGGTGGGAGTTTAGGTAGACATAAGATAAGGTAGAGCCTGAGGTGGGAGTTCAGGTAGACAGTGTAATGTTGTTTACAGACGAGGTCTCCAATTCAAAACTATAGGAAAATACATTACATTTTTTGAAGGAAAATTCAAAATGTGCAGATTAATTTACATAAGTAGCACAACTTAAAAAAATAAATGATTTACATGTTTGGTACACACTTATTACACACATGTATTAAATTGTAATAGTTGTTTATAAAAAAGTACTAGGTGTGTTCACATGTTTGTGTATTACTGGTATACAGTTGTGCTGACTCTGTATTCGCAGAAAGCCGACATTCACTTTGCCTTAATAAAGTAATTTGTTCTGGGCCCGTATTCATGAAACTGTTGTCATGCTCAAGCATAGATTTTGTGCTCAAGGCTAATTTCTTGTTTCAGTTGTAAGTTGATAAAAACTTCTAAATTTTTCAATGATTTTGGAAAAATATTGAAAAAACTTACAGCCGTTTGTCGTTTCCAATGTTTAGATTTGCTTTTTGAGTGTTTAATGTGATTTAAGTGAGTTACAAATAAACTGGTTTGAGCTCAAAATTCATGCTTGAGCATGAGAACAGTTCCATGAATAGGGTCGGCTAATGCATGGCTGCTTCCTTGTACGTAGGGGGGGTGGGGGGGTGGGGGGTTAGTTGACTGTAGAAGGTGCGTCGACTGTGTACGTGTGTGGAGAAGAGTTAGTCAGAACTATATGTTGGTGTAAAACAGATTAGGTATGTCTCCAGAGAGTAGCATCACGATACAGGTGTTACTGTGATATAAAGTAATATAACCAGCCATTTGTGACTGTACCCCTCCTGCTTAATGAAGGGTATGATTTTGTTTGAAAGATGAATGTTTGTGAGTGTGACATGGTACACACGAATACATACCCATCCTATGTGGGGAATCTCACACTATTCATTTGTTCATACTAATCTCTTACGATACTTGGTTGAATATTTGTATATAAAATCATGAATTCACAAAATAAAAATGTTTCATATCAATGTGGTTGTGTTTATTATTTTATCAAGTTTAACCACGGACTAAGATAGTCGAATTCCGTGGTTTAATTAACGGACATCAAAAGGCAATTTCATATGAAGTTAAATCTGTACGAAAGGGAGACGGACATTCAGCCTGTTCTACTTGTTGAAGAGGATTGTTTTGAACAAACAAATGTTATCTGTACAGATGATAGCAGGCAATTTTACCTGGACGGAGGACGATACATGGAGGATGAAAAGGCACGTACGATGTAGAAATACACGTCTCCATAGATAATGTCAAGCATGACATTACCAACGAGGTTAGCGACTAGCCGTTCCCATTGGCGTGTTGGCAAATGATTCTCAAGTATGCAAGAGTGAGAAAAAAATGCAAAATTGAATACTGCAGAAGTTTCCTCTAGAAAAAGCAATCGCTTGTGTAAACAGTCGTGTGAACGGTCAGCAGCTGGGATACCGCGGTTGTCGTCCGCGCTCCATCAGGACCCTAAATCAAGGTAAAGTTGAGATTCAGATTCTTTATTTCCTTGTGTTGAACAACACATCGGAGAGTAGACATTACATATACAGTATTTACAAAACAATAGCAGCCATGTTGTGTAGATCTTCAACTGAAGAAATGGTTTTGTGTCGAAGAAATCACGAAATTTTCAAATATGTACTTTTCAAATATAGTTGGTGATATTGTTTCCATCTACAGCATTTTACCCTTTATATGTTTGGTCCTCTTCCAAACATCCTCCACGTGTAAATGAGCAATTCCTCGTCTCTTCTCGAAATACAATTAGTTTGTCACTGTTCATCAAAAGACACTGGTCATGTGAACACCGGTACCAGGCGCCTTAAATTCGTTCGTAATAGGCTTCTAGACCTTTCTCATTGTTTTTGTCCCTTTAGGAACCAGCTGCAGGCCATAGCACGTTGTTTCTTCCAAATGACTGAATTCTACCCTAAACGCATCAAGGAAGTAATATCGCCTCAGATGAAGTCTGGCGTTTCTGACATGGCACTTCTTGAGTCTTTGATAATTTTCAGCATCATAAGCACTCTTGCGACACAGTAGAAATTTGAGTCATTACTCTGAAGCCTGAACTCGGAGGTAATTTCTTATGCCACTGTTTCATCCAAATGCCACTGTGAGTGCCGGTGCATCTGTGTCTCTGCATCCGAGTCCTATTACAGATTTGCCAGATCGAGTGCTTGTTAAAAAAGTCATGTGTTCTCGATCTGAATAAGATCTGATGTCGGATTGCCTTCGTATGTGTATCAATGCCTACGTGTGTGTATCATTGCCTACGTGTGTGTATCAATGCTTACGTGTGTGTATCATTTCCTACGTGTGTGTATCAATGCATACATATGTGTATCATTGCCTACGTTTGTGTATCATTGCCTGCGTGTGTGTATCAATGCCTACATGTGTGTATCAATGCCTACGGATGTGTATCAATGCCTACGTGTGAGTATCATTGCCTACGAGTGTGTATCATTGTCTACGTGTGTGTATCAATGCCCACGTATGTGTATCATTGCCTACATATGTATATCATTGCCTACGTGTGCGTATCATTGCCTACGTGTGTGCATCCATGCCTACGTATGTGTATCATTACCTACGTATGTGTATCATTGCTTACGTGGGTGTATCATTGCCTACGTGTGTCTATCATTGCCTACGTGTGTGTCTCATTGCCTACGTGTGTGTATAAATGCCTACGTATGTGTATCAATGACTACGTGTTTGTATCAATGCCTACGTGTGTGCATCATTGCCTACGAGTGTGTATCATTGTCTACGTGTGTGTATCAATGCCTATGTGTGTGTATCAATGACTATGTATGTGTATAATTGCCTACGTGTGTGTATCAATGCTTACGTGTGTGTATCATTGCCTTCGTGTGTGTATCATTGCCTCCGTGTGTGTATCATTGCCTACTTGTGTGTATCAATGCCTACGTGTGAGTATCAATTTTCAATGATTTAATGTGTGTATCATTGCCTACGTTTGTGTATCAATGCCTACGTATATGTATCATTGCCTACGTATGTGCATCATTGCCTACGTATGTGTAACAATGCCTACGTATGTGTATCACTGCCTACGTGTGTGTATCAATGCGTACGTATGTGTATCAATGCCTTCGTATGTGTATCAATGCCTAGGTGTGTGTATCATTGCCTACATATGTGTATCATTGCCTACGTCTGTTTATCATTGCCTACGTGTGTGTATCCGATCTGAATAAGATCTGATGTTGGATTGCCTTCGTATGTGTATCATTGCCTACGCATGTGTATCAAAGCCTACGTATGTGTATAAATGCCTACGTATGTGTATCAATGACTACGTGTGTGTATCATTGCCCACGTGTGTGTATCAATGCCTAGGTGTGTGTATCATTGCCTACATATGTATATCATTGCCTACGTGTGTGTAGCAATGCCTACGTGTGTGTATCATGGCCTACGTATGTGTATCAATGGCTACGTGTGTGTATCAATGCCCACGTATGTGTATCATTGCCTATGTGTGTGTATCAATGCCTACGAATGTGTATCAATGCCTACGTGTGTGGATCATTGCCTACGTATGTGGATCAATGCCTACCTATGTGTATCAATGCCTACGTCTGTGTATCAATGCCTACGTATGTGGATCATTGCCTTCGTATGTGTATCATTGCCTACCTGTGTGTATCATTGCCTACGTTTGTGTATCATTTCCTACGTATGTGTATCAATGCCGACGTATGTGTATCAATGCCTACATATGTGTAACATTGCCTACGTGTGTGTATCCTTGCCTACGTGTGTGTATCATTACCTACGTGTGTGTATCATTGCTTACGTGTGTGTATAAATGCCTACGTATGTGTATCATGGCCTACGTATGTGTATCAATGACTACGTGTGTGTATCATTGCCGACGTGTGTGTATCATTGCCTACATATGTGTATCAATGCCTACGTGTGTGCATCATTGCCTACGAGTGTGTATCATTGTCTACGTGTGTGTATCAATGCCCTCGTATGTGTATCATTGCCTACATATGTGTATCAATGCCTACGTTTGTGTATCATTGCCTACGTATATCTATCATTGCCTACGTATGTGTGTCAATGCCTATGTATGTGTATCAATGCCTATGTATGTGTCTCAATGCCTACGTATGTGTATCTATGCCTACGTGTGTGTATCAATGCTTACGTGTGTGTATCATTTCCTACGTGTGTGTATCAATGCATACATATGTGTATCATTGCCTACGTGTCTGTATCAATGCCTACGTTTGTGTATCAATGCCTACGTATATGTATCATTGCCTACGTATGTGCATCATTGCCTACGTGTGTGTAACATTGCCTACGTGTGTGTATCCGATCTGAATAAGATCTGATGTTGGATTGCCTTCGTATGTGTATCAATGCCTAGGTGTGTGTATCATTGCCTACGCATGTGTATCAAAGCCTACGTATGTGTATAAATGCCTACGTATGTGTATCAATGACTACGTGTTTGTATCAATGCCTACGTGTGTGTTTCAATGCCTACGTATGTGCATCATTGCCTACGTGTGTGTAGCAATGCCTACATATGTGTATCAATGCCTACGAGTGTGTATCATTGCCTACGTATGTGCATCATTGCCTACGTGTGTGTAGCAATGCCTACATATGTGTAGCATTGCCTACGTATGTGTATCAATCCCTACGTATGTGTATCATTGCTTACGTGGGTGTATCATTGCCTACGTGTGGGTATCAATGCCTACGTATGTGCATCATTGCCTACGTATGTGTATCACTGCCTACGTGTGTGTATCAATTTTCAATGATTTAATGTGTGTATCATTGCCTACGTATGTGCATCATTGCCTACGTGTGTGTACCAATGCCTACGTGTGTGTATCAGTGCCTACGTGTGTGTATCAATGCCTACGTGTGTGTATCAATTTTCAATGATTTAATGCCTCCATCTCGTAAAGACAATGCAGCAAGTAACTATTGAGAAAAGCTGATATGTACGTCTCGGACAGGCAATTAGCTGAAGTCCCTGCGTCTTTTTAAGGATGTAATATTTCTCTTTTAGTCTTATTAGGAGATATTGCCCTGATTGAATTTTCACATGACTACCATCCCCACCTCCCTACATAACTTTAATCGTGTGCAATATTTTCTGGGTTAAAGACGGCCGATCTTTTTCTCCCAACAGATTCCATCTTGTTTCGTTTTCTTTGTTTCATCAGAGAATTCCCTCCACACCACAAATCACAATAGGAATGTTCATTTTGCCATTTATCTATATATTGTGCTTATAACACTATTCATGAAACCATGTAACTTGTATATTGTGTTTACNTGTAACTTGTACATGTCTTTATAACACTATTCATGAAACCCTGTTACTTGTATATTGTGTTTATAACGCTATTCATGAAACCCTGTAACTTGTACATGTCTTTATAACACTATTCATGAAACCCTGTAACTTTTTTATTGTGTTTATAACACTATTCATGAAACCCTGTAACTTGTATATTGTGTTTATAACGCTATTCATGAAACCCTGTAGCTTGTATATTGTGTTTATAACACTATTCATGAAACCTTGTAACTTGTATATTGTGTTTATGACACTATTCATGAAACCCTGTAACTTGTACATGTGTTTATAACACTATTCATGAAACCCTGTAACTTGGATATTGTGTTTATAACACTATTCATGAAACCCTGTAACTTGGATATTGTGTTTATAACACTATTCATGAAACCCTGTCACTTGTATATTGTGTTTATAACGCTATTCATGAAACCCTGTAGCTTGTATATTGTGTTTGTAACACTATTCATGAAACCCTGTTACTTGTATATTGTGTTTATAACACTATTCATGAATCCCTGTAACTTGTATATTGTGTTTATAACACTATTCATAAAACCCTGTAACTTGTATATTGTGTTTATGACACATTCATGAAACCCTGTAACTTGTACATGTCTTTATAACACTATTCATGAAACCCTGTTACTTGTATATTGTGTTTATAACGCTATTCACGAATCCCTGTAACTTGTACATGTGTTTATAACGCTATTCATGAAACCCTGTAACTTGTTCATGTGTTTATAACGCTATTCATGAAACCCTGTAGCTTGTATATTGTGTTTATAACACTATTCATAAAACCCTGTAACTTGTATATTGTGTTTATGACACATTCATGAAACCCTGTAACTTGTACATGTGTTTATAACGCTATTCATGAAACCCTGTAGCTTGTATATTGTGTTTATAACACTATTCATGAATCCCTGTAACTTGTATATTGTGTTTATAACGCTATTAATGAAACCCTGTAACTTGTATATTTTGTTTATGACACTATTCATGAAACCCTGTAACTTGTACATGTGTTTATAACACTATTCATGAAACCCTGTAACTTTTTTATTGTGTTTATAACACTATTCATGAAACCCTGTCACTTGTATATTGTGTTTATAACGCTATTCATGAAACCCTGTAGCTTGTATATTGTGTTTATAACACTATTCATAAAACCCTGTAACTTGTATATTGTGTTTATAACGCTATTAATGAAACCCTGTAACTTGTATATTGTGTTTATGACACATTCATGAAACCCTGTAACTTGTACATGTGTTTATAACACTATTCATGAAACCCTGTTACTTGTATATTGTGTTTATAACACTATTCATAAAACCCTGTAACTTGTATATTGTGTTTATAACGCTATTCATGAAACCCTGTAGCTTGTATATTGTGTTTATAACACTATTCATGAATCCCTGTAACTTGTATATTGTGTTTATAACGCTATTAATGAAACCCTGTAACTTGTATATTGTGTTTATGACACTATTCATGAAACCCTGTAACTTGTATGTTTCAAGAGATATGTCGATGTAAGGATTGCGAATATGCTTAACGCATAATTGGTCTAGCTATGGATGAAGACTGTCTGTATTTACGATATATACACAGTAAGGTAGGCCTGTACATTCTCATAACTATAAACCTGCAAACTTGATAAGCGTATCATGATATTCAACGGCATAACAAATGTCAATCTGTTTCTCTATTGGAGCAAAACAGTCAAAATCGGTCTCGCTATTTCTATAAACTTATACTGACAATAAAGCCTGTTCATATCAACAATAGTTTTGTACTATTAACACAAAAGCAGCTTCCATTTTGAAAAAATGGCGTCCACATCGACTTTATGAGAAAAAATATTCTATATAAAAGTATGTTATTATTCTAACAAAACTATGCATACATTTGCATTTATTTTTTCTCACAACTCCTTCTTATTTATGTCCCAGAACTCCATTGGAATTTGTTCAGTATCCATTCTTTCCTCTCTCGAATTACAGTCGACCGTGAAGTGCTATATAATAGTAAGGACAGAGATTAAGACGTAAACATTTTAAAGCCTAACCACACAATGCGTATGCTTGTTTGCTACCTTATGGCAACAATAACATGAATGCTAGAAGCGACAGATCTCGGGAAGAAGAAAGACATTGATCGAACGTGTTGGAAGAACAGGAAGATCGCGTACGCTGTAATTGTCGAGAATTTAAAGGACATGTCACTGAGAAAGCTTTATCGGGTATATATTGACGAATTTGTGGGATCTGTCTCGTATATTAATGGATCTCATTCCAGCCCAACTGTAAACTTACAGAGCTGTTAAACATACCAGACCCTTTCAGCATATGAATTACATTGTAGCGTCATCGAATGTTACACAGCATAAAAATAAACATTAAGTATCCACATCAAGGACAGCTTAATTACTGCTGGTGTTTTGTCTAATTCTCAGACACGTGTTTTGCTGATTATAAGTTTTATCCTGATACCATTTCCAAAGATTTATACAAAATAAAATATAAAAAGAATCCATTGTTAATTGAGCAGTCCAAACCAAACATTCTCCGGTTATCCCTTTGACACCTGGTTGTTTTGCAAATGTTATAATAAATCGTTTGACATTAATTATAATCGCCTATATTGATCGGACGGTCCAGACAGCACACGAGGTTCCGTGTAGACATCGGCCGGGTGAGAGTCAGACGGAAACACAGGTGGGACGAGCTAATCGGGCCCCAGTATATGTACAGAGGTAATGGGTAGATAATTAAAGAAACTACACCTCGCCATTTAAATCCCTATTGATCACACTATATCGTATATATACCGGAGGAGTCACGTGACCAGATCGTCACTAAGGACGCATATAGGATTGAGCATTACGTGGAGTGGACATGAGGACGTAAATATATATACACAACAGTATTGGGATTTATAATGGTCGTCCACAAGGGATCCACGGCCCTGGCCCCGGTACTGGAGGGGAGGGACAGGACCAGCTCCACCCTGTCTGGACAGAAAAGGGTCTCCGTGAAGCTCACTCCAGAAAAGGGACCGATTCCAACAACGTTGAAACACCCGTGGAAGGTAAGTACCATTCGAGTGAGAGTTTAAAAGGAAATCAATCGATCATAACGACACATTGTTTTATTTATTCTAATATCATACTTATGACATTATCACTTCTTGAACACACAAGGGACCCGTGAATGTCTGCTCTATACCTGTTGTACTAACTACGTACATCTATACTCGGTCAATCGTTGTGTAATATCAACGTGTCTTTAAAACGTCTGACAGCCTATCTGTGTATATATTGGATTTAAATGCAATCTATACTTGTGTGTATACGTGTATACACACACCCTCTATTTAAATCGTCTTGCAATTATTCTTGTTCAACCCGAAATCCTTACACAATATAGTATATCTAAAAAACGATAGTGATATTTTTCCTTTGGTTTTTCATATTAAAAGAATGATTTTCCTAATGTCTAGAATTCATGAATACATTCGTAAATCCATTTCAGTGATTTTTTTTGTATAGAAATATATCTTTAACATTGTCTTATATAAACTGTACAGACGTTAAGAAGCATGTGTCGATTCCTAGACAGTAACTGAGTGTGTGATCCGGTTACACAAAGTCGTTTCGATAGTTTCATACTCCCACAAAAACCAGTTCGTTCCATGTATAATGCAGAGGGATCTGCGAGTTAAACGGTTTGTATGTTGAGACTACCTGACATGGGGGAAATGTTTTAACATTCAGAGACTGAGAAGAACACCAGATAAAATACGAGGTGGGCATATCTGAGCATCTAAAACGTCTGATACAAAGTTAACCATATCGAGAACATCTCATATCTCTCAGGTCCCTGCAGTGCTAGTATGATTTAATTACTATTGCATCAGTAGGAGAGTAAAGCTATTCTCTGTGAGCAGAGGCGATCGGAGTGGAAGGGGGTATTCCCAAAAATGTATCCACTAGAAATCTCCCCCTTCTGTATACATATTCGATTCATATTTATATAGGGAATCAATGTTACTTTTTTCAGTTTTAGATCGTTTAGATAACTACACATGGTTAATGAATGATGGTAGCAATGTTTTAAGCTTGTTCTCAATTTAGTTTTGTTTACGTATTAAATTGAGATGTAAAAAGGGGGTCTAATATGTACAATACACTACAACGATATCACATGGTCTCAGTTACTTGTTGTAATTACCTACATGTATAAGTAGACTATTATTTAATCTTCACATTATGTATCCATGGTTTGTTGACCACCCCTGTATATGTGTGTATTCTTTGTACCCCTGTGTGGGCCAACATTCTTTAATAAAGATACTATCTTATGCAAATGCAGACAAAAGTTTACATAAACATAAGAATGTGTTAACATATATAAAAATAATAATCTGACATCAACACCAGTGTGAATTTTAATATAACACTCCAATGCGCAAGTTGTATCATCATTGCTAGGTTTACGAGTCACTGTTTTTTAAAATGTCGTCAAAGTACTGTGATTAATTACTAAGTGTTATTAATTCATTTTAGTCGGTGGCCCGTTAACATGTACTTATCATGAAAAAAACACCTTCAAACAAAACGTGAACGTGACATTGCTCAGGTGTTTTAAACTTGACAGGTAGGATATATGTAGATGCTTTCTATGTATAATTTATATATACATTATATATAGTTTACATTTATCGCCCTTGTGGTAAATAATCACGATTCTTTGTTTTCGTAAGATTAATAATGTTTCACCAAACATGATTAATCGAGGGGAAACAAAACAATCATGTTTACCTACCACAAGAGCTATAAATATTATACCGAAATAGACCAGTAACACAACAATCCACATGATCAGCTTACACGCAATTGTTGTCGTCTGCTCCTGTCGAAACTCGGGTGTGGGGTCTCTTTATTTAAGCATTCACCACCTATCCCAAAGCTCCATCACCAAGTATTCTTGTACTTCCTCTCACCGGCTTAAAGCATTGCCATATTCGGTAATATAGATCCAAGAGTTTGTGCACAGACAATTTATGGCAAGACCGTATTTTATATAGAATATTTTTTCTCATAAAGTCAATGTGGACGCCATTTTTTTCAAAATGGAAGCTGCTTTTGTGTTAATAGTACAAAACTATTGTTGATATGAACAGGCTTTATTGTCAGTATAAGTTTATAGAAACAACGTGACTGATTTTGACTGTTTTGCTCCAATAGAGAAACAGATTGTTATGCCGTTGAATATCATGATACGCTTATCAAGTTTGCACATAACTGTGTATATAAATTATCGTTAATACAGACAATCATCATCCATAGCTAGACCCATTATGCGTTAAACATATTCAATATTTTATTGCCAACTGAAGCAAAAGGATAGGTCATTTTAAGGCACCAAGCTTATTAAGCCTGCTCTCTATAAGTAGCGTCTCACTGATCCAGCCCACCGCGTCACTTTGCCAAGTAAAGTAGCTGAATTGGTAAAAACTTTGATACCTGGGCAATTTTGAATCGAAAATAAGAAAATTGTCTCTCACGTCTTTGGCAGGATAGTGGGACAACCGGATTAGTGATGACAGGAATGATGTCCTGACTGTACACACATCCAATATTTACTTACATAATCAGATTACTTCAATATACAATGTATACAAGATCATTAAATATGTTCTGTTAAATGTAAGAGCGATTATACGGTTAAAGGAAACTAAATTGGTGGAGGGAGAAAATGTGTCGGGCAAGGTGAGAGGGTCGGAGTCTGTAAGGGACTTATAGTGGGTGAAGGGAGAAGACAGAGAGAAAGGTTAAGTCCTTTTTATTAACAATTTTGTTTACGTTAAATGTAGCTTTCTCACGATAGGTTCGCGTATTTACCCTCCATTACACATCAACTGTGATATCATGAAGTTTACTGACTCCTTTTGATTTTCATACAGGACCGGAAGGTACTTAGTGAAGATTATGACGGACCTATCAGTGGCCGTGAGGGATGGTGGCGTACATACATCCGGGTAAGTATACAATGAAGGACTTTAAATTTTGTATTTCAGTTAGTAGTTGCTCAGGTTCTAGGGGAAAATGTGAATACAGAGCAATATAATGAGATTATTAAAATCCACATTGTTGACGTTCATAGATACAAACATAATAGCTCCAAACGACAGAATATGCTCAGGAAACCAAATCGGGAAACGTCGGCAATCTCCGTAAACCGGCAAATATATAAGTCTCTCGTTTACGGAATGTGTAGACGGTTACCGATTGTTGCCAACCCATTGGGAATGTCGGAATCAAACTAAACCGTAGTTATTCTGTGAGGTCGGCCGACTTCCATTCCGGGAATTTTAATTTGCTCTGCAGGAAGTGACCGGAGAGGTCATACATGTGTATTCGTTTGAGTCCGTTAGGCCTGCGGAATCTTTCCTCTCCGTTTTCGGAAGAAAGTTTATCGAGCATCGAAACTGCAGCTCCTGGCTCAGCACATGTTTTCAAGAATGTGCTGTCCTCCAGCTTCTTAAAACCATGGATGACTGGACGAGAATCATTGATGAAAGGGATGGTATCGAAGTAGCATGGACCTCATTAAGGCCTTTGACACTGTTCCGCACAGAAGGCTAATCAGCAAACCGAAATCATATGGATTGCCAGCAGAAATAGTAAGCTGGATAAAAGACGACAGGAAGTCACTAGCGGAATACCACAAGGCAGTGTACTTGGACCATCATTGTTTGTTCTGTACATAAGTGACCTACCAGATGTCGTTGATGCGAACGCCCTACTGTTTGCCGATGATACTAAATTGTATAAAGACACCAGGGTCGATGGCGATTTTCAGCAGGACCTAGCAAATTTACAACAATGGTCGGACAAATGGTTGCTAACAATTCCACCCGGACAAATGCAAAACAATATACTTGGGAAAGAGGAAAAGTTCAGATGATCTGCATTTATACCATGATATTGATGGTCTGAGAATAACAGTAATGCTAACTGAGGAAATGGAAGAGAAAGGCCTTGGGATAATTGCCGACAATAAATTAAGTTTTAGAAAGCATATGCAAGCCACCATAAACAAAGCAATCCGAATACTTAGAGCCATCAGAAGAACATATACATACTTGGGTAATATATCATTCTGCCTACTGTATAAAGCTTAAGCTCGACCCAAACTGTATAAAGCTTTAGCTAGACCCAAACTGTATAAATCTTTAGCTCGACCCAATCTAGAATATGGAGCATGTGTATGGAAACCATACCAACAACAGGATATCGAACTACTAGAAAGTGTCCAACGGAGAGCTATTCTTCTGCCAGGAATTTATGAATTTTCATACGAGGAAAGATTGCGTCGTCTGAAACTACCGTCGTTATTATATAGACGTAATAGGGGAGACATGATAGAAGTATTCAAAATATTGAGGGGGGTCTATGATACAACAGCATCACAGGGACTTTTGTCAATAAAACAAGATAAAAAAAACCCAAGGCAGACTGGATGTTAGGAAATACTAATTTACTCAACGAATTGTTTGCAACTGGAATTCCCTACCTGAGACCTTGATTCAAGCACCAAATCTAACAACTTTCGAAACCCCATTGATAAATTTTGGGAAAGTGATGAAAGGAGATTCAACACAACATTGGAGTGACCTCACATCAAAAACATTGATATACATAATGATTAAATGAATATGGACTATGATCTGAATATAGAGGCAGATATATGTCTGCGTTCAGAATAAACTAAATTAAACTAAGGTAATAAACAGGAGCTGAACCAATATCATCACCGACCGCAACGTATCAAACTCATTTAGTGGAAAGGAAGAATTCTTTTTATTTCTCTCTTTTTATTACTTCCGAAATAAGATTGTCCCAATCATTTTGACAAAATAGAAAAACAAAACAACAACGAACAAATTTGTTTTGAAATTTTGTATGGATATAAAAATTGTAAGTAAAATCAAAAAATATTTAACAATTTCATCACATCAAAGAAATTATTTAATTTTATTCAGTGACGGAGTACAATTTTTATCTCTCACAATATTAAGATATTTAATAAGATTTTTAAATGATATGCTAGTGCAGATGGTATTTTCAGTGTGATCGTTTGTACTTCAATTCTATTTTAGAGTGCTACACAAAAACCTTAAACCTTTTAAGTTCAAATATCAGAATTATATACAACGAAATTAACGTAGCACCCTTCCGTCTCCAAGGACATTTCCCGTTCACCAATTGATGTAGTGCTAGCGTATCATATAACCGACATTCTCTCGCTATTGTTTCTTCTTCCGGCAGAACGCCTCGTTCGTTTGGCGCCCTCTTCCGGAAATGCCCTAAACTCAGTTTTATGAACATTTTTTAACTTAAGGGAATCCCTTAACTTTCTATGCTTTTCCATAGGAATACATTATCTGAGTTAACTTCTGGAAAAAATATTCAGTTAAGGAAATTTTCCTTAAATTTAATAATGCCTTGTTTTTCTTAAGTTAAGGAACGTTCTTGAAACTTTGGTCACGATCGATCATTGAGGGGAAAAGTATACACCAAAAAGTTACATGCCAAAATCGGCCGAGTAATTCAATTGGTTCATAAGTACTATTCTGAAAATTCCGAACGGCATGATGTGATATCAAAACCTATTTGACGTGCATAAGTGCATGCATTTAAGTTCCGATAACTAACTGTGATTCCTAACCCACCTTGTCGTCTAGCCCGAGTTCCCTCTGGCCCCCTCCCTGCAGGAAGGGCGTAAGAATTGTACCTGCTGCCCCCATTGCATGATCGTAAGAGGCGACTAAATTTGGGATCTTATCTTTTCTCTTCTTTCTAAACAACTTTCTTCTTCCTAATGTCTTCCTTGACAATGCCTTACTTTTGGCATTCAGTTGAGCGTTCGCCCCTGTGAGGAAGGCTTTGGGTTCTGTCCCCTGGCCGAGATAACCATAGTCTGTAAAAGTGGTAGTTTCTACTCCTGCTTAACGCTCAGCAATTTAGGAGTGGGACGACTGGTTCGCCCGTTGTCAGTATAATGTGACCGGGCGGGGTGTCCTGCTGGGTGTCTTCGGCAGTATGTTTCAGTGAGGTAGCACTATAAAGTCGGCATCAGTTCCGCGCTATCACATGGAGACAAACACGAAAATATAGCAGCCTCACAAAACACACACGCATACACTATACGCATGTATCTTGCCCACAGGGGAGGCCGTCCTTAAATGACCATAGCTGTTGATAGGACGTTGAACAATACTAAACCAAACCAAATCAAACCTCTGGCCCTAACACCAGACATAGATATTTTGACATATAGATGTCACGACAGACATCTATATGTCAACATGTCTAAGTCTGGTGTTAGGGCCAAAGGAAACTCGGGCTTCTAATCGTCAATAACAATCAGAAGAACATGAACACTCACGGAAGTTCTGAGGGACAGAAATAGGGTACACGTATTCGGTTCGTGATCCACGTTTCATTAAATAACAAATGGTACGAAGTCATATGCTCCGATAGCAGCATATGTTGTTTGATACAATAAGGGTCGTTCACACGAGATATGTGTTGCGTGTGTAAGTGTATGGGGTCGTATTATCACGCTATATTATAGTCGAACTGCAATTATATGACATACATATTTATCGTGTCTCAGTGACTAAGACCACGTGATTGTTACAGGAAACACCCCTTCCCGGTTCGTACGAGACCGAGGACTTTTTGGTAGACTTGGATAAGCGTCCCCACACCTACAGATTTAAGTCGGACGGTCGGAAAGTGGACCCCCACCCCCATGGGAAGGGCGCCGTGCTTCTACCTGGTGCATACGAGATACAACCCTTCACTAAAAGGTTAGTTGATAAAGTTACTACTATCATTGCATTCATTATAACCACGGATAATAATTGATGAACCGCCTTGAGACGACCTACGAACTAGGTTGTGATAAAGCGGTATATAAGAACTTCGAATGATTAATTATTATTATTATTATTATTATTATCAAAATTGGCGCGTGTTCCTTTTTGTAAAGAAACCACGGAAAAGCTTTACAAAAATGTATCAATGAAAGATATGAAAATAAACTAACCATACCATATCCTGCTACAGTCATTGAGAGCAACTCTAGCTGGATACAATAACGTTTTTCCCCAACTAAATGACATCTACAAAAGTTGCTGTTTGTTTCTCTTCCCAGGCTGGAACAATTGCCAGCGACTTACAATTTTAAGTCAATAGACAGAGGACAGCGGGGCTTTAATTTCGGACGGAAAGACAAGGTACAGTATATCAAATCCAAATATTACTTGTGTAAAATAATGCGTCTTTTCGCCGGTAAAACATGGCTAAAAAGTCTATTGTAATTATTGAAGTTAGTATTCGGCTTCTTGTCTTTCACAAATTCTCCCAAGTCATTGACAACCCCCCCCCCCCCCCCTCCCCCCCCCACACAATTTATCACGGAGACAATAAGTTGAACTTGAGCAAAGAATTTGAGTTTGAACATGAGAGTTTGTACACGAGCACGTTTGCATGAATACGGGCCCTTACTTTGTGCTCAAGCATAATTCATTGTTCTAGCTGGTGATTATTTCTTTTTTCAAATATGATTAGTAAGAATTTTGAAAATACCTGAAGTCGAATGCCGTTTTCTGTCGCTGTTACAAGAAAATTGGTTTGAGTACAGAATTCATGGTTGAGCATGGGAATCGTGTCATGTAATTGAGTTAAGTCCTTTGAAGCACGTATTGCAGATGTTTGACAAAACAATGACTAATAAAAAAAAACTTAAGAGTTACGGCCCCTAGAAGGACAAGAAACAGAAGGTTGACAAAACAGCAAGCAAAGCAGCATTTTAAAATAGTGTTGCTGATAATTTGACTTGGCGTAACTGAGTGAATTAGGTTAACACTTTCGTAAGAACATAGGCTCGCATAGGGTCAATACAATACCGAGTCTCGACTTGTCGTGGTAATTTTCATTTTTACTCTTTTTGTTTTATTGAATACTCTTCCAGGACATCAACGTTAGTCCGAACGCCTATGACATGGATAAGTACCTAACCTTAGCTGTTGATAAACAGCCCTCAAAGTAAGTATATGATTTGTTTATGTTGGTTAGGCGCTGTCAGTTTACCAAACTATGTTTCATGTATTCAGTGACAATCATCGGAGTGCAGTCTAAACATACATTTGTTGTATAATTAAACTCTGAAGAATATTACATTTTCAAGTTTCGTACCTGTTCTTTGCTTTGATATACTGTTTAATTTACATTTCCACTGCAAGTTTCTCTTAAAGTGTTACCAGAAAAATGTGTTCCGAGGGCTATACACGCAATTTCGAAGCTTCTTCTCCAGCTTCGAATAACGTGAGATAACAGTTAGTTATAATGACGTTCCAGGCTGTTCCAGAAATTTCGTTCGCACTGACGCCAAAGTCACTTCAGTATCTAAAATATAAGGAATACCTTTAAATTGACAATAGCTATACAATTTAGAATGTATTGAACAGCAGTTTTCAATATTCATACGGGTATGAACGTAAACTAGTTTTGTTAACCTAAGCGGGCTTCATTCAATATGTATGTTACCAGTTTGACAGGTACGTAATATGTATGTTACCAATTTGACAGAACAGGTACGTAATTTGCATCCATACAGACATGAATATTGAAAAATGCCTTCCAATCCTTGTGTAATAATACACGTTTTATTGTTGTTATTTTCCCAGACATTCGATGTTCAAATCACAATCGAGGCGATTCCCAACGATGCCTTTTAAACCCGTAAGTAAACGATCATACCGAAGTGAAAATGTGGAGATTTGTACCTGAAATTGAAAATCCAGGTTCTTACTTAAAGTATAAATGTATTAGGTCGTACTGGGAATTGTTTGGTAACCCAAGAGGCCTGGTGACCGATGCTAGTCCCGTTCTGTGCCATCACTTTAAAAGCGTTAGTTCGAACTAACGTTATTTAACGACGATGGTTCTAAAAATGAAGGAACAACTGTTAAGGTTTAAGCTCTAGACTGATGTATGCATGTCTGGTTTGGAAGGAAAAATGGTTTTGTAAAGTAATAAAATAAAATGCTAGTAACTTTTTAAAACTTCAACATCATTTTGAAATATTTCTTTCACTTTTTTCCCCTAACAGAGAACAGGTCCCGGGCCGGGTAACTATGAATATGCTCCAGAACTGCCCCTCCACCCAGTGTCATCGAGCTTTAAGTCAAAAACTCCACGATTCTCAAGTTCACACACGGTACGTCATCAGATTTGTGGTACAATCCCAAATACGTCATCAATATATGTGTTGTGTTAAGGCTATCATTGAAACTGACATATTATGATTTTGCCCGCACCAACACAATGGGAAAACGCTCAGTCACCTGTGGGAGCATTCTCCCAATTTGAATAACAGAAGATACAAAATAACGGTTCTTCGAGAGCAGAATCTATGTATTTGATTGTCTACATAACACCAACTAGATGTTGCACAGTTCAAATACTGTTAGTGTTTTATCCAGTGAATTTATTTCTGTTCCAAATTGATTTTTATAAGCAACTAAACAGATATTTATATTACGACCAACTGATTATGTGGTCAATAGTATATCAAAGCAAAACCTTGCCAAGTTAAAACGTTAAGTGTAGTTGAGTTTCGCTGCCGGAATAAACCGAGGTTTACCGAATGCTTACGGACATTTTGTACTCGGAAGGTCTGAGCGATTTTCAGGAGTGTAACAGTTAAGGTCCCGTGCTATTAAAGGTCCGACCTCACCAAATGGTTCCTTCGTTATCGAAATCTTGAGATTACTTGTGGAATCTTTTAACGTTTCATGTGGAAATGCTTTTTGTTTTATCAAGCAATGATAAAACAAATCAAAATTCATTGTCGTAAACATTTGAACAAATCACAAATAGATTTTGGCGTACATGCTGCGGCTGATACGAGTTAAGGTGTCAACATTTGGTGAGACTTGGATTATTTCATTGGTGTGTGGACTCGCTGTATTCTTCTCCTGCATGAGGGTTATTCCATTTGTGAACACTTAAGACACCTTCGCCGCACCGTGAGATGGGCATATAATTTCCGTCTATTTTCACAACAACCAATAACAGCAAAACACCATACACCCTTTGTTTCTAAATGGTACGGTTTAACATTTCTTTATGGAAATATCATTTGTTCATCTATTCTAAACAAGGAAATTCCAAGGACTAAGAACATATTACTGCTTTTGCATATTTTGATAATGAATATTTTTGTGGAATTTCCTGGAAAGATATATTTATCCATGCATTCGCATTTGCATAGACTTAATTGTTCCAATTTTAACAAGATAAGATTATGAAACAATTTTTAAGGTGTATGTTCCGAAAAGGATTTAAATATTAAAAATATAAAATCTTCTTTATGAATCCTTCATTGAACCATACATCTGCATTAAATGGTGATCACGGACAGCTGAATCTTTACGCTCACCATTTTTGTTTCTCAGCCGCTTGCAAATATTTCTAAATAGAACATTTGTATTCATTTGGTGGATTCTCCGAAAGTCATTCTAATCTTCAGGTATTTTCAAAATTCTTACTAATCATATTTGAAAAAAGAAATAATCACCAGCTAGAACAATGAATTATGCTTGAGCACAAAGTAAGGGCCCGTATTCATGCAAACGTGCTCGTGTACAAACTCTCATGTTCAAACTCAAATTCTTTGCTCAAGTTCAACTTATTGTCTCCGTGATAAGAATTAAAGATATGACACCTTTACGTCTTTAAAATGATTCTTCTCTTCTCTCAAAATTACTTTTTTTCGTACTAAAAGCAAAAGTATCCCCTCCTCAAATGATATATATTACTGTCATAATATTCTGATCATGGCTATTTTTAAGCGCCTTTGTCTATGATGATTTTTCATGTGTGCCATGCCTTTGTTTTGCATACACAGCGAAAGGCAAGTTGGACCGATTCTATCGCTTCTGGGAACCGGTTTCTGCTGAGCTCCTACTTATAGGGTCAGGGGTCTCTTAACATGTGTGGAGGGGTCAATGCTTTAGTGGTCACTCATGTAGGAGTGACCACTAGCTCACCACGATTTAGTCTATATACTAAAAACTGTTTATTATACACGATCCTGACTGACAGAATTAGACTTTATCATATTGAAAGGTTAATAACCCTATGGAGAAACATTGAAGGAACCATGTTATATATACAATTTTGAATATCATGGGCGCGCTATATGATAGCATAGCAGTCGCGTTAATATCTTAAACATTGATGCCATATTTACAGGTAGCCATACATTATTGTTATGGTCAATAGTTTGTGCCTTATATTTGGGATTTAGACGATGTTGCCATATTGAAACTATACCGAAAATACTTGGTGCCATATTTGTGTTGATAGAAAACGACAACAGTGAATTAACGTTTTAACGAAAGCGCCATCTAGTGTTAGACATAGAGCAACGTAGTATGATATACTATTGTGTTATTTATGTGACGTTATTAAATGTTGTGTATTTATCTGATGTTTCCTATTATGCTATGCTACACGGCGACAACTAACCGACCGCAATAAGGAAATGCTACATGATGCCGATAGTCTAAGCCTGTGTGCTGAATGTTACATGATGCCGATAGTCTAAGCCTGTGTGCTGAATGGTACATGATGCCGATAGTCTAAGCCTGTGTATTAAATGCTACATGATGCCGATAGTCTAAGCCTGTGTACTGAATGTTACATGATGCCGATAGTCTAAGCCTGTGTGCTGAATGTTACATGATGCCGATAGTCTAAGCCTGTGTACTGAATGCTACATGATGCCGATAGTCTAAGCCTATGTGCTGAATTTTACATGATGCCGATAGTCTAAGCCTGTGTGCTGAATGGTAGTTTTGAAATTCGGTGGAAGCGTTCATAACCCTTGTGACGAATGAAAGGTGACATGAGATTTAAATAATTCCTGGAAAAAAAGAAGAATTTTATACAGTGTCTGCATATAAGAAGGTTCATTTAAATGCGTTGTCATGGTAGCTGGGAGCGGTTGGGGCCATTTTGTTTATTGATTGTTTCGGTGGTGGAAAAAGCTTTGTTAAATTCAAACGTCTTGTGACTTTTTCAGTCGTATTTCAAATTAAATAATACATTTTAATATGTTCGGTAACAGAAATCGTGTGTAACTATTAAATTGTAACTTATAAAGATTCATTATGATGGAATGCACGTCTTCTGATTCCTTATCTCATTAACCCCAAAAAACTACAAAAACCAAAACCATCAATAATTACTTCGGATAACTTACGTTGATGTTTACATATATAACACCAACTCAATAAGTTATAAGCGACGCCAACTAACAACCTACGTATATCGAAACAAATTGCATTTCAGTTGATTGAATGCCGTTATTCATGTTTTTGTTAGTGTTTATATGTATGTCAGCATTAGAAAATAATGATTAAACATTTGTATACGTAAATCATATGGGTTAGTTGTGCATATGTCAGAGGTTGTGACGTCATTGCTATACGTGTCAAAGATTTCACCAGGAAGTGCTGTATATGTAAGTTATTTTTAGTCTCGTAGTTACTTACCTAACCCAGTTACACAATCTTCAAGCTGAAAATATACACTTCAAAAACATAAATGTCTTTCGGTTAAGATATATCATATTGAATAAGTGTTTTCGATCCAGACTTACGGGTGTTTGATATCAGACGAAAACCACATCATATTGAAAATTGAACGCTATTCTTATATAATATAAGGTATCTTATTAACATTTTTTTTTTTTAAAGATGTTTTTTGGTATATAATTAGGGACCTCGTCAAACCTGGTTATGGAAAATGTTTAAAGATTTAATATAGTAAGAAGATAGTTACTAGTATCACACAACTCTTAATTAATTTTCGTTGATGATCCTTCAGAAATCAAGTGTGACCGACGTTGAAACCAGTCTTTTGCAGAACGATAAAATAAAGTAAGACATTTTACATGATGTCGGTAAAATCCTATATCGTAGAAGTCTCGTTCCTTTGTACATAATTGTGAATTTGTGAATAAATGAGTTTAAAATACACCACATCTATATGAGAATTGTAGAAAGGAATCTCGTTATTCTTGACATACTAATAATAACTATAAAAATAAACAATATATGATAAAATTTGGAACTATCACCAACTTAAAATTTTAATGAACTCCAAAATGGTGTTTCGTTTTAACACCATGACCCTTTACACATATTTTGCCGGGACCGAAATTAACTAAACGCTGAAAAAACTTTTGTTCGGTTTATTTGTAACTCGATTCACGAGGTTTCAATATAGGACAACAATCGAGTTGGGCAATGGTGATCTAATTTTCCATAGTAAATTTTATAAAGTGACATTTCGTTAGAGTGCCAAAATATTTTATTCGGCAACTCTTTGGCGTTATCAAAGGTTATGGTAGTATGACAAATACAAAAATTAGGAAGGATGTTTTTGGAGATGAAAACATCGGAACGATTTTGAAACTTTGCAAAGACAATGAATCCGGTTAGGGTTTACTTATGTTATAGCTATTTGACTGTATAAATCTTTTTTCGTAAATGGTTAAAAATTAGAAAATATTGGAAAACGAAGGTAATCACAAATGAGTGAATGGTTGTGTGGCTGTCAATTCTAACCTTTTCTGCTATAACTTTCTGATCAGTATGTTCTTGTAGACCAGTATTTACACGGTAAATCTATACCGAGGTAGTTCTATCATAGGCATTGAATTTAGCCATTTGAAAACAAATATTTTATATAATTGAAAAAAATAACAATTGAAAAAACAACCGGTCTGGAACCTGATTGGCTTCTGTACTTTATAAATCAAATTGATACAAGCAGTGTATGGAGACAGATCAGGTTCCAAACAGGTCATGCTATTTTTTTCTGTTATTTATTTTTTCTAATGGCTCAACTAAAGTGTCTTTGCTCTACTCTCTGCCTTACTCGACCTCTCACTTTAACTGATGCATAGAGACCAGAGAATACTCGGAAAAACTTGTTTGTTTTAATATCATTAAATATATCATTGTTAATCCAGCAAATTACCATGAATTACATGTAATGTTATATTATAATGCGACATTTTTACAGGGCCTTCACGTTATAAAGTACTGAAATAAGAGTTCTTGATGTATTGAAAAGTTATTTTGATGAGTAAACTTAATTCTAAACGTCGAATAATATATACCAATGAGGAAAACCAATCTCATATATAAACCATATATCTTTACGCTTGAAATAGAAACACGTTTTGAGAACGTGGATACTGGGAAGGGCCTTCTTCATTCGCCTAGCAAACCAGTCGGCCTTTCAGGCACCTGGTGAGCGCAAATTTAGCAGACCTTGTGTAGCCTGTCGTGGCAAATTTCACTCTCTCTATTTGCGTACTTTAGATTTGTGAAATTATGAAGTTTTACAAAAATTATGTGCTAGTATTTGAAATCCTTTACAAAGCAATTTGATATATATCATTTGTGGAAATGTCGCTTTATTATTTTGTAATGTCCATGTATATACTATACAAGGTATAGCTAGTGTCGTATTAACGTAACGCAATGTATAAAACACTATCTATCATTGTGTTACCTCATACTTTCTACGCTCAGATCACAGGTGCTTTAATCGAACAACCAATGGCCTTAGATATTGCCGGACCTGATCAAGACTACCACTTGGCCATGAGAGGTTTTTGTGGGGAGGGACCAATTGGTTTTAACAATGTGCTCATGTAATAATGTGTCCATAATGATAACCTATATCAAAACACTAAAATGCTGAATAATTATGAATATTTACGCAACCTATATCAAAACACTAAAATGCTGAATAATTATGAATATTTACGCAATTTTGCAGTAATTCTTAAATTTTAAGCTTTTTGTAACATGTTTTTGTGAAAATTTCTTTTTAAATGTCGCAATATGTTTTTGCAGCACGATACACATGCCTTTTATTGTATATTTCGTTTTTTGAACTATTTTATTTCTGCTCCCCGTCGTTATTTTTAAAAAAGCACGGACAAAATAAATATATAAATAATCAGATGTTGACTTTGTTGACAGGAACTCTATAAAGAAAAATGGAAGATCAATATTTTGATTGTGAGGCTGTTGGATTAATGTGACAATATTGTTATGTTATATTTTGCGAAATTCATAAAGTGATTATACTTCAAACGATATTTGGCAAATATTTGAATTTGCGAATTGAACATTTATATGATCTTTGTATTTGTGCGTAATTTGCTAAGAAATTAGTATAACTTTCAAGCATTTCTATTTTTGCCCCAAAACAGTTTATTTGAATTTCAGGAGAAATATGAGCAACATTCTGGTAAACCTAACGTATGTGATACTCTGAAGATATATGTAAACACAATCAAAAATGGTCAAAAATCACCATCAACAAATATTCTTTATCAATCTCCGCCGTTTTAGGTCAATATAATATGTTGTACTGACCTTTAACTTCTAATGTTATCTGTCAACAGAGAGTACCAGGGCCTGGATCATACGCCAAGACACATCAGTTCCCAATGAACAAGAACATTTCAAATATGGGAAGACAACACGGCCTTTTCTTCACCAGTGCCTTCCAAGCCTAAACACAGAGTCAAGATCATTCGTGTTCACGTTCCGTGATTCAAGAACAATATATATATATTTAAAATGTGGGCATAAAAGTGCCAGACTCGAATGTGGAAAGTTTCATCGCTTTAATGACACGTTAAGAAAATGTCTAAGTCAATAATATTGTAAAATTGTAATTAAACTGTTATGAAAGTAAATATGTCCTGCGATTCACAGTGATACTTTCAGATTATTATTTATTAAACAAAAAATGCTCTTATTTTTCATATATATATAAATATATATATATATTTTCTTCAAAAATTCAAATCTAAACAATTGTCTTAACGTTTCATCAAATTAACGAGATGGACACATGCAAGTTTTGGTCATTTCGAACCTCAGCGTTTTGCCCATAGGTTTATCACTACAGCTGTTTCTCTATGCGGTCAAATCGTGCAGACCGGGAACAAAACGCTGAGTCGTACTTTCTGATGTCGACATTGGACGGTATTATCCAGAAGGAACATTAACCGACCTTTAAGACTCATTAAGTTGTTTACACATTATTTGTTTTACAACTCATGCTTATTCGTTTCCATATGCGGTAGCTATACACTAAAAAAACATGCGTGATATAAATCACGTGGACAAACAGAGTTGTTAGGGGCTTTGAGTGACAATGGGATAGCCACTCTTGTCATAGAGACAAACGTTATTTTATGAGCACAGTTATATGTTATCAATCCGGGATACAGTTAGATTTATTGCGATGGAGTATGACAAAAAGGGCACATTGAGCCAGCACTATTTATTCTACAATTGACGACAATCTAGTCCTATTTATTTTGCACGTTTCTGGTATTACTGGTAGTTGGGTAGCCTTTTATCACGTGTATAGTTGATAGTCTAGCTTAAAAACAATTGCAATCACATAGGCTTGAGAATACACACACTCACACATATAAATATATTCAAAAGCTGGACCAATGATAACAGAAACATTTTTTTCTTAAATTTGGCACGACTCCTTCGATACCCATGATAAAGACAATGCACCCCTATTTCTGATACTATTCGATCTCCATATTTATAGCAATTTAATTTAGTTTTCTCCTTTTATATAAAATGCGAAAATATTATTCTCAAAACCATGTGGTTAGAACGCAATCAATGTAATTTCACAATCCGCTTATTACTGCATAGGTGAAAAAAATATTTTAGAAATACATTTATCGATCGATCAAGTCATTACGAAACTATATTATCAGTTAAACTCTGTTGAAAATGGTCATAAATGTTTTTGGATCATGATTTCAGATATGAAGAAAGCATGTGGTCCGTGCGCGGTTTATATTTGTTACTTATCAGTATTAAGTTATTCTCGAGCAATTCTATTTATATCATTAACTGATCGGTTTCAGGTTGTATATATATGTATATTTGTAGACTATTATGTCTTTGTTTTTGTGTGCTCAAGTTTGACTACATAAAGGTCATGTGTTTTTTTTATCAGATTAAAGTATATTTTATATCATCTACTATGTGTTTTTCATTTGTTTTTCCAAAAAAATGAAAAATCAACATACACTCCAAGTTAAGGAAATATAACGTGTATACAGTGCACCCGTTATATTATATGTGGATGTCCATGTTACTTTTAACCGGGACATTTCCGTCGCAGTTCAATTTTCACCTTTTTTGGCCCTACGGAATAGGGGGGACTTATAATTACAGTGAACATTAGTAAACAGCATAATATACAAAATAATTAAATTAATAATGAGCGAATATCGATTTAACCGGTATTGGGCGAACGTTAAGCTTAGCGAAAAATCCAGTATACAGGATTTAAAAAGAATGAAATGGTCAGGAAGCAAGCCCTCAAGGATCTGTTAGTTACAGCCTTCGTGGTATATATAGATGATGCCTGCCTGAAGTGGAGAAGCGGAAGAATTATTGGACCTTGTTATGACGTAACTCGTATCATTGCCTTCTTAATCTGATGAATGAGTGAACGACTGTTTCATCAACAAAGAGGAGGTAATCTTCCGAATAAACAAACAACATCAAAGCTGGAATACTCCAGATGGCTTGAGCACATGCCAGGGGTTGTCATTTCTGTTAGACAGACTGGGCAAGTGGATGGCGACAATACGATCGACACCACTCTTCTTTCAACAAGATGTAGGAGGAAGGCTTTGTACTACTCGAAACGGCTTACATTGTTGTCAAATCACTTAATTGGACACTATGTTTGTAATGCGTTAGGAACGATGCGGATATGGTTAGCTTCTAGTAACACCCGTCTAAGTAACACTACAACCCGTCTAAGTAACACTACAACCCGTCTTAGTCAATGCGTAATGCATGATTTAATAGTGAAGGCTGATGCATGCAAAATATCAGATGTTGTAGAACTTGCCATTTTGGTTTTTCCGAAGTTATATGTCCCACTGTACTTTATTATTTCTTTCCCACAGACAAACATTTAAATGAACACCTTTTTGATGCGATATTTAATCAAGAGCTACTCCAATGTAACTTGGTGTAACACAGTACACGCTGCTGTAACCACTTTGAATTTTAACATTTTTACATGAAATGTACAGACATACATCGGTATATTATATATTTAGTCTTATATTTGTCAGTTTGACATAGTTATTGTACAAAACATACCCACAAACGATGAAAATTGACGTAATTTTAAATTAAGTCTTAGAAATATATTTCTTTTTATGTTTAAAAGAGTGGAAACTGTTGGTTTCATTGAAGTTGCTATGGTTTAAAACACACTTTCACCAATAGAAGTAAAAGTGGGTGAAGATAAATGGCCCTCCATAAAAAATGCTAGCCAGTTATGTCTTAGAAATTTTCTTTCCTATTCAGTAAAGTTGGAAAATAAGGTTACTGTGACAAGAAACACACCTTATCCAAGGATGTATAAGCAAATGAAATTCTGTCAATGTGGAAAAAACCGCAAGGAAAATTATGGCCCGGAAACAAATGTCCTGTATTGAAAAGTGGAGTGAAAATACCAGTTTTACGGATGTATTTATGGTGAGAGAAAAATATCTTCTCCTAGATAAAACATCGGAACTGCTGAAAAATCAAGGAAATAATGACCAGGAAAAGAATTTACTTAATCATTGTGAACACTGTGAATTTTTCAAAAGATGAAGTGGAAAACTTTGAATAACTTTTTCTTCGTATTTTTCTCTCTCTCTACATTCAATATACAACCAATTATAAATAGCCCCTTTAGCAGGCGTAAAAATATATTTGTTGATTACTTAACACATTTTAAATAATAGTATTACGATCATAATCATCAT